CCTACCCTACCTTAGCCTGCCTTACCCTACCTACCCTACCTTACCCTACCCTACTTTACCTACCCTATCTATCCTACCTACCCTACCTACCCTACCTACCCTACCTACCCTACCTACCCTACCTACCCTACCTACTCTACCTACTCTACCTACCCTACCTACCCTACCTACCCTACCTACCCTACCTACCCTACCTACCCTACCTACCCTACCTACCCTACCTACCCTACCTACCCTACCTACCCTACCTACCCTACCTACCTTACCTACCCTACCTACTCTACCTACCTTACCCTACCCTACTTTACCTACTCTACCTACCCTACCTACCCTACCCTACCTTACCCCACTCTACCCTACCCCACTCTACCCTACCCTACCTTAGCCTACCCTACCCTACCTACCCTACCTTACCTACACTCCCCTATTCTATGTCCTTTTCCCAGTTCTTAGCTACCTCCCTATCAATTTTCAGCCAAATCGGTTCAGCCGTTATTGAGTTATAAATAGTCTACTAACTAACAAACACGACTTTCTTTTATATATATATACATAGATGTCTCTTCTCTTTTCTTTCTCTTTTTAATAAAACGTTGCCCCACATTAGGATTTTCTCCTGTGTCGTGGGTGCGGTTACAAACATACAATTTCACATACACATGACACCCAGACCCGGAACAATAATTTGTAGATCACACAAAGAGTTGTTCCGTGCGGGAATCGAACCCGCGACACGTTGCACGGCAGCCAGTTGCCCAGCCACCGCACCAACCGTGCAGTCAAGATTTGACATTCAAAATTTTATTTTTAATTCGCTCCTATTGCGTGGGTCTTGGACAAGAATGTTTAAAACTTATTTATCACTAGCTTTTTCCCGCGAATTCGTCCACGTGGAACGTGAGTGACTTCCTGCAGATTTTTTTGTTTTACCCACATATGTAGATCCCGATTTTTGGTAATTTCCAGATAAAAACTATGCTATGTCCTTTCTCAAGTTCCAAACTATGTCTGTACCAAATTTCACAGAAATCGGTTCAGTAGTTTAGGCGTGAAGACAGACAGACAGACAGGGTTACTTTAAAATTCTAAATTTTATTTTTATTTTTCCCACATTACGTGGCTCCTGGACATGACTGTTGAATAGTTTCTTATTATATTACTACTAGCTCGTACCCGCGTGGTATGATGATAAAGAGTCCATGTATTAATCCAAAGTATAACCTATATACATACAAAATTTCAACCAAATCGGTCCAGGCGTTTTTGCGTGTAAGAATAACAAAGGTACATTAATAGATTCTCACAAACTTACACATTTATAATAGCAGTAGTCAGGTAAATTTCTCCACTATTTAATGGATGTTATTATACATATAAACATTCCTCTTCAATCACTCTGTCTATGAAAAAAAGCGCATCGAAAAACCGTTGCGTAGTTTTAAAGATTTAAGCATACATAGGGATATAGGGACAGAGAAAGCGACTTTGTTTCATACTATGTAGTGATATACCTATGTCTATCCATTCCGACATTGATAAACGTGATGTATTAATAATTTTACATTATTTAAGGATACATCAGTTTATTGAAAACCAGCTACTATCGCGCGGTTTCACCCTCTGCTAGGCTCCATTTGATCGTAGCGTGATTTTTTATAGCCTATAGCACTCAGGAACATTGTAGCTATCTATCAGTGAAAGAATTTTAGTTATACATAGAAACCTTCCTCTTCAATCACTCTGTCTTTGAAAAAAAGCGCATCAAAATCCGTTGCGTAGTTTTAAAGATTTAAGCATACATCAGTTTATTCAAAACTAGCTACTATCGAGCGGTTTCACCTCCCCCCCAGATCGTAGCGTGATGTTTTATAGCCTATAGCACTCAGGAACATTGTAGCTATCTATGAGTGAAAGAATTTTGGCAATCCGACCAGCGGTTCCAAAGATTACCCCCTACATACAAACTTACAAATTTTACCTCTTTATAATATTAGTATAGATATATCCTGTAATCTTGTTTGCAAGGTGAAAAAATCATCAAATGATTTCTCCCGCCCTGGGTGAGGCGGGAGGGAGTGTCAGACTCTTACTGACTAAAAACCAGCCATTTCCTTCTCCTGCTCCAAACCAGGGCTGCAGAACATTCTTGAATTTTAACCCGCAATCACTACCTGAATAGTCTAGAATTTCACTTAGCATGGTCAACTAGTGTAACTATCGGGAACATTTTCGGGTCGAAACGAAATATCATTTTCTTTGAAATCTCCTCAATAATGGCCTTGAATTCTGTAACTGGTGAATAACATTTACATTGCATAACATTACTGACAAAGAGTAAATCCTCATTTCTTTATATTGTAGAGAAGTGCCAAGCTTCGACATGAATGGGTCGGCTCGACTGGAGTGATACCACGGCCTCACAGAAAACCGGCGTGAAACAACCACAGCGTTAGGCTTGTTTTGCCGTTTGAGTGACGTTACCGGAGGCCCAAGCCTTCTTCCCCCATTCTCAATCTGGATACCCCTATCCGTAAATCCGGTATCCAAAGGCAAGGCCGATGGCTTACCATCAGGTAATACGTCGTTCGTCGTTGGATATCCTGGCTGATATGGACCCAAAGGTCTATAACCATATTCGCACTATCCGCCAAAATGGCGGCGAGGTCCTAGGAATAGGGCTTGGTAGGCTGAAGCGGCAGGAAAGGCGACACGCGCTCGATCGGTAGCGTTAGCGACTACAGCAGCCGGATTACTTACACAAGCGCGTTGTCAAAGTCATTCTGCCGCACTTCGAAGCCTGACTGAAGAGGGAGCCGTGTGCGGAGTGCTGTGCAAAGTACAGTACTCCTTCGCAGTGGTGAAGGAGTACTGGACACACGCCCGAGTAGTGCCCAGCTTGGGCCTCTGAAGGGCGGGTCCTGGTTACCAGGATCGGGGGAGATTTATCTCTTCTAGCTGTTAAGTGGCTTCTGTTATGACACTATAATGTCCCAAAAGGAGGCTGCTGAGCGGGAGGAGTTCTATCATGGAGTTGGTGTATCAAGAGGTCCCAGTGTCCCTTAAAGGTGTTGATGGTGGCCACCGGGGAGGTTTTACTGAGGTAAAAATCCCACACACCCTAGTCTTTTTCCCCAAAATTTTATTATATTAATTATTCCCCAAAATAGATTTTCAAGTATGGGAGAGCCATGCTACGGCACGAATGGGTCGGCTCGACCGGAGTGATACCACGGCCTCACAGAAAACCGGCGTGAAATAACCACTGCGTTGTGTTTCGCCGTGTGAGTGAGGTTACCGGGGGCCCAATCCTTCCCCTTCCCCAATCCCTCCTCAATCCCTAAATCTCCAAATCCCTAATCCCAAAAAGCCGGCAATGCACTCGTAACTCCTTTCATGTTGCCGTATCCATAGGAAACCGATTGCTTACCATCAGGTAATCCTTCGTTCAAAATCAATAAACCAAACAATACCTATATTTTAACCTAACTAGAGATTCGAATATTACAACCACTGAACCAACATAAAACACTTGTGTGACGTCATAGATTATCTTTATACACTTTTTGCTTACGACAAAACGTTAATTCGGCATGAAGAACAGGTAAATCAAACTTCGATTTATGTAAATCTGATAAATTTCTTTGAGTTCTATTTACACTAATATTATAAAGAGGTAAAATTTGTTAGTTTGTATGTAGGGGGTAACCTTTGGAACCGCTGGTCGGATTGCCAAAATTCTTTCACTGATAGATAGCTACAATGTTCCTGAGTGCTATAAAGTGTGCTATAAACATGGCGCTACGATTAAATGGAGACGAGCAGCGGGTGAAACCGCGCGCGAGAATACCGAGCTAGTTTTATATAAAGACGCACGAAGCGGTTCGACTTCAGTTTTATAATCAGAACCGCTAAGGAGTGGAATTCTTTGCCGGAGTCTGTGTGCCCCGAAGGGTATAACCTGGGTGTCTTCAAGGCCCGAGTGAATAGCTTGCTTATGGGTAGGCGTGCTCCAACGTAGGTCGCATCATTGTTTACCACCAGGCGTGATAGGTAGTGGCCAAATGTCTGCCTATTACGAAATAACAGTCCAAAGTATATAAAATTATAAATGCGTAAGTAACTCTGTCTGTCTGTCAGTCTTTTCTTCACGCCTAAACTACTGAACCGATTTCTGTAAAATTTGGAACAGACATAGTTTGGAACTCGAGAAAGGACATAGGATTGTTTTAAAACCAAAAATCTGCAAGAAGTCACTATTCCACGCGAACGGAGTCGCGAGCAAAAGCTAGTTAGTACCTACCTAATATAATTAAAATATTACAGAAACACTACAGAACCCGATTAAAATAACACACTCATACATTTAAAGACTTTTTTCCAAAAATCACGTTTTGAAAATGACGTCACATCGACACAGAATACGTACAAACACACATGTGTTTGCTGTTTGTTTAAGAATCATAATTATATATATTATGAATAAACGTATAGTATTTTGTCTTGGTATGGCCATGTGAAAAGGAGGGATGAAAAGCATGTAACAAAAAAAGTCATGAGTATAAATGTGGATGGATGGAGAGGGAGGGGGAGACCAAAGAAAATATGGATGGATTGTGTGAGAAGTGATATGGAAGACAGAGGAGTTAGCGATAGCGTGACGAGTGACAGGACAGAATGGAACAAAAAAACATATAGACCCCAAATAAAACGGGACAAGAGCAGGATACGTATAGTATTTCTTTAGATGTCATATACCAGTCTATAGCCACACACATTCATAACCATATAATTTTCAACCATAGTCCTGCATCAACCGTCCTTGAGTGCACTTTTATAGTCCATACAGGGATAATTGCCGGTTTTTTTTTGTGAGGGGAAAATCATCAAATGACTTCTCCCGCCCACCGTCGGGCGGGATTGAGTGTCAGACTCTTACTGACCAGTTCCTTCTCCTGCTCTGGGTCGAGGTCACGGTGTCCTTTTGCGCTTACCCCGCAACCTCAGCTGAACATCAGCCTATAGGGCCCCGTCTGTGGTGGTATATCGGCTCTTTGAGGCGCGCGCAAAACGCTACGCGACGTACGCTCGGGATAATTGCCGGCTGATGTCCTTGTATTTTTATCATCATCATCATCATCATCAATAACACACAGAATTGCAGTTTCTGAGAATTAAAAGTTCATTTTTTTAATGAGACAATATCGCCGCGTCTTCCTGAAACCGCTGCAACTCCTGTGCACCAGGATCTACAGTAGAAACAACCATGAAAACACCGGAACACTGAAGTCCGGCGCGTACCAGGGACGTTTTATAGCGTGGTATTTTTTTTCCGTTTTTTACACGTGTGCTTATGCATGTTACCTTTACTGTATGTGCATATGCATGATTGCATGCGGTGGAATTGCATCCTGCAAAAAGCCTGGATTTTTGTCGCGGAATTAAAATTACCTAAATATTTTTTCATAACATTATTAATGTCATGGATTTCCGCAAAGTAACGCCTGATTCTACATAATCTTATATAGGTACCTATATAACAATGGATCGCAAAATGTGTTGATAAGCGCATAACTCAACAACGCCTGGACCAATTTTGCTAATTCTTTTTTTGTTGTGTTTGTTATTGTCAGGAGATGGTTCTTATCAAAGAAAATATTAGAAAAGTAGAGGGGACGATTGGAAATAAAGTGACCCTTTGATAGCGAGATAGAGGGACCCGTGCGAAGCAGGAGCGGGCCGCTAGTAAATAACTAAAAATAATTTCTAAAATTTTGAAATGAAAGACATTTTTAATTTATTTTAACACATTTTATTAATTAGGTATGTTTAGGTATGTTTATACAATCATTTTCTTTTAAAATGGATCGTGTCTCAGTTTCCTTATAACCTGCATTACATCTTCAAGAAACACAGCCCTGAAAGAAGAAAAAACAAAAGAGGTCAGCGGGAAAGAGACAGAGCTAGAACTTGTATAGCTCTTTCTCTTTCCCACACTGAAGCAAATTAATTTGTCACACACACAATTGGGTAGTTTCCTAGTTCAAAAATAAATTAATTCGACGTTTCAATACGATAAAATATTAAAAAATAACTACCTATCAATCAATCACAATGACTGCACGGTTGGTGCGGTGGCTGGGTAACTGGCTGCCGAACAACGTGTCGCCGGTTCGATTCCCGCACGGAACAACTCTTTGTGTGATCCACAAATTGTTGTTTCGGGTCTGGGTGTCATTTGTATGTGAAATTGTATGTTTGTAACCGCACCCACAACACAGGAATATCCTAATGTGATATTGGGGCAACGTTTTTATTAAAAAAAAAAAGAAAAAAATCGATCTTACATTAAATTTTAGATATTTTTAGCTAATTTTTAAGAAATAAAAATATAATGACGTCATAACTCAGTATTTCATACAAATTTCATAGAAAAGTATCGTTTCTGACGTTTGGATAAAAGTATTGAATTTGACTAGTTGGAAACTACCGTATTATATAAATTCTGTCTCCCCTCCCCCCTTGGGGTGGGCATCCCCAAATCCCTTCATCCCAAATAGCTGGTAACTCACTTGTAACTTTACTAATGTTTTGGATGTTAATGATCGCCGACTGCTTATCGCCGACGCCATTAGGTGACGAGAAGACGTTAAGAGAAGAGGGACGTAGAGTAGGGTAGGTAATGTAGGGTTTATAACGTAGGCGACCTGGATTCCGCACAGCACACGCTCGAGGAGTGCCCAGCGTGGAGAGAGAAAAGATCGGGCGAAACTTGTCTCTGTCAGCAGTAGTTAGGGCTATGCTGGCAGACGCAAAAAATTGGAGGGAAGTGGCCTCGTTTTGCGAGACTGTTATGTCCCAAAAGGAGGCTGCTGAGCGGGATCGCGAGAGGGCCGATCCTGCTCGTAAGAGGCGTCGCGGAGGCAATCCTTGACGCCTAATACGTCGAATCCCGCCTGCATGAAATTCAGGCGGACCTTTGGGGTCACGGGTGCATAGAGAGGGGACTCTAGGTACTCATTCAGTGGTCCCAGGGAAGACGGTGGTACAGTGGTCACGTACCGCCGTACACAGCCAGGCTCGTGCTCGAGGGATGTGCCGTCACAGGCATTTCACCGTGGGGGTTCCGGAGTAGGTCTCTTGTAGAGGACCCGGTGTCCCTTACAGGTGATGAAGGTGGCCACCGGGGTGGTTTTAGTGAGGTAAAAATCCCACACTCCCTAGTCTTTCTCCCCAAAATGCTAGGCGCCTCTTGAAGGTTTTCCATCGTTACAAAAAAAAAAAAAGGTAATGTAGGGTACACAGAGTAGGGTAAGATAGGTAGAGTAGCGTAGATAGAGTAGGGTAGGTAGTCAAATGACGGGACCGACGTCGCGGGTCAGAGCTAGTATATATAAAAATGAATCGCAAAACATGGTTAGTAAGCGCAACTCGCCGGGCGAGTCCACGGAGCTGGAATAAAATTTGCATGGACTTTCCGAGCTATAAATATGTAGGTACTTACGATCTATTAAAATTATTATTGAAGACTGGCTACAATTTATTGATATCAACTTTGACCGTTGTTACGTTTTCTGCAAATTAACAATTAAACAATGAATTTATATTTGTAGATAAGCCATAAAACAGCAATTTTACACGTCACAATTATATGTATAAAAAAAACTAGATGTAGCCGGCATTTCCTATCTGACTACTACTGCCGAAACAAACTCAGAGGTCCGTCTCTTTTCAAATCCAGCAGTGTGATTCTGTAAGACTTCATTCTAAACTTCGAATCTGAATCCGCTGTGAGTAGTAGTACACTAGCGCTACACTTGCGAGTTGAACTAAATTGACAGCAACATTTTGATAGATAAAGTATGAGATGACGTTAACAGTGGCATTCTATAATGTAATTTCCGCGTCACTTCGACGCTCACTTCACACTCGAACAAGATTCAAAATCAAACAAATTTTAGAGAATCGACGTGCCAGACAATGTGAAAAATACTATAATGTGGGAGAACCGTGCAAGTTAATTCCGTAGTGGTCTTTTGAGGAAAGAACCACACCAGTTTAAGTGGACCCGTTCTGAAGAAAGTCATAGAATTGTAATTTTACAACCAGTTCATCTAACGGGTGTTGCTGAATTAAAAGAAATATATTATTTTTAAACTCCCAACGCAAAAACGAAGGAGTGTTATAAGTTTTTACGTGTCTGTGTGTATGTGTCTGTCTGTGGCATCGTAACTCTCAAACGGATGATTCGATTTTAATGCCGTTTTTTTTTGTTTGAAAGGTATATCAGTCGAAGGTATTCTTAGCTATGTTTGGTGGAAATCGGTGCAGGTCTTCAAGGTCATTAGGTTTTTTGTTAGTTGTCATAGGAATCTTACACACTCAATTTACTTGCTATTTTAGGGTTTAGCATTTTTAACCCTTTTCCCATTATAATTGTGTACTTTTTTGGCTATTAATGGCTTTTTCTTTTTTGGCAAACGGGCCGACGGATTGTCTGATGGTAAGCAATCAGCGCCGCCCATGAAAACTTACAACAACGAAAGAGTCACAAGTGCGTTGCCCACCTTTTGGATTGGGGAGGGATTGGGGGAGGGAGGGATTTCACGCTGTTTCACGCTGGTTTTCAGAGAGGCCTTGTTCTCACTCCAGTTGAGCCGATCCATTCGTGCCGAAGCTTGGCTCTCCCACACTTAATGGCATATATGACTGACTCCTGTGATACAAGTTAACCTAGTTTAGGAGTCAGGTGTTTTTAATCTTTTTGTAACCTTCAAAAGTTTTATTTGGTAATAATTATTATGTAATAGGTCGGCAAATGAGCAGACGGATTACCTGATGGTAAGCAATCGGCCCCCTTCATGGACACCCGTAATACCAAAGGAGTTACTATAAGTGCGCTGACGGCCTCTTGTGGATTATTCGGGATTTAAGAATAAGGGATTTGAGGATTGAGACTGTAAAGAAGGATTGGATCTCCGGTAACTTTACTCACACGACAAAATGCAATGCAAGTGGTATTCTGTGAGGCCGTGGCATGACTCCGGTCGAGCCGATCCATTCGTGCCGGATATGACCTTTCCATTATAACAAACAACAAAAGACCTAGCTGCTTTCTACATATAATTAATAATAGCTACCATCTCCGTACTGGACTGTATGTTACGCACGGATCTTCCGAGCGACGACAGCGTGATGCTAAAAAACAGCGTGGTACATCACCGCATGCAGCGTGGTAGCATGAGGCTCGAGGTGGCCACAAATACAAGTTTTAATAGCCGTTGGAAGGAGCAACCCTTTGGATGGTTCCCGAAAAATGGCGGGTTACCATCAGTGTCAAGTTGTTTATACCTTTTTTGTGAGAGGAAAATCATCAAATGTCTTCTCACGCCCAGGGTTTTTTTTTTGTGAGGGGAAAATCATCAAATGACTTCTCCCGCCCAGGGCCGGGCAGGAGGGAGTGTCAGACTCTTACTGACTAAAAACCCCCCTGTTCCTTCTCCTGCTCTGTGCCGAGGTCGCGGTACCTCATTGCGCTTACCCCGCAACCCCGGCTGAACATCAGCCCTTTAGGGCCCCGTCTGTGGTGGTCGAATGGCTCTTTGCGGCGCGCGCGGAACGCCACGCGCCGTACGCTCGGGCCTGGTTCTGGTCGGGCGGCGAGCTGCCCTTACTCGCCGACCGCAGGCCCGTGTTTACGGTGGCCGGAGATCGTCCCTCGATCCCCGACGCCCGTAGTGTCGCCAGTTGCGGCTGCTGGGGCGTGAGGAGGAGGATTGCTCCCTCGCCCGGGCCGCCTCTCTCTTTGCGAGCATGACTGCTTCACAAAAGGAGGAGACGGCGTCCCAGTTCCTCTCACTCCGCACCATGGCCTCGACTAAGGCCGGGCGCGAGAGGTCGCCGCCGCCGATCACTTCCCTGAGGATACGGCGGTGCTCAGCCCAGGCAGGGCATACCGCTACCGTATGCTCCACCGTATCCTCTAGGTGGTCCTCACAATGACGACACTCGGGCGTTTCCTCCCGCTGAATCCGAAACAGGAACCTACCGAAGCTGCCGTGCCCGGTAAGCACCTGCGTCAGACGGAAGGTGAGGACGCCGTGGCGTCTCTCAAGCCACTCCTCAAAGAGGGGTCTTACCGCTGCTATGGTAGCGTGCCCGGCCCTCGGTTGCGACAGTCGTTGTTTCCACTCTGCCATGAGATCTCGCCGGAGCTCATTCCGCCACGCACTTATTTGGCGCGGCAGAGGATCTTCGCCCCGGCGACGCGCGTCTGCGCGCAAACTATAGACGTGCGCGAGCGCCTATTTATTTATTTATTAATTATTTATTTATTTATTGTGGCTTAAAAGGTACATTTTACATTATAAAAAGTATAAAATGTCCAACGAATGCCTTCGCTTCTAGATCCCACGGCGGTAAACCGGCAAGGAGGTTCGCCGCCTCCCCGGATATCGTGCGATACCCGCGGATTACTCGGATAGCCATGACCCTCTGGGACGCGACCAGCGTACGAGCCGGCCGCCGCTCACGCCCAGGGTGGAGCGGGAGCTGAGGCTGCGGTACCTCATTGTGCTTGCCCCGCAACCCCAGCTGAACATAAGTCCTATATGGCCCCGTCGTCGTCGTCGACCCACGATTGCCGTGGCCGGAGATCATCCCTTAATCCCCGAAGCCCGAAAAGTAACCTATATGTATATATACGACCTTCAACTCCTCCTTCTTAAATGGCCGGCAACGTACCTGTGACTCCTCCGGTGTGGCAGATGTCCATGGGCGACACTGATCGCTTACCATCAGGTGATCCGTCTGCTCGTTTGCCTTCTATACCATAATACATATATATTGTATAATTCTGTTGTTGTCCGTGTGTATAAACTCGTTAAACGGCCCTAACGTTTTCGGCTTCAACGGCATTAACAGCTGCTTGTGGCGAGCTGTTGGGCAGGCGCCCACGGACTTGACTCCCGGGAGGTGTCTTGTTCTTCATCTCCGGTTAGTCCTCGTGATTAGCTGGAGTGAACACTGATGACGAACAAGCCCTCCTACCTCATAATCATGCCTTAATTCGCTGGCTTGAGTGGAGATTCGCAAGAGTAGGAGTTGAAGGAGACTCGCGGGGAAGGATGTATCTCCCCAGTCTATAGCAACCCATACCCAACCCTTTAAATTTTTACCACATTTCCCAATAGTCCTGCATCAACCGGGGATTATCCTTGGGTGCTCTTTCATAGTGCATTCAGGGATAATTGCCGGCTGATGTCCCATTTCACTTAAATTAAAGTTGTTCAACGGGCCTCAGCGAGTTGGCTTCGGCGCCTCGTACGCCTTTCAAAAGTCCGGGACCCTGTGGTCCCGTGAGTGGAAAGGAACATAAAAACAAATATGAGTACAAAAGGCGGTCTAATCGCTAAAAAGCAATCTCTTCCAAGCAACCTTTGGATGTAATCAAACAGTAGAAGATTTTGAAACGGGGCAGTTAATGGCATACATTGAGATAAATAAATATACATACATAATATGAGAACATAAAATGCAATAGATAAATAAATAAAAGTGTGGGAGAGCCATGCTTCGACACGAATGGGTCGGCTCGACCGGAGTGATACCACGGCCTCACAAAAAACCGTGAAATAACCACTGCGTTGTGTTTCGCCGTGTGAGTGAGGTTACCGGAGGCCCAATCCTTCCCCTTCCCCAATCCCTCCTCAATCCCTTATCCCTAAAAGGTCGGCAACGCACTCGTAACTCCTCCGTTGCGGGTATCCAAGGGCGGCGCTGATTCCTTACCATCAGGTAATCCGTCTGCTCGTTTGCCGACCTATTACATAAAAAAAAGCGATAGTTATTTGATAGTAAGTTTTAAATGTAGGTAAGTACCTGAATCTGAAACTTTCAGCAGTCGTTTCTTTTGAATTGGCTTTGACTTCAGGACCTCGTTCATTAGTCACCTGGGAAACAAAATTGTCAAAAGTCAGAAACTATATAAAAGTTTACGAATCAATAATGGCGATGCCCCGGCCCTCCCCGGCCTGCCTGGGCTCCTCAAGTGTGGGAGACCCATGATTCGGCACGAATGGGTCGGCTCGACAGGAGTGATACCACGGCTACACAGAAAACCGACTTGAAACAACCACAGCGTTTGAGCCGTGTGAGTGAAGTTACCGAAGACCCAATCTATTCTCCCCCAAAGTTGGCACATAACTCTTTCGTTGTTGCGGCTATCCATGGGCGGCGCTGACTGCTTACCATCAGGTAATCGGTCGACTTATCATGTAAAGAAAGCAGGAGAAGAAACAGTGTGGTTTTTGGACAGTAAAAGTCTGACACTCCGTCTCGCCTCATTAGGGCACTCCAATGTATGTCAGTGAAAGAGCTATGCTTCAACGAAAGTTACACCAAGGCCTAACAATATACCAGCGTCAAATACTCCAATCATGTCCCCACCAAATCTTAAAACGAAATCGACAAATTCTGTTACTTTTAAAAAAAAAGTCGTTAATATTATACTTTATACTAAAAAAAATCTGTTACTAGTAGAAATAGTAGATACCCTAATAAATTATTTGTACCGAGCCAATGCACAACATTATATAGCAGAAACTCATATTGCATGGCTATCAAAATTTACTATAAACTTCCAAATGACCTAAAAAATCTTAACCTAATGTCTTTTAAAAGAAAATTGTTTGAGTTTTTGCTAAATAAATGTTATTATTGCACTAAAGATTATTGAGATGACCTATCATAGACTTAGAATAAGTAGTGCATAGTTATAACTAGATATTAAGCTAAATAATTTGTACACCAATTCGGTAGAATGTGTGAGATTCCATACACATAACACAAACACCTATATTTGTACTACATTCTCACAAATAAATATTTTCTTTCTTTCTTTCTTACTTTCGCGTTACACACAATGCAACGTTTAAAAAAGAGGAAGAAGGTAAAAGTGCGAGTTATATCGCGTTAAACAGTAAAGTATAAACTATTGCTAAAATAAATCTACAATCTCGAATTTTCCCGTCTTAGAGACGGGCCAGCCAGCATCGCATTTTTAGCTCTAGTATTTCTAGGAAATATAGGGGGTGCCAATTAGATAGTTTCCTAGGTCAAAAATAAATTAATTCGACGTTTCGATACAATAAAATATTCAAATAGAATATTATTATTTTAACGTTTTATTTTCTTATTTTTTTTCTCTTTTTTGATACTTTATACCCGTTTTTGTTGTATTATTCTTGTTTTGTTTATTATTTTATTATTGTATTATATAAAGATCTGTGTTCTTATTATGTATTTTTTATATAACTACTTGTATTTGTGTGCCTATTTGTCGAGAAATAGTGTTTTCTTTCTTTCAAAAATAACTATACTTTTATTCATCTATCGATTGATACACTAAGCTTTAGATATTTTGAAGCTGATTATTAAGTAAGCTATTTGACGCAAAAGAACTATGACGTCAGAACTCAGTTTTTCGTACAAATTTGCTTTAAGTACCTATGGGAAAGGAAACTTCTTAAATTGTTGCATACGAGTAAAAAAGTCATAACATTGAAGAAATGTTTAAAAAAAACATTGCGATTTTTTCTATCGAGTAAAGCACGTCGATTCTGTAACATTTGTTTGATTTTGAATCTTGTTCGAGTGCGAAGTGAGCGTCGAAGTAACGAGGTAATTAAATTTTAGAATTTAACGTCATCTCATACTTTATCTATCAAAATGTTGCTGTCAATTTAGTTCAACTCGCAAGTGTAGCGCTAGTGTACTACTACTACTACTCACAGCCGATTCAGGGGGTCTACTCTCATTCTACGACAAACGAACTTTCGATCGAAACTTCGCGTGTTTCCTACCATAGTTTCAATTCGTTCCGAAATATCGTTCGAACGAAATTGTTTGACATTTAGAACCTACTCTAATCCTTATTAGCCCCGAACAAACTTTTGAATTTGACAGAAGATTTTTCGGATTTTTTACTTCAAATTGACGAAACCAAAAGTGTTACCTTTTAATTTTCGTTTAGTGTGGATTTTGTATGAAAGTTGTTTGAAATGGCTACAAGAATGCTCTAAATCGAAGCTCTTTTACGTGAAGAACGTGTAGAGCGTAGAAGGAACCGGCGCTGCCCGCGCAATCTACTTAATATACCTAAGTCAAATTCCCGACTTAGAGTTGTAGGACAATCGTCTATTATTTGAGGAGCTGTGAGAAACTAACTTATAGAGAAGTTTTCAAACAAAAACTCATAAGTTGTGTGTTATTGTTATGATTAGTTTGCATGTACTTCGATTATTCGGAACGTGTTAGTGGGTGGAAGGGGTAAAGAAACCGATCGCTTCGCTCACCGCGGCACAAATATGTAAAAATGGGGAAGTAAATAAAAACACTTTTGAAAATATTATTGAATTTTATTTTCTAAAGTTCTGCACTTATTAACAAAAAATAAAAAAAAATATTATCATTTTAAATTAAATTTCAATTTTCTAATAGACAGATATAACAAAGAGTATCATTTTGAACAACTTATTAGCATTTTATATAACATTAAATCACTGTCACACATTACCTACTGTAACACATCCAAGTATATAAAGTTGACACACAACATAAATGAGCATTATTTACCAAATAATGCTCAAAATAAAAATATCACACATTGCCCTCCCAGTTACATACATTTGTAATTGAACATGAGTGTAATATGAATGGCTTTGTTTTAATTCTATTACATTATTTTATAAAAATAGTAAGTAATTAACATTGCATAAGTACATTTTTATCAAATTCAACGACAGGTTTCTTTTCAAATGTAGATAATCGGACATTCAGCTTCGACTCGCTTTGTCACACAGTTTTCTTCCACCACTACACAGTCAATATAAACGCACAGCCATATTATTATTAGCATTAGTTCTTGGATCATCCCTCACATGTTCTGCTAACACCAATTTTACCTTTTAGCACAGTCTGGGGTTGGAAAATGATTGTATGTTTATAACACTCAAAACCTGTTTTTATAATAATATCCATTTTTTATACAATTCAATATATATGTATTATTCAATTATATTCCTTTCTCCACATATATTTACTGTCTTTTATAGTATATTTTATTTACTTGTATATTGATAAAAATAAACAATTTGTTTACATTAATTTTTTTGACACATGTCGTGCATGGTCCCAATACAGCCATTTTTGGTCGTCATACATGACAACCCTTTCTTGGCTTGAAATAGTACTCTTTAAATTAGTCGGTTATAAATGTCTGTAAAAGAGTGTTTTATAAGGTAACGATGATAAATTACATGATAAATTACAATTCCGTCAAAAATAAATATATTTTTATTTTCTGCGTGGAATATTATAAGTAATAGTTTTACAAACCCCATGCATAATGTGGAATTTAAAGAAACAGCCAGAGAATTTGTAATTTTAACTTTAAGTAAAAACCGTAATTTACCACAAATCACATTAAAAAGAACCTAAACAATTCCATTCGTTCACGAAAATTATCTCTGGATCGAACTTCGTATGCGAATCCGAAAATAAAACAGAGTAGGGTCGTCAACGTTCTTTCGTTCGAGTTTCGTTCGTTTACGAAAGTTTCGTTTCGAAGAAAGAGAGTAGACCTCCAGATTCGAAGTTTAGAATGAAGTCTTACAGAATCACACCCAAGTTCATCGGCTCTTTATACTAAATGCGATTTTGACTGTAGGTACATATAAGATCCTCACCAAAAAGAAAATTAATTTGTTTTTAAATTTAAGACACTGTAGTTTTTGTCTCAGATTGTTTTAAAAAAAAGTGTGTAAAAAAATGTTATGTTATGTTATGTTATGTTATGTTATGTTGTGTTGTGTTGTGTTATGTTATGTTATGTTATGTTATGTTATGTTATGTTATGTTATGTTATGTTATGATATGTTATGTTATGTTATGTTATGTTATGTTATGTTATGTTATGTTATGTTATGTTATGTTATGTTATGTTATGTTATGTTATGTTATGTTATGTTATGTTATGTTATGTTATGTTATGTTATGTTATGTTATGTTATGTTATGTTATGTTATGTTATGTTATGTTATGTTATGTTATGTTATGTTATGTTATGTTATGTTATGTTATGTTATGTTATGTTATGTTATGTTATGTTATGTTGTTATGTTATGTTATGTTATGCTATGCTATGTTATGTTATGTTATGTTATGTTATGTTATGTTACAATTTACACTCACCGCATGAATATGTGGGTGTTCAGTAGTGGAAGGTGTCTTATACGAATCTCCTTCGGATAGCTGTCTAGTAAACATAGGCCGTGTCCCGGGTCCTTTGTCTACAGGACGCATGTTGTCTATTATAGTATGGATCAAGTTTCTGGAATGGAATAATTTATTTAATTATTGTAGCCGATTATGAAAATATGGGCAAAAAATAGGTCGGCTCGAACGGAGTGATACCACGTCCTCACAGAAAACCGGCGTGAAACAACCACAGCGTTGTGTTTCGCCGTGTGAGTGAGGTTACCGGAGGCCTAATCCTTCCCCACCCCCAATCCCTCCCCAATCTCTAAATCTCCAAATCCCTAATCCCCAAAAGATCGGCAACGCACTCGTAATTCCTCTGTTGTTGCGGGTGTCCATGGGCGGCGCTGATTGCTTACCATCAGGTAATCCGTCTGCTCGTTTGCCGAACCAACACATGGAAATAAAAACACTCACCCCGCAAATTCAAATCCAAGATCTTTGAAACTATTCCTCTCTTGCACTGAGAGAGGGTGCATAAACATCTTGTAGGAATCCAAAACTTTGACTCCTACTTCATCGAATTCCTCTTGACTCGCATATTCCTGACGTCTCTTACCATAAGCGTGATAGAAACTGCAAATATATATAAATAAGTAATGTAACACATTATATAACATAACTAGCTAATCTCGCGCGGTTGCACCCGCTGCTCGGCTCCGTTTAATCGTATCGTGATGTTTTATAGCCTATAGCACTCAGGAACATTGTAGCTATGTATCAGTAAATGAATTTTGGAAATCCAACCAGCGGTTCCAAAGATTACCCCCTACATACAAACTTACAAATTTTACCTCTTTATAATATTAGTGTAAATAACATAAACTAACATTGAATACTGTAACATAAGGTTAAATACTAATTTCTACCCCCACCAAGGGCGGGGAGGAAGGTAGTACCTATAAGACTCTCACTGACTAAAAACCCCCCTGTTCCTTCTCCCGCTCTGGGCCGAGGTCGCGGTGCCTCATTGCGCTTACCCCGCAACCTCGGCTGAACATCAGCCCTATAGGGCCCCGTCTGTGGTGGTCTATTGGCTCTTTGAGGCGCGCGCGGAACGTTACGCGCCGTACGCTCGGGACTGGTACTGGTCGGGCGGCGAGCTACCCTTACTCGCCGTCTGCAGACCCGTGCTGGCCACCAGAGATCATCTCTTGATCCCCGACGCCCGGAGCCCGCCGGTGGCCAGAGTGCGAGGAAAAGGATTGCTCCCTCACTCGATCCGCCTTCTTCTTTGCGAGCATAACTGCGTCACAGAAAGAGCAGACGGCTTCCCAGTTTCTCTCGCTTCGCACCATAGCCTCGACTAAGGCCAGTCACGTCTCTGAGGACACGACGGTACTCAGCCCAAGCAGGGCACACCGCCACCGTATGCTCCACCGTGTCCTCTAGGTGGTCCTCGCAATGACGACACTCGGGCGTTTTCTCCCGCTGGATCCCAAACAGGAACCTACCCAAGCTGCCATGCCCGGTAAGCACATGCGTCAGGCGGAAAGTGATAGCCTAGTTTTATTATAAGAAAAATATAAAGTACCTACAAATTATATGTCTTATGTTTAATTTGATAAATAGTTATTAATTATCTAGTTATTCGACTATCTATTTATCGGTAATCAAATACAGGTGGGTATTTGTATATTAAAATATTTGTATGGTAAATGTGTTGCCAAGCACGGATCTCGAAAACGGCTGTATCTACTTTACTAATTTTTTTATTATATATTTGTCACTAGTTTTTGTCCGCGACTTTTGGTATAAAATCTATCCTATGTCCTTTCTCGAGTTTCAAACTATTTCTGTACCAAATTTCACACAAACAGGTTCAGTAGTTTAGGCGTGAAGAAAAGACAGACAGACAGATAGACAGAGTTACTTTCGCATTTATAATATTAGTATAGATATAGATTGTCATGAAAAGGTTCTTAGAAACCTGAACTTGTAAAGGTGTATAGTGTAAGTTATAATAAGTGTAGTGAAATGCTTTCCAAACATCTACAGACACGGAAAAAAAATATATGAAGTGTTAAAATAAACGTAGGTAAATATGTAGAGTTTATTTTGTCCTTGCTTAGTCAATAATATTTGTATTACATAATTAGCATAATGTCGTCCATCGAACAATTATGTAATAAGATACCCCTGAAAACAGGTTTTAATAATAGGTCTTTACCTATGAAATTGCCGATCTGCAGTACTGGCCATTTCAAATCAAAATAGTTTTTGTTAGGCTAAGGCTGATTAATTTTGTTTTAAAAACATGGGATTCTTTTTCCAAACGTAGTCATTTGTTTATTGATTAGTGTTATTACATTTTCATCGCATTTTAAATAAAAAAAATCGTTTAAATGTTTTCATGCAAAACGGCAATTTCATAGGTAAAGACCTATTATATCAAGTTCAGTCTGGGCCTCCGGTAACTTCACTGACATAGCGAAACACAACGCTGAGGTTGTTTTACACCGGTTTTTCTGTGAGGCCTTAGTGTCACTTCAGTCGAGCCGACACATTCGTGCCGAAGCATGGCTCTCCCACACATAGTAGTATTAAGTTTACCGGAGGCCCAATCCTCTATCCTCAAATCTATCTTAAATCCCTAATAACCCACAAGAGGTCGGGACAACACTTGTAGTAACTCCTTTGATATAACGAGTGTTCATGGTGGCGCTGATTGCTTACCACCAGGTCATACGTCTACTCGTTTGCCGACCTACGACACAACGAGAGACGAACTCCGGTCACCGTAAGCGCGGATCTGCGGACGGCGAGTAAGGGCAGCTCGCCGCCCGACCAGAACCAGACCCGAGCGTACGGCGCGTAGCGTTCCGCGCGCACCTCAAAGAGCCAATAGACCACCACAGACGGGGCCCTAAAGGGCTGATGTTCAGCCGGGGTTGCGGGGTAAGCGCAATGAGGCATCGCGACCTCGGTCCAGAGCAGGAGAAAAATATAAAAAATAATGAATCCTTAATTTATATATAACCAAAGAGTTTATATAGAAGCACTTTTAAATATTGTGAGTACGCATGTGAGCGCCATGTTCGAGACGACAAAGGATTAAAATTTTATGATAGGTCCCATCATTTGTTCTTTTTTTACAACTTGTCTCTGCATTGTTCTCACATAAGGGTACAATAATGTATACTTAATATTATATTAGTGAAATTGTAAAACATTTTTTTTAAAGAGTAATCTTCCATTTGGAACGAGCACCTAGCTTCAGTGACGAACAGACTGACAGGCTACTTCTCTATTTTGACGTTCCAAAAGTTTTATGGTTTAGTTGGAATAAATTTTGACTTTGATTTTGACTTAGAGTCTGACACTCGATCCCGTAAAAAATACACTAGTATGCCTTTAAAAAGTAATAATTAGAAGAAAACGTGGCGATGGGGACCGATCCATACATTTTATTATAAACTACATATTTCTATTTTGTCGGGAGTCTAATTTATTTTTTTATTTTATACTTTTAATATCATTTTCTCTCGATTAAGTCACCAACATTCCCTTTCAGTGTGCTTTCATTTGACACCCCACTCGAATATATTTGCAGACCTTCGGTTACCCTTCCCCACTTACCCCCCCCCCATAACTTTTAAACGGCTCAACCGATTTTCGTCAAACATGTCTAAGAACACTCGCACGTATGTCAATTTTAATACAAAAAAAACTAAATTGAAATCGCTTCATCCGTTCAGGCTCCAGGATGGCACAGACAGACAGACAGACAGACACGTCAAACTTATAACACCCCTCTTTTTGAGTCGGGGGTTGATAAAAAAAGGATTGTTAAAATTACATACAGCATCGTTGCACGGGTTGTGGTGCCGTTATTAGTGGAGTTTCTCGGCACGCCAATAATATCATTAACCCTTTGAGCCATTTTCCCGTGATAATAATGGAGTACTTGTAAACTCATCTCCGATACATAAGTCTTCAAGTCTTTTAGCTGGAAAAACGATCTTAGTACTAAAAACTTGGTATTCGAAAAAAGACACAGAGTAAGATTTTTTATGGGGGGTGACTGGTAATAAGTGATCGATATTTAGGCCGTGGTATCACTCCGGTCGAGCCGACCCATTCGTGCCGAAGCATGGCTCTCCCACACTTTAATTTATTCAATAGTTTTACTGGAATTGAATTTTCTATACTATACTAATTAGTTTTATTTTTGTGTGAAGTTCAAAAGAGGTCGCGCGGTGTTTCGCCGCTTACAACTGATCATTCGGGCGATCCGTGACGGGTGCTCGATGTTACTTATAAGTAGCAATATAAAAAAAACAAATGAGTATAGAAAAATAGTTTCTTTGGGAAAGTTGTTTGTTATCATGAGTACAATTAATTGTTTAAATATAAGTCACTAATTAACAGTCACTCGTTAATTAAAATATATATAAGACGTTGTCGTTATAGCCCGGAGGCCCGCCCGCTTCTCATGCATAAGGGTGCGAAACCTAGCAAGTACCAATGTGACTTTTTCCGAGTTATATGTACTTTCTATGATTATTTAGACATCACTGACATACGGTGAAGGTAAACATCGTGAGGAAACTTGGACTTATAATTTCTAATTATAAGTTTGAAAATATCAATCTGCATTGAGCAAGCGTGATGATTAATGCTCAAACCTTCTTCGTGTGTGAAGAGGCCTTTGCTCAGCAGTGGGCACTTATAGGCTGACGATGATCCAGACTTACAATATTTCGCATTTATAGATTAAATTTCATGCTCTCCAACCCATGCTGTAGTGGCCTTTTGAGGAAAGAACCACACCAGCTTGAGTAGACCTCGTCGGACGACAGTCGGCAACACGTATGCATCAGTTCAGCTCTTAAAAATAATAGGTCTTTACCTATAAAATTGCCGTTCTGCAGTACTGGTCATTTCAAATCAAAATAGTTTTTGTTAGGCTAAGGCTAATTAATTTTGTTTTAAAAACATGGGATTCTTTTTCCAAAAGTAGTCATTTGTTTATTGATTAGTGTTACATTTTCATTGCATTTTAAATAAAATAAAAAAAATCGTTTAAATTTTTCATTCTAAACGGCAATTTCATAGGTAAAGACCTATTATAATAATATATTCCACACATCATGTTACTATCTTTATTTACTTATTAAAACTTCATGCAGAATGGGTGCATAGATACGCGGACTTAATGCCTATAGCATTTTCCACCAGTCGAGCCTTAGGTGAAGCAGAGATGAGCCAATAATTGGTGCAAGAAGCAAGCAAATAGACTAAATTTTATCTTTATTTCAACTTCGAAATCTGTTGAAAATGACAAGGTTCTAACTCACCCTATCAGTCAAAATCTTCAAATATTCAGGTGTCTGTCTGAATCTCCTCAGTAAGGATGGAAAATTTTCGCCATACAGTTTGAATCCTTCAGAATCTATATTGTATTTATGCCCCGTTGCCAATACACATGGTAAAACTATCGAGGGAAAAATCAATTAAAACTCTGAGAGCTCGGGGAGACAGGCCCGGCCGTTGTACTAACATTCTTAACATAGAGAGACTCCTCCGTGCTGAGAGCTCGGGGAGACAGGCCCGGCCGTTGTACTAACATTCTTAACATAGAGAGACTCCTCCGTGCTGAGAGCTTGGGGAGACAGGCCCGGCCGTTGTACTAACATTCTTAACATAGAGAGACTCCTCCGTGCTGAGAGCTCGGGGAGACAGGCCCGGCCGTTGTACTAACATTCTTTACATAGAGAGACTCCTCCGTGATGAGAGCTCGGGGAGACAGGCCCGGCCGTTGTACTAACATTCTTAACATAGAGAGACTCCTCCGTGCTGAGAGCTCGGGGAGACAGGCCCGGCCGTTGTACTAACATTCTTAACATAGAGAGACTCCTCCGTGATGAGAGCTCGGGGAGACAGGCCCGGCCGTTGTACTAACATTCTTAACATAGAGAGACTCCTCCGTGCTGAGAGCTCGGGGAGACAGGCCCGGCCGTTGTACTAACATTCTTAACATAGAGAGACTCCTCCGTGCTGAGAGCTCGGGGAGACAGGCCCGGCCGTTGTACTAACATTCTTAACATAGAGAGACTCCTCCGTGCTGAGAGCTCGGGGAGACAGGCCCGGCCGTTGTACTAACATTCTTAACATAGAGAGACTCCTCCGTGCTGAGAGCTCGGGGAGACAGGCCCGGCCGTTGTACTAACATTCTTAACATAGAGAGACTCCTCCGTGCTGAGAGCTCGGGGAGACAGGCCCGGCCGTTGTACTAACATTCTTAACATAGAGAGACTCCTCCGTACTGAGAGCTCGGGGAGACAGGCCCAGCCGTTGTACTAACATTCTTAATATAGAGAGACTCCTCCGTGCTGAGAGCTCGGGGAGACAGGCCCAGCCGTTGTACTAACATTCTTAATATAGAGAGACTCCTCCGTGCTGAGAGCTCGGGGAGACAGGCCCGGCCGTTGTACTAACATTCTTAACATAGAGAGACTCCTCCGTGCTGAGAGCTCGGGGAGTCAGGCCCGGCCGTTGTACTAACATTCTTAACATAGAGAGACACACAAAATTATTTCCAGCTCAGTCCATTGGACAAAACCTGCACCTTAGTTCACTATTCATGAAAAATTTACTAAAAAAATACTTACTGAATGAAAATAACATTAGAAATATAACATAGAAACTGTCAGCCATTTTTATCAGTGAACGAATTTTAATATTTTTCCCTTCGATTGTAATAAAAAGAAACAGTATTGTTGTGTGATAACATTTTTATGTCTCAATGTACATATGTAAGTAGTAAACTGAATTTTATTATATGACTTTGTGACGAAATTTCCTCCACCAACATTTCGAATTGGTTAACTCGACTGAAGTTTATACCTTCAGAAAACAACAGTTAGGCGTGGAAAATTAAGCTTGCGTTCTTGTCGTCCGACCAGCAGCAGGCCTCGAGGCGGCGGCGCCGTGTTCCGCGTGCGTCATAGTGGAGTCCGTGACGGCCGTAGTGGGTGACGGGGCCCGCCTTACCAACTGGCGGGCCAATACCCGTCGGGGGGTTGCGACGAATGCTTCGGCGATACCCGCCCCTCCGACACATGGGTAAGTGGAGGAACACCGGGTTGGTTTTTAGTCAGTAAGAGTCTGACAGTACCCTTCACCCTTCCCCGAGGGCAATGGGTCTCCATGAGGATTATCGAACCCAAAACCAAAAAAAAAAAAATTTTAGCACGAATGGTTCGGCTCGATTGGAGTAATACCACTGCCTCCCAAAGAACCGGCGTAAAACAACCACAGAGTTGTGTGTTTGCCGCAGACCCACGCTTACGGCGGCCGGAGATCACCATGCGTTTTTTTTTTTGTCAAGGGAAAATCATCAAATGACCAAATGACTTCTCCCGTGCAGGGTAAGCCGAGAGAGAGTGTCAGACTGTTACTGGCTAAAAAATCCCCGTTCATTCTCTTGCTGTGGGCCGAGCTCAACATCACCCCTATAGGGCCCCGTCTGTGGTGGTCTATTGGCTCGTTAATGCGCGCGCGGAACGCTACGCGCCGTACGCTCGTGTCTGGTTCTTCTGGTTGGGCGGCGAGTTACCCTTACTCACCATCCGCAGACCTGCGCTTACGGTGGCCGGAGTACTTCAGTCATCGTGAGGAGGTTGCTGCCTGCTTTCTGTCAAATGAGACACTCGCGGAGATATATAAAAGAAAGTCGTGTTAGTTACTCCACTTATAACTCAAGAACGGCTGAATGGATTTAGCTGAAAATCGGCAGGGAGGTAGTTTAGAGCCAAGAAAAGGACATAGGATAGGATAGAGTAGGTTAGGTAGAATAGGGTAGGTAGAGTAGGGTAGGTAGAGTAGGGTAGGTAGAGTAGGGTAGGTAGAGTAGGGTAGGTAGAGTAGGGTAGGTAGAGTAGGGTAGGTAGAGTAGGGTAGGTAAAGTAGGGTAGGTAGGGTAGGTAAAGTAGGGTAGGTACTCAAATGACGGGAGCGACGCCGCGGGTAAGAGCTAGTTGATAATAAATATAAATATTTTCAGAAATAAAACGACAGTAGTACAAATTTATTTATTTATCAACATTAATACGTTTTCGATGATTTTTTTGGGCACACCCAGTACCTGAAAAACCGATGATGAATTATTTCTCAATCTTTCACAACGATAGTATTTTCTCTCTTTTTTGACGATCTATAACGATCACGAATTTTCGGTACAATTCTTTCCCATGCTTTAGTTGTGATTTGTTTAACTGAATCTTCTGTACCAACGTTGACATGATCAAAATGTTTTCCAATTTTTTTAGATGTCTTACCACTCTTCCCTCCTTTCAAACTCTTTGTCTTAGTTTGATGGTGTTTCCAGTCTTTCTCTTTTATCTCATCATCTCCTGAATTGTCCCCATCGTTTGTTGGTCCTACCGCTTTCTTCTGTTCAGTTCTAATGCTGTATTCAAATTTCCAAACGTCTTTTGAATCCCAGCTTTCTTTTTCTCTATTAATTCTCGCTTCTTTATTCCAATTATCTTTTCTCTTAGTTTTATCGTGTCCATCCCATTCGTCTGATTTGTCTATATTTTGTCTTTCATCAATTTTCCCGATATCATTGTCTGTGTCGTATGTTTTAGTAGTCCAATCGTCGTCCTTTTCAATTTCCCAATTAAGATTTTTCTCATTCCACTCATCTTCGTGTTTCTCATCTTTTATATCAAAATCATGTTTTATATCCAAATTGTCCTGTTTGGTGGTCCAGTCAACTCTTTCTGTGTTCAAAACATCTTTTTCTTCATCTTGATGATCTCGTTTTAAATTCCAGTCATCTGTTTCTATTTGCCAGTCATAATTTTTCGTATCCAATTTGTCTCTTTTATTTATGTCGTTATTTTTTGATTCCCGATCTTTATTTTTATTTCTATTATTTCCATGAATATTTTTATCTCTTTCATCACCTATATTGTCTCTTACAATCCGTTTTTTATTCCAATCACGGTCTTGATTATTGTTTTTGTTTTCACTTTCACCATATCTTAAGCTATCATCATCATCACCTCGCTCCTTATGTTTCGTATTCCAATCAGTATTTTTATTTTCATCCCTACTTTTTACGTTTCTTTTATTTTCTTTATTCCGTTCATTCTTATTTTGGTTTCTGTTGTCATACTTTTTGTGATCGTAATCAAGCTCCCAACCACCAACATATTTATCGTGTTTTTTATTAAAATTTTCTTTCTTTTTGTCATTTTTACTTACATCCTCTTCTTCTTCTTCTTCTTTAATCCAATCATAAGTCTTTTCATTGCCTACGTATTTATATTCATTATTTTTACCATTCAAATCCCATTCAGTCGATAGTTTTCGTTCTTTAGAATCATTCTCTTCATTGCTATCTTCCTTTACTGGATCATTCCAATTTTTGTGTTTCTTAGTTGTTTTATGTGGATCAACTGTCTCGTCTGGTGCATTACCATTCCACTGTTCATTTGTTACTTCTGCAGATTTTATTTTATGTTTTCCTTTGAATCTTTTTTTTCGTTCATTTCCTTTTTCTTTGTCTCCTTTTTCGTAGTAATTAGATTCAGTTGATTTAACTTCTTGTTCGTCGTAGTTTATATCTTCTATTGTCAAAGTTTCTCCTCTTACAGAGGAAATTTCCTCGAGACTGTGTTTTTGATATGTTCCTCTATCATAATCTCCTTCTTCTTTTATAATTTTCGGTTTAATTAATTTAGGATTAATTCTTTTTTAGGCTCTACTAATTCTTCTTTTAAATATTTTTTCTTCACTATATTTTCAGAAAACGCCTCAACCTCAGCGCTTTTGATGATTGGTAATGATTCTCCAAATATTGATTTTGGTTCAAGGTTTCCATTTTGACTGATTTCAGGTTCCAAACGCGGTCCGTTTCCATCGTCAGATTGAGGAGCTATGTCTTCTTGTACTTCTGAGTTTTTTGGGATCAACTGACCAAATTCACCTTTCTTTTTATAACTGTCGAGTTCTTCGAAATTGGGGTCCAGATCAGCTGTAAACATATTCAATGATTCGTTAAATTTATTTAGCCCTTTTACAAATGATTGAGCTGTTTTCCACTGCACCTTTATCAGCTGCGTCCACGTTGCAGGATCTTCATTGCAATTTTGGTTAATGATCTTCAATGTTGACTTTTTTGCCCAATCGCCTACCTGCTTTACAGTCTAATCATGGACATAGGCCTTTCCAAAAGCACGCCACAAAGCTTGAACTTTAGCTCAACGCATCCAGCATTAGGGATATCGTCACTCCACCTATGGCACACAGGGCACACCACCACCCCACGCTAAGTTTGCCTAGACATGGTCTCCGCCCCAGAACACATACAAATTAAAGCCCCAATGGATGGATTAATAAACCCAATGTCTAACGTGGTAGTTTTAAGTGTAAGGTGCTTTGGTACGAATAGGTCAAGCCAACTGAAATAATACCAAGGCCACACAGAAAATCGGCGTGATACAACCATAGTGCTGCATTTCGCCGTGTGATAAAGTTTACCGAAGACCCAATCCTTCCCCTCCTCCAATACTTAAATTTCCACAAAAGGTCGGCGACGCACTCGTAACTCATCCGTTGTTGCGTGTATCCGTGAGCGGCGCTGATTGCTTACCATCAGGTAGTAGCCTCGTTTGCCATCCAATCACATAAAAAAAATAATCTTAAAATATTAATAGACAACATTTTTCGAAACCACCTACGTAGGTACTCCAAGTCGTATCGTCTTTGCAAAGTCCTCGTGTACGTGTCACCCTCCACAGAAGCAGACACAGCATTTAAAGAAGCTGAAGATTCATGTGACTGTTTTCTAGAAAAGAAAAGAATAAAGAGCAGTTATGGAACACAAGCAATTAGCGAGCAAGAGCGGGAGAGCCATGCTTCGGCACGACTGTGTCAGCTCGGCCGGAGTGATACGAAGACCTCACAAAAAACCGGCGTGAAACAACCACAGCGTTGTGTTTCGCCGTGTGAGTGAGTTCACCGGAGGCTCAATCAATCTTTCTCTTCCCATCCCTTGCCAATACTTAAATATCCAAAACTCTTACCCCCAAAAGTTCGGCAACGCACTCGTAACTTCCTTGGTGTTGTGGTTATCCATTGTGGCGCCGATTGCTTACCATCAGGTAATCTGTCAGCTCCTTTGCCGTATGCCATAAAAAATGGACGCTGTGGTTGTTTCAGGGCGGTATACCATACCTTTTACGCATGAGAATATGAATACCTAGCCAGTTGACACCTATAGGTTTTTTTTAAACGTTGCCCCACACTAGGATTTTCTCCGGTGTCGTGGGTGCGTTTACAAACATACAATTTCACATACACATGACACCCAGACCCGCAACAACAATTTGTGGAACCGAACCCGCGACGCGTTGCACGGCAGCCAGTTGCCCAGCCACGACACCAACCGTACAGTCAATGATGAAGGCTGGTGATGATGAATGATGTAAAAGAAAAAATACCTGATAGCTTTCTTCTTTTTAAACTTCCTCCTAAAGTCTTCCAAAATCTCAGGGTTTTCTAGCAAATGGTACCTATAAATAAAGAAAGAAACATAGAAAAAGTATTTATTCGCGTCTAGAACGCACATAAGTCACAGAACAAACAAGTGTACCTATATAAAGATAAAAAACATGGTAATACAATATATCAAAGAGTAATATAAAAAGTGATTGAAAAAGAGCATTGCAAAAAGTGATTGAAAAAGAGTAACCATGGAGTTTCTTGCTCGTTCTTCTCCATAGGAATCTACACTTTGGAACGAGCAAATAGCTTCACTAGAGGACAGACGGACAGACTGACACATATAATGTTAAACCTTATGATATCTTTTTTGCTTGACGTTCAAAAGTGCCTTTTTTGGTCTATTTGAAAAAAAGAATTTGATTTGATTTGATTTGATTATATAAGGAAAAAAATATGTGTCACATGCACGCGAAATGGCCCTCGCTCAGCATATGCAGCGACACTATGCGAGACAGTGTCGCAGCGCTGATTTTCAGCGATGGCCGAAAACTTACATTTGACGCCAATCGGTGCAGAAACTTAAATTCATCATCATCATCATCAGCCCACTGCTAAGCAACAAGGCCTCTTCTCATACGGAGAAGGTTAGAGCATTAAATCACCACGCTTGCTCAATGCGGGTTGGCGATTTAAAACTTATAATTTGAAATTATAAGTTCAGGTTTCCTCACGATGTTTACCTTCACCGTATGTCAGTGGTGTCTAAATAATCATAGAAAGTACATATAACTTGGAAAAAGTCACAATGGAACTTGCCAGGTTTCGAACCCTCAACTGCCTCATGCATGAGACGCGGGCTCCTTAACCTCCGGGCCACCACGACGTTTTTAATAATAAATAAAAACTAAAATTATAATAAATAAAAAAAGATATTAAACCGTGATATACCTCACGCTGTTCAACTGTTTCGAAGGAATTCTCCTAAAATTTTGTTGATCATCATATTTTAATATGATGTAAATATTCTCTATGAAAGGATTAATCTCTTTCAGTCCAGTTAGTTCTGTTCTGCGTTTGTCATCTGAAATGGAATTAACAACATTTATGCATACTTTTCTTATGTGATAGGAAGGGGTATATTCAAAGTAGACGGATTACCTGGTGGTAAGCAATCAGCGCCGTACATGGACACCAACAACAACGACGGAGTTACAAGTGCGATACCGACTTAAAGTAATAAGAGATTTGGAGATTTTTGGATTGGTGAGGGCTTGAGCCTCCGGTAACCTCACTCACACGGCGAAACACAACGCTGTGGTTATTTCACGCCGGTATTCTGTGAGGCCGTGGTATCACTCCGGTCGAGCCGACCCATTAGTGCCGAAGCATGGCTCTCCACACTTACAATTAACTAATTAAAAAGTGTATTTGATTCATATACACCAACGTAAATATACAAAGATGAAAGATTTGATTGTTTGTTAGTTTGAATTGAAAAGGTTCTGAAACTTATAAACAGACTAGTTTTTGCCCGCGACTTCTATCGCGTGGAATAGTGACTTCCTGCAGATTTTTGGTATAAAAACTATCGTATGTCCTTTCTCAAGTTTCAAAGTATGTCTGTACCAAATTTCACAGAAATCGGTTTAGTAGTTTAAGAGTGAAGAAAAGACTGACAGATAGACAGAGTAACTTTCGAATTTATCATATTAGTTTGAAATATTGGATTTAAAAAAAAAATGTTTTACTGCTAGGAAACTGTTTTATCTCCGGTGAATATCACTTCATAGTATAAAACAAAGTCGCTTTCTCTGTCCCTATATCCCTATGTACGCTTAAATATTTAAAACTACGCAACGGATTTTGAATAGGTTTTTTAATAGACAGAGTGATTGAAAAGGGAAGGTTTATATTATGTAAAACTATCGGTCGCTCGTGGTTCGGTGGATGTCGATTTTACACTTTTTCAAGATCCCCCTTTTCTGTTGAATTTTTTCCAGAATTTTCTTTGATATTATTCTCATGGACCCCGAGACCTTTCCAACGAATGCAAAACCGTGGAAATCGGTTCGTGCTTTTTAAAGTTATAACATCAGGAATGAAAAACCGACTCATTTTATATAGTACTAGCGGCCCGCCCCCGCTTCGCACGGGTCTAACTATCTCGCTATCAAGGGGTCACTCTTTCCTACTCTTCCCCTCTACTTTTCTAATATTTTCTTTGATAAGAACTTTCTCCTGACAATAACAAACATAACAAAAAAGGAATTAGCAAAATTATTCCAGGCGTTGTTGAGTTATGCGCTTACCAATACATTTTGCGATCCATTTTTATATTTAAAGATAATAACATTCATTAAATAGTGGAGCAGTTTAGTATCGGCATTGCATCCATGCGAAGCCGGAGTGGGTCGTCAACTTCACTAATATTTATGGCATACGTACTTCTTAAAACATTACTATTCTTCTTGAGTAAATTTATAAAGTTTATTATCTGTGTGATTCTGGATGTCTGACTGTCTTCTGGAAGCGGGGGCCGCATTGGGGTCGTACGAGACGAAGCTGACACATCTTTCTGTAATATGACTGAGAAAAAAAAATGGGGTTAAATCTATATCTAGACTAATATTATAAAGAGGTAAAATTTGTAAGTTTGTATGTAGGAGGTAATCTTTGGAAGCGCTGGTCGGATTGCCAAAATTCTTTCACTGATAGATAGCTACAATGTTCCTGAGTGCTATAGGTAGGCTATAAAACATCACGCTACGATCAAATGGAGCTGAGCAGGGCGTAATTATATAGAAACCACCATCAAATGTTATGATAATCATCATCATCATCAGTATCAGCCAGAAAACGTCAACTGCTGGACAAAGGCCTCCATCTTAGCTATCCACGTCGAACGACAAGTTGCCACCTGCATCCATAATCATTGGCTCCCCGCGACTCTGACAATGTCGTCGGTCCACCTAGCGGGAGGCCTGCCCACACTACGTTTTTCGGTCCTCGGTCGCCACTCTAGCACTTTTCGGGCCCATCGGCCGTTAATGTTATGATACCCTTAATCATTAAGTGTAAGAGAGCCATAGAGTCATGCTTCGGCACGAATGGGCCGGCTCAACCGGAGTGATACCACGGCCTCACAGAAAACCGGCGTGAAACAACCACAGCGTTATGTTTTGCCATGTGAGTGAGGTTACGTAGGCCTTATCTTTCCCCTCCCCCGATCCCTCCCAATCCCTAAATCTCCAAAACCCTAAAAGCCCTAAAACCTATAACCCTAAAAGGTCGGCAATGCACTCGTAACTCCTCCTTTGCGGGTGTCCACGGGCGACGCTGATTGCTTACCATCAGGTAATCCGTCTGCTCGTGCCGACCTATTACTTTAAGAACGAGATAAATTAAAAATAAAATTAAATCAAAAAATAAACTTTAAAACTTACACACACACCAGAATAATACAAAAATCTTCATTTCAAAAGAATCAACATATTTTTTTAGTTCCACTCACATGATTTCATTAATATTGTTATTCTTTGTCAGCGCCTTATCACATGCTTGGCAAGATTAAAATCATGGTGTGACGAAAAATATATTGTACTATTTTTTTTTTATGTGATAGGTCGGCAAACGAGCAGACGGATTACCTAGAGGATACGGTGGAGCATACGCGGTCGGCGAGTAAGGGCAGCTCGCCGCCCGACCAGAACCAGGCCCGAGCGTACGGCGCGTAGCGTTCCGCGCGCGACGCAAAGAGCCAATAAACCACCACAAACGAGGCCCTATAGGGCTGATGTTCAGCCGGGGTTGCGTAAGCGCAATGAGGCACCGCGACCTCGGCTCAGAGCAGGAGAAGGAACAGGGGGTTTTTTAGTCAGTAAGAGTCTGACACTCCCTCCCGCCCGGCCCTGGGCGGGAGAAGACATCTGATGATTTCGCCCTCACAAAAAAAAATACCTACGACACAAAAAAACCTCAACAACTCGTTATCAAACCGGGGAATCTCCCAAAGAATTACGTAAATCTGATAGAACAATTCCATGTTTTCGTATTCGTATGATATTGCAAAACAGCGGATACCTATATCATTTGTTCATGCGTCAATAAAACTAATGTTATGAAGTAGGCACAAAAACACAGGTGTTTATCAATTAAACTGTAATGGTGTTATCAAATATAATTGATCGTATCAACTACAATTAATAGGTGACCATTTCCACATCAGTTTATCTATATAAAAATGAATCGCTGATTCTGTTTGTCTTCGTATAACTATCAGACTGGATACACGGCTGATGTTCAGTCGGGGTTGCTGGGCAAGCGTAATGAGTCACCGCGTCCTCGGCCCAGAGCAGGAGAAGGAACAGGATTTAGTCAGTAATCAAGAGTCTGACTAAAATCCCCCTATTTGATTCCTAGGATTAGCAAACTGAAGTGGCAGTGGGCAGGTCACATCTATCGAAGAACCGATGACCGCTGGGGTAAACGTGTTCTAGAGTGGAGACCACGTCTAGGCAAACGTAGTGTAGGGCGCCCTCCAGCTAGGTGGACTGACGACATCCGCAGGGTGGCTGGCAGTGGTTGGATGAGAAGAGCTGAACATCGAGCTCAGTCGCGTGCAATTGGGGAGGCCTATGTCCAGCAGTGGACGACAACAGGCTGATGATGATGATGATAAAGAGTCTGACACTCCCTTCTGCCCGATCCTGGACGGGAGAAGTCTTTTTTAAAGATATTCCCTCGCTAAACAAAAACACTACTCTCCTCACGCCCGTAGTTGGAGATACTCCAAGCTTCAGGGATCGTGTGACGATCTCCGGCCATTGTAAGCGCGTCTACGGACAACCAGACCTGAGCGTACGATTTGTAGAGTTCCGCTAGTGCCTCAAAGATCCAATAGACTAACACAGATGGGGTCCAACAGGGACGATGTTCAAAAGCAGGGAATCATCAATCAAAACATCATCATTTAAAAAAAAACGAAAATGAATGAACTCTCTCGTCCAAAGTGAGGTCAGAAAAATATTAGACTCTTACTGACAAAAAACCCCCGTTCCCTCTCCTGCTCTAGGCCGAGGCCGCGGTGCCTCATTGCGCTTACCCCGCAACCCCGGCTGAACATCAGCCCTATAGGGCCCGTCTGTGGTGGTCTATTGGCTCTTTGAGGCGCGCGCGGAACTCTCGGGCACTTCATCTGGCTTGTATGACGATGATGATAAAAAATCAAATTGAATTACAGACGAAACCGCGTTAAAAACTAATGTCACGATAAATCTAAGATAATCCATATTAATAATTATCTTTGAATATGTATATATAAAACAATAATGATATTTATTCTGCATTGTTAGTTAGGCTTTAATTGTATTTTGAAAATGAAGAGTCTGTTGATCTTTTTTTGTGTTTTCGCTTTCGGGGCGGGTAAGTTATTAAACTTGTTTATTTGGAACTAGCTACTCTCGCGTAGTTTCACTCGCTGCTCGACTCTTATAGATCGTAGCGTGATGTTTTATAGCCTATAGCACAAGGGAACATCGTAACTATCTGTCAGTGAAAGAATTTTGGAAATCCGACTAGCGGTTCCACCACTTTATAATATTAGTATAGATAGGAGGAATAGGTGACCTTATATGAAGAAGCAATAGACATAATTTTAATACTAGAGGCAAAGATAGGCTGGCTGTGCCACGATTCCGTCTGTCCAAAGTACAGAAATCCTTTATGGGGTTCTGTGTAAATTGTTACAATAAAATTCCAAGAACTGTATTAAATCTTAATGAACGAAAATTTAAAACTTATATTAAACGCGAATTATGTAGACAGGCATACTACAAACTTTCAGATTATATTGAGGATAAGAATGCCTGGCAGCGTGTTGATTCGGCTCCACTGGACAATACTCAAATATGTAGTCAGTAGTTATTAATATTCTCAAAATTAATGAAACCTTGAATGAGTTTATATAGAAGCATTCTTTTAGATTGTGAGTACGCATATGTGAGCGCCATGTTCGAGACAACAAAGGATTAAAATTTAATGATAGATCTCATCATTTGTTAATTTTTAGTAACAACTTGTCTCTGCATTGTTCTCACATAGGCGTACAGTAATGTATAAAAAATGTATTATTGGTGAATTGTAAAACATTTTTTTAAAAAAAAGAGTAACGATGGAGTTTCTTGCTCGTTCTTCTCCATTCGAAACTACAATTTGGAACGAGCACCTAGCTTCACTGACGAACAGACTGACAGACTACTATTATATTTTGACGTTTCAAAAGTACCTATTTATGGTTTAGTTGGAATAAATGATTTTGATTTCATTCGATACAAAAAATTTGTTCAATTACGTTATTTCGCCTAGTATGACATTCAAAAACTTACACAGACCTATAATAGATAGACCACCACATACGGGGCCCTTTAGGGCTGATATTCAGCCGGGGTTACGCGGCTAGCGCGATAAGGAACCGTGGCCTCGTGCTAAAGCAAGAAAAGGAACGGGGGAGTTTTTAGTCAGAGTCTGACACTCTCTCTCGCCTCACAATTGGCGGGAAAAGTCATTTGATGATTTTCCAAAAATCCACTATTAGGTTAAAAGCCGGTGCCTCAAGTTATATTTGTTTTTCATTAATCCTTTACATATACATTAAAAAACTTTCTTACAGTTTATTTGTGTTACATTATGTATGCTTATATTATGTCTTGCTCGTTCTTCTCCATCGGAATCTACACTTTGGAACGAGCAAATAGCTTCACTAAGAGGACTGACCGACAGACTGACACTTTGTATCTTTAAAGTTGTGTTGACGTTCAAAAGTGCCTGTATGGGTCTAATTGAAATAAATGATTTTGACTTTGACTTTGACTTTGACTATGAGCTTCAAGACTGACTATTATAATTCATATTAATTTTGTAAAAGTCGTTTAAAAAATAAAAGTCAAATATTATAATAATCAGCTCCTCTCACCTGGTGTTAAGCAATGATGCGACTTAATATGATATCAAACTCGAGACGCCACGTACTGCCCCTGTTTCCCCTTCCCTATTGACTTCCAGCCACTCCCTGCCACTTTGATCAGTGCTGCACATAAAATCATTCCAGATCAACCAACTTTAAGGAGTCATCTGCATCCAATCCCCAACACAAGTATATTCTATTTACTTACTGGGGCTGCCTCAATTACAATAAGTACTGTAATGATTTTGAGATAATAAAGATATTTGATATTTGAATTTGAATCTGCATCCAATCACATACTGCAACCTTTATTCGACTGACCAGAAAAATCTAATTTTAAAAACATTCATGCCTTTATTAACTAAAAATCGCGGGTTACTCACGTGTGAATATTGAGAAAAGCTCTACTAGTTTCGAACCACAGAGGGGTTCTTCCTCATGAGCAGCGTGCGCGGACGCGGCGACGTCGCGCAGCCTACTGAACCAGCCAACTCAATGTACACACGTGAGTAACCCGCGATTTTTAGTTAATTTAGTATGTCTCACGATAGTTATTATAAAAACATTCATGCCTTTGTTTTTCCTTCCAGCTCTCCCCTACGATCCAGTGCTAAGAAAGATAGACGATGGACCTAGATACCAACACATTGAAGGTCCAGACGGAACCCTGCACTTGGAAGATCTGTGGGTGAAAGCCAGCGACCTCGCTGAAGCAGCCAAATACAACCCTGACAGACAAAATGTCTATCATTTGTACACAAGGTTTGTACAAATTATTTTATGACAGTTAGGCATCATTATCATCAGCCTAAAAGTGCCCACTGCTGAGCAAAGGCCTCTACTCAAACGAAGAAGGTTTGAGCATTAACTACGACGATTGGTACTTGCCGCGTTTCAATCCGGCGCCCATATATTTTTTTTATTTAATACGTCGGCAAACGAGCAGACGGATTACCTGATGGTAAGCAATCAGCGCCGCCCATGGACACTCGCAACGGAGGAGTTACGAGTGCGTTGCCGACCTTTTAGGGATTTGGGATTTGGAGATTTAGGGATTTAGGAGGGATTGGGGGAGGGGAAGGACTGGGCCTCCGGTAACCTCACTCACACGGCGAAACACAACGCTGTGGTTATTTAACGCCGGTTTTCTGTGAGGCCGTGGTATCACTCCGGTCGAGCCGACCCATTCGTGCCGAAGCATGGCTCTCCCACACTTAATAATATATATTTATAAAGAGCAAAAGCGTCAGCTTTAAGTCAAGGTCAAAAGTCAAAATCATTTATTTCAATTAGACCTATACAGGCACTTTTGAACGTCAAACTAAATTTCAAAGATATAAAGTGTCAGTCTGTCGGTCAGTCCTCTAGTGAAGCTATTTTCTCGTTCCAAAGTTTACATTCCTATGGAGAAGAAACAAGCTAGAAACTCCATGGTTACTCTTTTTTAAACAGTTTCATATAAAGATTCCTTGGTACATTATTTAGTTGCTTTGATTATGGGAGAACAGTGTAACACTAGTATAAAGAGAAAGAAAATGACCTTAAGGACAATAGACAGTCTGGAGCTGACTAGTCCCAATTGACGGCGCCCGTTCACGACTTATGTTAACAAGTTGTGAATGGGCTATACAACGACTACATACATTTCTGTGGCAAAGAAATCTCCTCATGCTAAATAAGCATTTGGCACAGCCCGTGGGCATCCTCAATGCCAGAAAATCTGTTTTATAAAACCTCTAAGGACTCTGTTATATTCTTATTATAACTTTGGTGAGACATTCTAAATTAATTATTATGTTTTCGGCTTACTTACGTTATAATTTGACGAGATACCCGACTAGTTTCAAGCCATGCTAAAGGCCCATATTCATGAGCAGCATTCCGCGACACGCGACGAGGCGAATGTCTGACGGCTGACTGTCGCGGAATGCTGCTCTGTTACAATTTTACTAGCTGAATCGCAAGTGAATTGCTAGCCTATTTGAGGTTCGGAAGAAGAAGGAGGTTGGGGGTTGGAGATGGGATAGTTAGTGTGTTATTTTCACTTTGTCCCATCCTAGGATTCTTTTCCTATGTCGTGGATATGCGTTTACAAACTTAAAATGTCACGTATAGTGCACATTTATACCCGAAACAAGAACTAGTGGATCACACAAAAACTTATTCGGGCTTATTACAAAACAAGGTTTTACTTTAGTCTAGGACTAAACCATTAGGCCAGTTTTCGTATTTCGAATTGAAGGTAGATGACAATAAGATTCAAAATTCAAAACCCGACTCAATGGTTTAAACCTGGACTAAAGATAAACCTTGTTTTGTAATAAGGGGGATTACGTTCGAGAATCGAGACCACGACGATACACTGCAGCGTTATTTCATACCAGTGTCTTTGATGCCGTGGTATCACTCTGGTCGAAATGGCTCATTTTTTTTTTACTTGCTATTAACTAGTACTTGGCTGCGATCCCACCTGATGGTAAGCAGTGATGCAATCGTTGATGGTAAGGCGCGCTAGTTTATTAAGAGCCTATTCACTCTAGCCTTGAAGACACCTAAATTATATTCGGACGGAAAGTCTGCAGCCGGCAAACTGTTCCAATCCCTCGATGTACGCGGTATAAATGACGAGGCAAAACGCTTAGTCCAGGCCGCAGGTGTCTCAACAACGTAAGGCTGGATATTTGCCGTACGCCGGGATGTCCGAAGCTCATTTGTGCTTACTCACACGTACACTATTGATGCTGTATAAAAAACATAGATTTCCTTTCACAGACTGAACCCAACTGTTAGTCAGCCTATGCTGATCGGTAACGAAGGTCTTCTAGGTCTGAACAACTACAATCCAGCCAGAAGAACCATCATACTCCTGCACGGATGGAGAGCAGACGCTACTTCTGATTTTAACAGGGTCCTTGTACCAGGTAAGTCTTCGTGAGAGGAAAGGATCCCTCTATGCTGATAGCTGCATACATATTTACTTGTATGTACTTCAGGGGGGGTCCATTTCTCTGCAGCTGGCTGTACAAGCGACCTGACTTGGCCTCGCACGTGTGAAAATAATACGAAATAATTTCACTATTTAATGGATGTTATTATGATGCATATAAATTTTTCTCTTAATTTTTTTTATTATGGGACGGCAAACGAGCCTTTTGATTGCCTGATGGTAAGCAATAGGCGCTGCTCATGGACACCCACAACACCAAAGGAGTTACGAGTGATATTAAAGGATTGGGAAGGGATGGGGGAAGTTGAAGGGATTGGGCCCCGGTAACCTCACTCACACGGCGAAACACAACGCTGTGGTTGTTTCACGCCGGTTTTCTGTGAGGCCGTGGTATTAATCCGGTCGAGCCGACCCATTCGTGCCGAAGCATGGCTTTCCCACATTTAATGGCTTATAGTTTTTGGATATACGAGTAGAACCGAGATGCTAGCCACCCTAACCCATTTGATAGACCCAGAACCGAAACAGCTGATTGAGGAATGTGTTTAAGAAAGAAAGAAAGAAAGAAAACTGTTTTTATTCGGACTGAGACATGAAGGCCAAGAACAAACAAAAAAAATACAACAATAAAAAAAACAAAACAATAAAAGTTTGAAGTAACAGGACAACAAAATAAAATAAAAATAAAATTAATCAAAACAATAACGTGAAAACAGCCTAACAAGGTACAATAATACAACCCTGGGTTGGTGGACATGCCCAATCCGAATGGGTCGCCAACTCAGCAAAAGCTGGGCACGGAGCACCCAACACTGATTTTCAGTTGGCACTTCTGCAGTGACGCACGGACGAATGCAACACATACTATCTACTAGTTACTAGTAATGTTTAAAACTATGTGTATATTCTTCTGTTCAGCGTTCCTGTCAGCGGAAGATGTTAACGTGATCGTTGTGGACTGGAGCGCTGGCGCTGGCTCCATCAACTACGCAACCGCCGTCACCAATACTGTTCCTTCTGGTGAGTCAGAATTGAAATAAAAAAGAGAAGAATTATTAACATTATTATACTGCTCTCGACACCCCTTTTCTGCTTTTTCTTTTCCGTTTTAAAGAACTTTGACTTACACTAGGATTTTCTCATGATTGTGTCGTGGATGCGTTTACAAACATACAATTTCACATACACATCACACCCAGACCCGGAACAACAATTTGTGGATTCACAAAGAGTTGTTCCGTGCGGGAATCGAAACCGCGACACGTGGAACGACAGCCTGTTGCTCAGTCACCGCGTCAACTGTGCTGTGTTTGTCATTTAATTATTCAAGAATACTTGTGGAGCAGATATTTTTTCTTTCAAAATAAATTTAAAATCTAATATTCCTTTAAAAAGTAATAATTAAATAAAAAAAACGTGGCGTTGTGGGACCGATCCGAAAATTTTATTATCTACTAAATTTTTTTTTTTATTACTTATATAATTTTTATAGGTATTTTATATCATTTTCTCTCGATTAAGTCATCAACATTCCCTTTCAGTGCGTTTTCATTTCACCCCACTCGAGTATATTTGCAGACCTCGGTTACCCAAAGGAGTTACAAAGGTTTCGCTGGTCTTTTAGAAGGCAATCAGATCTCCAATAACACCTAACCTGATCTCTTTCTATTTCCAGGTGAAAGCGTGGCTCGTTTCATCGACTGGCTAAACACAGTCACTGGTGCAGTTCCGAGCATGTACCATATTGTGGGACACAGTATTGGGGCTCACAAGGCTGGTATTATTGGCAGAAATCTTGGTGGAAGAATTGGATATATCACTGGTAAGTTACTATTAACCTAGCCCTCGGATTATCAGGTCTTTTTTATGGAATAGGTCGGCAAACGAGCACACGGATTACCTGATGGTAAGTGCGCCGCCCATGGACATATGCAACTGAGGAGTTACGAGTGCGTTGCCGACCTTTTAGGGATTAGGAGATTTGGAGATTTAGGGATTGAGGAGGGATTGGGGGAGGGGAAGGATTGGGCCTCCGGTAACCTCAATCACACGGTGAAACACAACGCTGTGGTTTTTTCACGCCGGTTTTCTGTGAGGCCGTGGTATTACTCCGGTCGAGCCGACCCATTCATGCCGAAGCTTGGCTCTCCCACACTTTTATATATTTTTTAAATGTTTTATTTTATAACTAGCTACTCTCGCGCGTTTTCATCCGTTAAGCGGCTGTTACATATCGTAATGTATTGTTTTATAGCCTATAGCAATTTTGGCAATACGACCAGCGTTTCTTAAGATTACCCCCTACATACAAACTTACGTCTTTATTAATAATATTACTAGCTTTTGCCCGCGACTCCGTTCGCGTGGAATAGTGACATCCTGCAGATTTTTGGTATAAAAACTATCCTATGTCCTTTCTCGAGTTCCAAACTACGTCTGTACCAAATTTCATAAAAATCGGTTCTGTAGTTTAGGCGTGATAGAAAGACGGAGACAGACAGTGTTTCTTTCACATTTATATTATCAGTGTAGGTAACTGTACAAATTATTTAATTTATTTACATCTTAAAACTAAACTTACAAACTAACAAAATTACAGTTAATAATATATACTATGTACATATACCTACACACATTTATATACATATTTACATTTTGTTCACAATACTTATGTATAATACCTAATACATAATACTTCCTTACCAGTTGGTCGATAAAATTTCCTTCGATAGTCGATAATACAAAAACTATCGACTGGACCCTCACCACTAATCACCAATATAGTTATAACTATCCTTAACTATTGATGATCGCTTGCCGATGCGCCCGCACACACCTGTGGAATCAGTCTTGCCGAGACATTGCTAAGACGCGCATTTATTGTAATTCTTCCGCTATCCTAACGCTGTGATAATTACGCTATTTCTGTTTTCTACTTCTTTCTTATTATTAGTATTGACTATTTCTACCACTATCTCTGTACTGTGCTTGTGTATGTGCTTGAACTGTCCTACTGTGCCTTCTGTAACTCGTGTGTGCCGGATCGGCCAAATAAACCTGGTGATACGTGAGTCGAACTTTTATTTACACCACGGAATACGCGACACCGTCAACACACACAACAATCCATCCAAACTGGTGACCCCGATTTTGAACCATGGACAAGGATTTTCAAGATGCACATGGTCCCACTATGCCCTTGAGCACTCAGAGGTCAAACACTAGTGATGTAGGCGAGTCGATAAAAAATATCGATATTTTCAAAGTCGGCACGCGCCTGCCACCATTTTGGCCGGAAGAGCCAGAAGTTTGGTTCGGACAAGTGGAAGGTCAATTCGCGATATCAGGAATCACCAGCGACTCAACCAAATTCCACTACGTGATCAGTCAGCTGGATACCCAGTACGCGAGGGAAGTAAAAGACCTTATTATCAGTCCGCCTACATCAAATAAGTACGACAAACTTAAAGTCGAATTAATTAAGCGACTGACGGCGTCTAAGGAGAAAAAGCTTAAGCAGCTCTTAATGCACGAGGAGCTCGGAGACAGAAAGCCCTCTCAATTTCTCCGTCACCTCAAAAGTCTCGCTGGCGTGAACGTTCCCGACGATTTTTTAAAGACGATCTGGATAAGTCGCCTCTCTCACGGGATCCAGACGGTGCTAGCAGGCCAGCCACCAACAGCCACCATAGAGGACTTGGCAGACTTGGCTGACCGCATACAGGAGTTGGCCGCACCTTCACCATCTGTGGCTTCTACGAGCGCAGCCAGTCCCAACTCTGCCCTGGATGTTCTCGTCAGAGAAGTCGCCGAGCTTCGGAGGCAGGTCCAACAACTCAGTGCAGGCAGGAAGAGCAGATCCCATACGCGATCTACGAGGTCGCCGCACCATAGATCAGCATCCAGGTCGACACGCTCAGAGTCGAATTACAGGAAGTTTCCACTGTGCTGGTACCACGGTAAATTCGGAGAAAAGGCCAGCAAATGCGTAACCCCCTGCGACTACAAATCGGGAAACGCCAGGGGCGGTCGATAATGGCGACAGCTGACTGCCCTGAAACTCCTACTGGTCGCCTGTTCATCACAGACCGGACTTCGAAGACGCAGTTCCTCGTCGATACAGGAAGCGACCTCTGTGTCTTCCCCCGGTCCCACCTTCGTGATCGACGTGCCAAGACGGACTATAATTTGTGTGCTGCAAATGGTTCTACCATCTCGACTTACGGTTATGTTTACTTTAATTTAGATTTTGGCTTGCGTAGAGTGTTTAGTTGGCGTTTCGTAGTAGCAGACGTTACTAAGCCTATCATAGGCGTTGATTTTTTAAATTACTACTGTCTTATTGTAGATTGCCGTAATAAACGCCTGTTAGATAGTAGTACTTCTGTTTCCTCCGCAGCCAAAGTAGTTAGATGTAGTGACATAGCATCCGTCAAAGTCTTGACTGGCGAGACACAATACCACAAGATTCTCAGCGAGTTTCCGGAAATTACTCGACCAGCCTGTAAGCCACATTGCACATCACACAATACTGTCCACCACATACGCACGACACCAGGCCCCCCAGTTTACTCTTCACCTCGTCGTTTAGCGCCGGATAAGCTCAAGATCGCCCAAAAAGAGTTCCAGTCTATGCTGACCCTTGGTACAGCTAGACCTTCTGAGAGTCCATGGGCGTCACCGCTACACCTGGCGCCCAAGAAGAATAATGGCTGGCGTCCATGCGGCGATTACCGTAAGTTGAATGCCCGTACCGTTCCTGACAGATATCCGATTAAACACATACACGACTTTACCCACAGTATAACTGGATGTAAAGTCTTCAGTACACTCGATTTAGAGAAAGCATATAATCAGATACCTGTCAGTCCCGATGATATACCTAAGACCGCCATAACAACCCCATTTGGGCTATTCGAATTTCCATTTATGACTTTCGGTCTTAGGAATGCGGGCCAAACCTTTCAACGGTTCGTAGATGAAATGACGAGGGGATTAGATTTCGTGTATTGTTACCTGGACGATTTTCTCGTGTTTTCTAAAAGCCCAGAGGAACACGAGGACCATTTACGACAGGTATTTAACAGGCTGAAGGATTATGGTATGTTGGTGAACACCTCGAAATGCGTTTTCGGTATGGAGGAGGTCACATTTCTAGGCTACCGTATTACCGAATACGGTACCAGGCCACTTGACTCCAAAGTCCAGGCCATCAAAGACTTCCCCCCGCCAACCAACGTCCGTCAGCTTAGAGGTTTCTTAGGCATGCTCAATTTTTATAGGAGATTCCTTCCTAATGCAGCCGAAATTCAAGGCCCACTTCACGCCTTATTAACAGGCTCCGTCAAAGGCTCACAACCAATTTCTTTGACAGGTGACACACTCGCTGCTTTCGAAGCCTGTAAAGAAAGCCTGACCAACGCTACTCTTCTTGCTCATCCGGACTGCACAGCTAAACTTGCAGTTGTCACAGATGCTTCAGACAAGGCTATCGGTGCGGTCCTGCAGCAATATAAAAATGAAGCGTGGCAGCCCCTAGGTTTCTTTTCAAGGAAATTGAGTCCATCACAGGTGAAGTACTCACCATATGATAGGGAGCTTCTAGCAATTTATGAGGCCATTAAATATTTTAGACACATGCTAGAAGCTCGCCATTTTATAGTCTATACTGACCATAAGCCTATTAGCTTTGCCTTCCATGAACGGAAGAATAGCTGTTCGCCCAGGCAGTACAGACATTTAGATTTTATTTCGCAATTCACGACAGATATCCGCCACATTTCTGGCAAGGATAATGTGGTTGCAGATACCTTGTCGCGAATTGAAGAGCTAGCAGACCCTGTAGACCTCGAAAAGCTAGCTCAAGCTCAGACTTCTGACTCAGAACTCTGCAAGCTCTTGAGCGAAGGTTCTTCTCTGCAGCTCAAGAAATTCACGGTCCCTGGAAGCGGAATTCCCGTTTACTGCGACGTCAGCACGTCAGCTTTCAGACCATACGTACCTAATTCATTCCGCAAACAAATATTTAATAGTTTGCACTCCTTAAGCCACCCAGGTGCCAACGCGTCGGCCAAGTTAATAGCTGAGAGATTTGTATGGCCAGGCGTGCGAAAAGACTGTAGGAACTGGGCACGCGCTTGTATACCATGCCAGAGGACGAAAGTCAACCGTCACGTGACTGCTCCTCTAGGCACTTATAACTTACCGCGCGCACGGTTTAAACAGATCCATATTGATCTGGTAGGCCCTCTTCCAGTTTCCCAAGGTTATCGGTACTGTTTAACGGCCGTGGATAGATTTACACGGTGGCCAGAGGCAGTACCGATACAAGATATTACAGCGGAAACGGTGGCCAAAGCTTTGCTGTCCATATGGATATCACGTTTTGGTTGCCCGACAGATATTGTAACTGATCGCGGTCGCCAGTTCGAATCGTCCCTGTTCCAATGCCTGTCGAAGATAGCAGGATTCGAACATAAGCGAACGACAGCCTACCATCCAGCATGCAACGGTTTGGTTGAACGGTTCCACCGCCAGCTGAAGGCCGCGATCGTCTGCCATGCAAACGACAGATGGACAGAATCCTTACCATGGGTGTTATTGGGCGTAAGATCTGCCTTTAAAGAAGACCTCCAAGCCTCTTCGGCGGAACTATTGTACGGGGAGCCGCTAAGGTTGCCTGGAGAGTTTTTTGAGCCAACTGTCGACGGTACAGTTGACACGGCTGAATTTACCGCAAGGCTCAGAAATTTCGCCAAGAAACTGCGACCGGTCCCAGCTTCCCGGCACTGCAATCCCAAGGTATTTATTTATAAGGAGCTAGACACTTGCGATTACGTTTTCCTCCGTGAAGATGCATTGCGAGGTGCTCTTCAACCTGCTTATTCTGGGCCATATAAGGTTGTCACGCGAAGAGACAAAGTATTCAAGATACTAGTAAAAAACAAAGAAGTGACAGTATCCATCGACCGACTAAAGCCTGCCTTTATTTTATCTAACACGGTGGGAGAGCCCCCACTCACAGTGCCGCCAAGTTACACGACACGTTCTGGGAGGCGAGTTAAATTTACTGACTTCTATCGCCCTTGACGGTCTCTGGAGGGGGGTGGTGTAGGTAACTGTACAAATTATTTAATTTATTTACATCTTAAAACTAAACTTACAAACTAACAAAATTACAGTTAATAATATATACTATGTACATATACCTACACACATTTATATACATATTTACATTTTGTTCACAATACTTATGTATAATACCTAATACATAATACTTCCTTACCAGTTGGTCGATAAAATTTCCTTCGATAGTCGATAATACAAAAACTATCGACTGGACCCTCACCACTAATCACCAATATAGTTATAACTATCCTTAACTATTGATGATCGCTTGCCGATGCGCCCGCACACACCTGTGGAATCAGTCTTGCCGAGACATTGCTAAGACGCGCATTTATTGTAATTCTTCCGCTATCCTAACGCTGTGATAATTACGCTATTTCTGTTTTCTACTTCTTTCTTATTATTAGTATTGACTATTTCTACCACTATCTCTGTACTGTGCTTGTGTATGTGCTTGAACTGTCCTACTGTGCCTTCTGTAACTCGTGTGTGCCGGATCGGCCAAATAAACCTGGTGATACGTGAGTCGAACTTTTATTTACACCACGGAATACCCGACACCGTCAACACACACAACAATCCATCCAAAATCAGTATAGATAGTATGGATTGTGCTGGACTTTTATACTATAATATAGTTACTATTGTACTAAATTTTTTCCTTCTGTCTCCACAGCATTGGAAGCAGCTTTCCCCGGTTGGATCACCCACAGTGAGAAGTTCAGAAGTACTGATGGAGCGTACACCGAAGTCATACACACGAACGCTGGAGTCCTCGGGTACATCACGCCACTAGGGCATGTAGACTTCTACCCCAATGGCGGGGTTGGCATGCCTGGGTGTGATTCTCAGGAGTGCGACCATGCTAGGTAAGTCTAAAGTAAACAATTTAACTGGTCATAAAACAAGCATTTTTACATAAAAATCCTTTCTCTGTCTTCTTCGTCTTAAAGATTTAGGCGTATATAGGGTTGTATCTACGCTTAAAAAAGTCAACAGTCAAAGAAGTCAAAAAAGTCAAATGTCAAAGAAGTCAAAAGCCAAAAAAGTCAAAAGTCTTAAAAGTCAAAAGTCTAAAAAGTCAAAAGTCTAAAATCATTTATTCCAATTAGACCCTTACAGGCACTTTTGAACGTCAAAATTTTTAAGATATAGTGTCAGTTTCTCGGTCAGTCCTCTCAGTGAAGCTATTGGCTCGTTCAAAGTGTGTCTCTGAAACAATAAAACAGGGGACTAACCATGACGTTCAAGGTAAGATTGTTTTAATCTTACTTCAGTGTGGGAAAGAGAGATTTACGAGTTGTCTAGCTCTGTCTCTTACCCACACGATCCCAGGTCATAAAACATCACTTTTACACGTCAACATAGAAACAAAGTCACTTTCTCTGTCCCTATATCCCTATGTACGCTTAAATCTTCAAAACTACGCAACGGATTTTGATGCTTTTAATAATGAAGAGTAATTTAAGAAGAAGCTTTATATGTCAATTTCTCTCCCTATATAAAGGATTTCTCTACTCTGCATGTCAAAATTTCCACACTAGCTAATCGAGGTAGAGATCCCAGTTAAGAGGATCCGCAAAGATAATCTGTAATACCAAAGGAGTTGCTACAAGTGCGTTGCCGACCTATTGTGGGTTATTAGGGATATAAGGATAGAAGATTCAGATGGGGGAAAGGATTGGTCGTGGTGGCTCGGAGGTTACCGAACCCGCTTCTCATGCATGAGGCTGCGGGTTCAAAACCTGGCAAGTACCAATGTGACTTTTTTCGAGTAATATGTACTTTCTATGATTATTTAGACACCACTGACATACGGTGAAGGTAAACATCGTGAGGAAATCTGGACCTTATATAAGTTTGAAATCGCCAACCCGCATTGAGCAAGCGTGGTGATCAATGCTCTAACCTTCTCTGTATGAGAAGAGGCCTTTGCTCAGCAGTGGACACTTATAGAGAAGGATTGGGTCTCCAGTAACCTCACTCACACGGCGAAACATAACGCAATTATTGCTTCACGCCGGTTTTCTAAGAGGCCGTGGTATCATGCCAAAGATGGCTGTCCAACAATCGATTCTTCTTTAATCTTATTTAAGTACTAGCTTTTGCCCGCGACTTCGTTTGCGTGGAATAGTAACATCCTGCAGATTTTCGGTATAAAAACTATCCTATGTCCTTTCTCGAGTTCCAAACTATGTCTGTACCAAATTTCACACAAATAGGTTCAGTAGTTTAGGCGTAAAGAAAAAACAAACAGACAGACAGAGTTACTTTCAAATTTATAATATTAGTTTGGATATGTCGTGGTTGCCCGGAGGTTAAGGAGCCCGCTTCTTATGCGTGATGTGGGTTCGAAACCTGGCAAGTACCAATGTGACTTTTTCTAAGCTATATGTACTTTCTATGATTATTTAGACACCGCTGACATACGGTGAAGGTAAACATCGTGAGGAAACCTCGACCAATATAAGTTTGAAATCGCCAACCCGCATTGAGCAAGCGTGGTGATCAATGCTCTAACCTTCACTGTATGAGAAGAGGCCTTTGCTCAGCAGTGGACACTTATAGAGAAGGATTCGGTCTCCAGTAACCTCACTTACACGGCGAAATATAACGTTTGAGTAATTGTTGCTTCACGACGGTTTTCTAAAAGGCCGTGGTATCATGCCAAAGATGGCTGTCCAACAATCAATTCTTCTTTAATCTTATTTAAGTACATACCAGCTTTTGCCCGCGACTTCCTTTGCGTGGAATAGTAACATCCTGCAGATTTTCGGTATAAAAACTATCCTATGTCCTTTCTCGAGTTCCAAACTATGTCTGTACCAAATTTCCCAGAAATTTCAGTTCAGTAGTTTAGGCGTGAAGAAAAAACAAACAGACAGACAGAGTAACTTTCTTTATAATATTAGTTTGGATATGTCGTGGTTGCCCGAAGGTTAAGGAGCCCGCTTCTCATGCGTGATGTGGGTTCGAAACCTGGCAAGTACCAATGTGACTTTTTCCGAGTTATATGTACTTTCTATGATTATTTTAGACACCGCTGACATTCGGTGAAGGTAAACATCGTGAGGAAACCTGGACTTATAATATCTAATTATAAGTTTGAAATCGTCAACCCGCATTGAGCAAGCGTGGTGATTAATGCTCTAACCTTCTCCGTGTTAGAAGAGGCCTTTGCTCAGCAGTGGGCACTTATAGGATGATGATGATGATGAGTTTGGATAAACTTATTTAAATCTTGCTTTCTTTTTTTAGGTCATATTTCTACCTAGCTGAGTCCTTGACCTCCGGTGGATTCACAGGCAGACGTTGTGCCTCTTACCTCACAGCTATGACTGGCAACTGCGTACTTCTTGGTAGATTGAGGATGGGTGGACTAGTGCCAAAGACTGGGTGAGTTAATTTTTTATAGCACTTGGCTTTTGTCCAGTTTTTTGTAAAGGGAAATTCATCAAAGGACTCCTCTAGCACAGGGTGAGGTCTGGTCTGGTCAAGGGGTGTCTTTGCCACTTTCACCAGACATCTTTTGAGCTCATTGAAACGATGCCCCATGTAAAGGGAAGGAGGGAATATTTGGTAATAAACAGAGCACAATATCAGGCTTTGTTCCACTATAGAGGAATTTTAAAATATTGTACTCGACAGTCATAATTACGACCACTTGACTAACAGGTCAATCAGAATTATTATTACAAGTAGGGTTGCCACCCGTACTTTATAATAAAGTATTGTACTCTATTTCATATAATTGTACTCTATACTTTATGAGAACAATAAAGTACACGAAAATACTTTATTTTGTATGTATTGATTTTTTTTGGGATTTTGAAAAATCTGTGATGAACAGCGAGATGACGAGATGAAAGAAACAAAGCGTCTCTGAATTTAATAAAGACTGTAAAGATGTTTTAGTAGAGATACTTATTTAATGCAAACTGCAAAATGCATTAAAAAATATGTTTTGAAATATAAAAATAAAGAAAAATAAATTGTACTTTATCTTGATCCCATATACTTTTTTTTTCTTACCTATAATAATCAATGTACTTTATTAACTGCAAAAAAGGTGGCAACCCTAATTACAAGTGTGAAACTGAAACATAAAGTATCAGTCAGACACAGTATTACCTTGTTTTCTTGACGGGAAAATATGTACAGTCAGGGGTCAAAAACGCAATTGCACTCTACCAATTTTAAAATGACCAAAATATCTTTGTAGAATTGAGTCAATGGTTGAGGACTGCTTTAATTTATAGCGTAGAATCTAAATTATTTAATAAACTGGCTGTGAACCATTTAACTTTTACTACAAAGAAATTTTAGTAATTTTAAAATTGGTAGACTGTAATTGCATTTTTGACCCCTGACTGTACATCTGTAATCTTCTCCCGCCTAGGGTGAAGCGAGGTCAGACTCTTACTGACTAACCCCCAACCGCCCCCCCCCCCCCCCGTTACTTCTCCTGCTCAGAGCCGGCATACATTATTGCGCTCCCCCCTAAGAGTAGAGGGGGATTTAAGGATTCAGGGTTTGTGGCGCTGGTCATCTCACTCATACGGTAGCACACAGCGTAAGCGTTGGTTCACGCCAGCATTGTGTGAGGCCGTGGTATCACTCCAGACTAGTACATAATCCATCAATCTTTTATAAGTCAAAGTTTAAAATCAATTCATTTATTTCACATTAATTTCCACTTTAGGCACCTTTGGACGTCAAATAAAAAATAAATATATGAGAAGTTAAAAAGTATCAGTCTGTCGGTCAGTCCTCTAGTGAAGCTATTTGCTCGTTCCAAAGTTTACATTCCTATGGAGAAGAACGAGCAAGAAACTCCATGGTTACACTTTTTCAATCAGTTTCACAATTCATTTTTGTTACATCCTTCAATAGGTTTTATATTACTTGCAATACTTACATAATATTTCTCTTCGCAGACAATCCGGTATCTTTTATTTGGAAACGAACCCAGCACCACCATTTTCTCGTGGATAAAGCAATTGAAGACAGCTCAAAAATCCTCATCTGATCCAGTCGGATAATTAAAAAAATACTCATAAATAAATAAATTACTTATATTTTTATCTGAATTTACAATTTGTTGTTTTTTTCACCCTATGATGTATATTTATTGTTTATAACCACGCGCGGTTATACCCGCTGCTCTTGCTGATGTTTTATAGCCTATAGCACTCAGCAACATTGTAGCTATCTATCAGTGAAAGAATTTTACCCTACATACAAACTTACAAATTTTACCTCTTTATAATATTAGTATAGATTATCAATAAACTGTCGATAAACGAGCCTATGAATTACCTGATGGTAAGCAATTACCGCCGACCATGGACGCCCGCGGCAACGAAAGAGTAAGGAATGTGTTACCGACCTTTTGTAGATTTGGGTTTGGGGATTAAAGGTGGGGGAAGGAATTGGGCCTGCAATAACCTCACTCACACGGCGAAACATAACGCTGTGGTTGTTTCACGCCGATTTTCTGTGAGGCCGTGGTATCACTCCGGTCGAGCCGACCCATTCGTAGTAAAACATGGCCCTCTCACACTTTTTAATGTATCACGCATAATGCACAAAAAATATAGTAAGTTGTACATTAGGTGGAAATTCTTTACCAGTCAAACCTTTAGGTGATGCAGGGGTAACCCAGTAATAAGCATAAAAACAAGCGTAGCCAGAGCAATTACTATGCTCAAAAAAACAAGGTTGGCGTAAACGAAATGTCGTATTAAGTATAGGTTTTTTTTATGGTATAAGTCGGCAAACGAGCAGGCGGATTATTTATTTATTTATTTAATATCTTTATGCACAAAACAAATGTACAAAGGTGGGCTTAATGCCATGGGCATTCTCTGACAGCCAAACCTTTGGATGATGCAGAGATAAATATAAAGGTGCACAAAACAAGCATCATCAGAGACGTTATAAATACATATTATATACTGTAAATATACATACATATGCTTATATATATATACATACATACTATATATTACATATACAGCAATAATATAATTACATATACTACTTAAAATTATACATATTTTGCTATTTGATGTCATGATCACGATACCTCTGCCAACCTCTTCAAAAGCAACTCCCGAACCTTTTGCTTGAACGCCCAACGATTCGACACCATCCTGACATCGAGGGGGAGCGCATTCCACAGAATAATAGATTGAATAAAAAAAGAAGAATGAAGAAATTTTGTGTGATGAGTTGGACATTGAAGAAGGCGGTTATTAGAAGAACGGAGATACTTGCTGTGGTTTGCGCATGTGTATTGGAAGTAAGGGGATAGATAAGTTGGCGAAGAAGGAGAATCAAGGAAAGAGAACAGAGTGGTTAGCGTCCTTTGCTCCCTGCGCTGGCGTATGGGCAACCACTTTAATTGCAGCCGATGTGCAGAAACATGATCATATTTACGCAGGTTGAAGACGAAACGAATGCAGTTATTCAGAAGTCGGTCAAGTTTATTGAGGAGATCTGCATTCAGGTCATAATAACACACATCAGCGTAATCAATTATGGGAAACAACAAGGCCTGCACCAGCATTGACTTGGTGATGGACGGGAGCAGGTTTTTGGCGCGATAAAGTGCCCGCAACGAACCGGTCACCTTATTGCACACACTGGTGACATGTGCATGCCAGTTTAAGTTACTATCAATAAGTAAGCCGAGATCTTTGACGTCACTACTATATGGAATGATCGCACCGTCGAAAAGGACAGCCGGTAAAGATGCAACGTCCACTCTACTCAGAGAACGAGAGCTCCCAATGACAATCGCCTGACACTTATTGGGGTTAACCACAATGCCAAATCTTGCCGACCAGTTATTAATTGCTGCTAAGTCGTTATTGATTTTTGAGATGGCAACGGGGATATTATCGTAGTTAGCCTGACAGTATAGCTGCAAGTCGTCGGCGTACAGATGATGCGCACACTGAAGATTAGAAGTAATAGAATTTATAAAGATAGAAAATAAAAGAGGTGATAGTATACCGCCTTGAGGAACGCCAGCTTTTAGTTGTCGCCAATTTGATGTGGTGTCACCATGCTTGACCATCTGCTGACGCTCCTGAAGATAAGAGGAGAACCATTTCAGAGACTCGCCAGAGACTGTAAGATGGGATAGGATGGCCAAAAGGATGTCGTGACTGACCATATTGAACGCATTCGAGAAATCAACTAGCACCAGGACTGTGGCACTAGTACCCTCGAGGCCAGCTCTAATATCGCCAGTCACTTTAAGTAGGGCGGAAGTAGTACTGTGGCCTGGTCTGAAACCAGATTGAAGAGGGCTGATAAGCGAGTTCCGGTATATGAAATCGGAAAGTTGTTTATGGACACAGGCTTCAAGAACTTTGGATAGGAAAGGAAGTATGGATATTGGACGGAATTGAGACGGAAGAGTAGGACTGGAGACCTTTGGGAGAGGGCGAACAAAAGCTCTTCGCCAAAGGGAGGGGAAGGAGCCGGAAAAAAGGGAAAAATTAATGATGTGGGTTATTGATTGTGGGATTACCTGATGGTAAGCAATCAGCGCCGCCCGTGGACACCCGCAACACTAAAGGAGTTACGAGTGCGTTGCCGGCCTTTTGGGGATAGGGGTTGCGGATATAAGGATCGGGAAGGGATAGAGGGAAGGGAAGAATTTGGGCCTCCGGTAACCTCTCTCACGCGGCGAAACACAACACTGTGGTTGTTTCACGCCGGTTTCCTGTGAGGCCGTTGTAGGTATTACTCCGGTCGAGCCGACCTATTCGTGCCGAAGCTTGGCTCTCCCACATTTACCGCTGCTAAACGGTGACCGCCTTGCATTGTGATTCTGTAAGACTTCATTCTAAACTTCGAATCTGAATCCGCTGTGCTCTGAAGTAGTACACTAGCGCTACACTTGCGAGTTGAACTAAATTGACCGCAACATTTTGATAGATAAAGTATGAGATGACGTTAAAAGTGGCATTCTATAATGTAATTTCCCCGTCACTTAAGACGCTCACTTCCCACTCGAACAAGATTCAAAATCAAACAAATTTTATTCGACGTGCTGTCGCATAATATATATATGACGTATTATGTTTTTCCAAAATGCGTCATCTCTTGAATTATTTATTTACTTTCCGTAATTATAGATCTCGGACGAAAGGCGGTCAATACAAAAATCTATAGACATTAAGAAAAAAAACAACCATTGTCTTTCTGTTTGTCCGTGAAATAACAATAATTATTTATTTCTAAATAATATTTTTGAACTACTGGGATATATAAGGGGTCTTGTGCTGTGATTTTTTTATTTATTTCCACTTGGAACACAGTTCCTCTCGTCTTGTTCCTTAGGTCATTTTTATAATCAATTTTTGAAAGTGTTTTTTGTACGCGGAATTTTTTGTGTTTTTTTTTTCTTGTTTTTATTATCTGTGTTTTTTATATATAGATATAATTGATTTTTGAACATTCTTAAAGACGTAAAAAATAATTTAATTTTCTTTTGATTAATAATAATTGAATTTTAAATAAATTATACGAATTAGGTATTGATAATTTATTGACAAAATAGTGTTTCAAAAAATTATTATACTTGTATAATTTTGTTTACTAAAACTGTGTGTTTTTGATAAAAATCTATCTTAAATGTATAATTTTGTTTTGTGTTTGTTCTAAATAAGTGTTTTTATTCCTTTTGTGTGTGTAAAAAGCAAAGAAAATGTTTAAACACATTTTTTTGTGTATTCTTCTGCTCACGACTGGAACAGGTAAGGAAAAGTATAATTTTGACAAATTCTGTACAACGAATCGTGGATTCCATACATACACAAAATAGGCTTTTAGTAGTAGCACTAGAAGTAGTCAATAATCATTCCTATGTCAATGATACTAAAGTCAAAATTCAAAAATCATTTATTGCAACTAAACCATAATAGCACTTTTGAAACGTCAAAATAGAATAGTTAGTCTGTCAGTCTGTTCGTCAGTGAAGCTAAGGTACTCGAGTGCAAAGTTTAAATTTGGAATTCTAAACAAAACATTAAAGTTTGTATTATTTAAATTCAATCACAAAAAAAATAGAATTAGGTGTACCTCACGATAGTTACTCCCCCCTCCCAAACCTTTAATCCTTAAATCCCTAATACCCTCCTAATCTTAACAGCACATGCATTTCTCCTACCCAAAGTCAAAGATTGAAAGTGAAAGTGAAAGTCAAAGCCAAACCCAAAGCCAAAGTTAAAGTCAAGATCAAAGTCAAAGTCAAAACAATTTATTTCAATATTATATTTAAAAAAATACAATACAATTATAATTATTAATGAAATTTTTTTTATACAGCGATTTCATTCAGGTACAAGAGATCAGAAACGAAACAATCCAACAGATTACGAATACATCACAGAAAGAGTAGCGATAATGTGCTCATGGACTTATGGACCAGGGCCAGCGATTTGGATGAAGCCTCCACTTATAACCCTGAAGAGATGAATACATACCATCTGTTTACAAGGTAAGACGCCTAAAGAGTGATACTTGGTCAAAATCAAAGTCGAAAGTGAAAGTCAAAAGTCAAAGGTCAAAATCAAAGTCGAAAGTGAACGTTAAAGTAAAAGTCAAAACCAAAGTCGACTTGAACGTCAATTTTGTGGTTAATATCAATATTCATTACACTAAAGGCTGATTTTTCAATGGTTAGATAAAAGTTATCTGAGTAATAAAATTTATGCTGTCACTGTCTTATACAACAATCTGACGCGGCAACATCAAATCAAATCAAATCAATCAAATGAAAATCATTTATTCCAACCAAACCATAAATAGGTACTTTTGAAACGTCAAAATAGAATAGTAGTCTGTCAGTCTGTTCGTCAGTGAAGCTAGGTGCTCGTTCCAAATTGTAATTTCGAATGGAGAAGAACGAGCAAGAAACTCCATCGTTACTCTTTTTAAAAAAATATTTGTTCTAAAATTCACTAATAATACATTTTTTATACATCATAATTATACCCCAGGTAACTTTTATCTAACCATTGAAAAAGCAACCCTAAATCGAATTAGGTGGACTTTTAAAACGTTGAAATCAAATTGTCAGCCAACACGAATGAAAGACAAAGCTTATATTTTTGTGTAGTGTTTTTGTTTTTCTCAGAGTAATACTGTAATACAGCCCAAAACAAAAAAAGGGCTTAATTTCAGTTTGATAATGTTGTTTTTGTTTATGTAATATGTCGGCAAACGGGCAGACGGATTACCTGATGGTAAGCAATCATCGCCGCCCATGGACACCCGCATCGGAGGAGTTACGAGTGCGTTGCCGACCTTTTAGGGATTAGGAGATTTAGGGATTGAAGAGGGATTGGGGGAGGGGAAGGATTGGGCCTTCGGTAACCTCACTCACACGGCGAAACACAACGATGTGATTGTTTCACGCCGGTTTTCTGTGAGGCCGTGGTATCACTCCGGTCGAGCCGACCCATTTTTGCCGAAGCATGGCTCTCCCACACTTAAATAAAGTATAATGTTTTAAATAAAGTATGTACAATTGTACATCTTTGACTGCATGTTGACGCAGTGGCTAGACAACTGGCTACCGAACAAGGTGCCGTGGGTTCAATTCCTGAACGGAAAAACTCTTTGTGTGATCTACAAATTGCTGTTTCGATTCTGGGTGTAAAATGCTACAAGTGAAAATCCTCGAGTTAGGCATTGAAAAACTGTTTTTTCATACTAACATAGTTTATTAAGTGATAATAAGTTTTTGCTTTTCTTTTACACGTGCCGTGGCCCGGGGAGGCGGGTTCGATATTCTTATATTCTAAGTTTATTTAGACACCCACGGTGAAGGAAAACATCGTGTGGGAGAGCCAAGCTTCGGCACGAATGGGTCGGCTCGACCGGAGTGATACCACGGCCTCACAGAATACCGACGTGAAACAACCACAGCGTTGTGTTTCGCCGTGTGAGTGAGGTTACCGGAGACCCAATCCTTCCCCTCCCCCGATCCCTCCCAATCCCTAAATCTCCAAAACCCTAATCCCTTAAAGGTCGGCAACGCACTCGTTACTCCTCCGTTACGGGTGTCCATGGGCGGCGCTGATTGCTTACCATCAGGTAATCCGTCTGCTAGTTTGCCGACCTATTAAGCCAATAAAAAAAAATCGCCATCTATTGCCAATAAAAAAAAATCGTGAGGAAACCTGGACTTATCATTTCGAATTATAATTTTTTAAATCGCGAATCCACCTTGAGCAAGCGTGGTGATTAATGTTCAAACCTTCTCCATATGAGAGGGGAGAGCTCAGCAATGGGCACTTATAGGCTGATGATGATGACTTTTTCTTACAGAGAAAATCCAACGCTAAGTCAACCGCTTCTGCCGAACAATGAAATTTGGTTGGAGACGACCAACTACAATGCTAGTAAAAGAACAATTGTCCTTATACATGGATGGCTGGACAGTGTCAATTCCGATTTCGTTACTGTTTTAGTACAAGGTAAGCTTAAAGAGTCCTTTTTGTTGCTTGGCAACCGGCGGCTGTCGAAAAATGTTTCAAAAGTGTGATTCCCGTGACGCGTAGCGTTCCGCGCGCGCCTCAAAGAGCCAATAGACCACCACAGACGGGGCCCTATAGGGCTGCTGTTCAGCCGGGGTTGTGGGGTAAGCGCAATGAGGCACCGCGGCCTCGGCCCAGAGCATGAGAAGGAACGGGGGTTTTTAGTCAGTCAGTCTGAGTCTGACAGCCTCCCGCCTCACCCTGGGCGGGCCAGATTTGTAGATCGCACAAAGAGTCCGTGCGGGAATTGAACCTTTTTTTGTGAGGTGAAAATTATCAAATGACTTCTCAGGGTGGGGCAAAAAGAGTGTCAGACTCTTACTGACTAAAAACTCCGCCGTCCCTTCTCCTGCTCTAGGCCGAGGCCGCGATGCCTTATTGTTGGCATAGAAGCATATCTGACACCAAAACCAGACCTTCATTCAGTACTTGCTACTCTCACGCGATTTCACCAGCTGCTCGCTCCTACAGATCGTAGCGTGATGTTTTATAGCCTAAAGGCCTTCCTCAATAAATGGTCTATTAATAAACACAACAGGAGTTGAAGGAGACTCGGGGAAGGATGTATCTTAGTAAGGTGCTGGTAGGGGTCTTGACCGTACTTCCGGGATTGCTCTGATAGCCGTTGGATGCCTCTCCTTCCCCAAGCAGCTCAACGTATGTTGCCCCCGTGTCGCTACATGCTAGCGGCCGTTTCCGGGTCCCATTAATTGAGTTTGCCAGTCCCCCCTGCCTGTTTATCCGTATGTAACAATATTGGTCAGGGGCAGGGGCCATAGTATTTCTATAGTTATCATCTACCAGTCCATAGCCACCCACACCCATAACCATGTAATCTTTTACCATTTTGCACAATAGTCCTGCATCAACCGGGGATTGTCCTTGGGTGCACTTTTATGGTGCATACAGGGATAATTGCCGGCTAATGTCTCATCACATTTATATTAAAACTGTTCAACGGGCCTCTGCGAGTTGGCTTCGGCTCCTCGTATGCCTTCCAAAGGTCCGGGACCCTGTTGTCCCATGAAAGGTAAGAACAAACACAATAATAATTTTCAATTCGAACCAGCTATTCCTGAGATTAGCGCGTTGAAACAAACAAACAAACTCTTCAGCTATATAATATTAGCTATATAGATTACTAAGTAATACTCAATATTTACCACTACATCCAAATACTGAATTTTCAGCCATACTACAGGCACAGGACGCCAACGTAATTGCTGTAGATTGGAGTCCCGGGTCAGGCACGATCAATTATCCTGTTGCTGTACTTAATACTCCTATATCTGGTAAGTAATTCTATGATGGATGATGGATGATGGATGATGTATGATGGATAATGGATGATGGATAATGTATGATGGATGATGGATGACGGATGATGGATGACGGATGATGGATGATGGGTGTTAGACGATGGATAATGGGTATTGAATGATGAATGATGGATGATGGATGATGGATGATGGATGTTGGATGTTGGATGTTGGATGATGGATGATGATTCACCGATGATGGATGATGGATGATGTGATGATGGATGATGATTCACCAATGATGGATGATAGGTGATGTAGGATGCTGTATGATGGATGATGGATGATGATTCACCGATGATGGATGATAGGTGATGTAGGATGCTGTATGATGGATGATGGTGAAGACATGATGGACCAGTAACAATGTGACTTTTTCGGAGTTTTAAGTACTTTCTATAATTATTTAGACACCACTTACATACCGTGAAGGTAAACATCGTGAGGAAACCTGGACCTATAATGTCTAATAATAAATTTGAAACTGCCAATCCAGCTTGAGCAAGCGTGGTGATTAATGTTCTTCTCCTTGTGAGAAGAGATTCTTGCTAAGCTGTGAGCACTTATAGGCTGATGATGATGATTATGGTGATGTAGATAATGAACGACGGATTATGAGTTTTGAATGATGAACGATGGATGATGGTTCATGAATGATGAATGATGATGATTTATGAGGGATGATGGATGATGGATGGTGGACGGTGGATAGTGCACAATAGGTAATGGATACTGGATGATGGATCATGGATGATGGATGAATGATGAAGCGTTATGGATGACAGATAAATGACGATGGATGATTGATGAATGGTAACAATAACTCTAATTATTCTGATTTGAAAGATTTAGCATCTCATCTTTCAGCGCATGCAGTGGCCAAGTTTCTAGCGTGGTTGAATAATGTGAGTGGATCCCGATTGGAAGATTACCATATTATAGGACACGGGCTGGGCGCCCATCAAGCGGGCATCGTCGGGAGGCTCCTTGGCGGATGGGTGGGATATATTACTGGTAAGCAATTTGTACTAATATTTTCAGATTTGATACATTTATAAGGTTTCGACAGTTTTCGAGATTAGCTCGTCTAGTTTCTAACTAAACTGGGATTCTTATGAAGCGTGAACTCGAAAAATGACGAGTTTCTTTTGAACATGCTTATGTAATTGGACTGCAAATTAAATATTATTGGGTATTATTACATAATCTAAGCCTTCAAGAACGTCTTTCAGAGAAATAAAATTCTGGTCCTAATAAAATAATTAACTAATTTTCCTTCCTTATGTTAACTAGTCCAAAATAATGACGGCTACTGATGACAGGTTACGAGTGCGTTGCCGAACTTTTGGGGATTAGGGATTTAGCGATTTAGGAATTGGGGGGATTATGGTAATAGAAGGCTTTAGTAATTTATTGATAAGGAAATGTAAGTTCTTGGTTTCCGGTAACCTCACTCACACGGCGAAACACAACGCAGTGGTTATTTCACGTCGGTTTCTTTTGAGGCCATGGTATCAGTCCGGTCGAGTCAACCCATTCGTGCCGACTATTATACAATTCTAGTAGTCAAAAATAATGAGGGCTAATGATGACAGGTTACGAGTTGCGTTGCCGACCTTTTGGGGATTAGGGATTTAGAGATTAACAAATTGGGGTGATTATGGGAATATAAGGTTTTAGTAATTTATTGATAAGAAAATGTAAGTTTTTGGTTTCCGGTAACCTCACTCACACGGCGAAACACAACGCTGTGGTTGTTTCACGCCGGTTCCCTTTGAGGCCGTGGTATCACTCCGGTCGAGCCGACCCATTCGTGCCAACTATTACACAATTCTAACATTTCTTAATATCCTTGCAGCTTTAGACCCAGCATTTCCAGGTTGGGTGACCAACGAAGACAGATTTAAACCCACAGACGGAATGTACACGGAAGCGATACATACGAACGCAGGCCTCTTAGGCTATTTAAGTCCGGTAGCTGACGTAGACTTCTACCCCAATGGGGGAATCGACATGCCTGGATGTTACAGCCAGGAATGTGATCACAATAGGTGAGCTAATTAATATACATAATATAATATAATAGGTGATATACTATACTCTTCTCATCATCAGCCTATAAATGCCCACTGCTGAGCAAAGGCCTCTTTTCACACGGAGACCATCCTAAAACTTGGCTACTGCATGCGCTGAATGATGAGATGCTAAATCTTTCAAATCAGTATCATTAGAGTTATTGTTACCATCCATGAATCATCCAACATCCATAATTCAACAACTATCATCTATCATCCGTCATCCGTACTGCATCGTCCAATATCCATCATCGATTATTTATCATCCAATATCCATCATCCATCATCAGCCTATAAGTGCCCACTGCTGAGCAAAGGCCTCTTCTCATACGGAGAAGGTCTAGCCTTCTCCAGCATTAATCACCACGCTTGCTCAATGCAGGTTGGCGATTTCAAACTTATAATTAGATATTATAAGTCTAGGTTTCCTCGCGATGTTTACCCTTCACCGTATGTCAGTGGTGTCTAAATAACCATAGAAAGTACATACAACTCGGAAAAAGTCACATTGTTACTTGCCAGGTTTGGAACCCACACCCTCATGCATGAGAAGCGGGGTCCTTATCCTCCGGGCCACTATGATCAATATACTCTTAATTACTAGGTAAGCCAAGTCATTGGATAACAAGCTGCTGCGCAACGTTGTATTGTGAGGGGGGGGAAGGATCATCTAAAAACTTTATTCACCAAGGGTGATCGAGAGACGATCTCCGGTCACCATAAGCGCGGGTCTGGGAACCAGATCCGAGCGTACGGCGCGTAGCATTCCGCGCGCACCTCAAAGAGCCAATAGACCACCACAGATGGGGCCCTATAGGGCTAATGTTCAGCCGGGGTTGCGGGGTAAGCGCAATGAGTCACCGCGACTTCGGCCCAGAGCAGGAGAAGGAACGGGGGGGTTTTTAGTCAGTAAGAGTCTGACACTCTCTCTCGCCTTACCCTGGGCGGGAGAAGTCATTTGATGATATTATTCTTTGGCAAAGAAAAGGTGAGGCGAAAAGGAGTGCCGGAATCATCATTATTTCGCGACAAAAATCCTGGCTTGTAGCAGGATGCAATCCCACTCCTATGCAATCATAAATATTTTTTTTTATGTAATGGCTCGGCAAACGAGCAGATGGATTACCTGATGGTAAGCAATCAGCGCCGCCCATGGACACTCGCAACGGAGGAGTTACGAGTGCGTTGCCGACCTTTTAGGGATTAGGGATTTGGAGATTTACGTATTGAGGTGGGATCGGGGAAGGGGAAGGATTGGGCCTATGGGAAGGATTGGATTGGATATGCACATGAAGCAAAGGTAACATGCATATGCACACGTGCAAAAAACTGAAAAATATGCCACGCAATCAAACCTATACTCGACACGTGTTTCACCCCTTCACAGGGCATCCTCAGGAGATGTTGACTCGACGAGCGCTCGGCTGCGAATCCTTTGCTGCATGTGGCTCTTTTCAAATTCTCGAATCACAATGTTAGTTGCCTACTTCTCCGAAATAGCTTTACTGATTTTTAACTTTATATGTATGTGCAATAAGTCTGAGAATTGGCTACTAGTTATTTTTCATACCTCTAAGCAATGACGTATTATATATAGACACGTCATGAACCAACATCGCGGCGCTTAAAAACGGCGAAAATACTAGATAACTACTTCTACGAGTAAAGAAAGGGAAAGAAAATATGACATCGTATAGAGGGAGATAAATATACATCTTCAGTTACATCGGCACGTGACTATACCTTCATGCGCCGGCCGCCATAAGATGGCGGGCGCCGGCGTCGAAAAAATAAAATAAAAATAGGTTGTTTGGTGAACTTACGCATGAAATGACACATTTTTGCCTTTAACTTTTGGAGTATAATTTGTACATCGTCTGAACACACACGACGGCATGCTTTCTTTATGTTTCGCACAGGTTTACACACACGATATAAATTAAAAACAAACGTAGCGTCGCGCGGCAGGTTGGTGCGTAACTAAGCGCGATGTTGTCAATTGCCTTCATTTCATGTTGTCATTTTAGAGCGCGGACAACGTATCTATAGTTTTATACATCATTGCCTCTAAGTAATTTATATGGCACAACAATATTTTCCTGGTCAGCCACTTTTATAATTAAATTATCTTCTGCAGATCATATCACTATTTTGCTGAATCGATCAAGAATGGAGGTTTTGTCGGCAACCGGTGTTACACATATGGATCTGCCATGTCCGGACATTGCTATTTAGGAGGAAAACTCAAAATGGGAGGGATCAACTCCAAACCAGGGTGAGTTTTTGGATAAAAATGTTTTATAATCATCATCAGCCTTTAAGTGCCCACTGCTGAGCAAACGCCTCTTTTCATACGGAGAAGGTCAGACCATTAATCACCACGCTTGCTCAATGCGGATTGGCGATTTCAAACTTATAATTAGAAATTATAAGTCCAGGTTTCCTCACGATGTTTACCTTCACCGTATGTCAGTGGTGTCTAAATAATCATAGAAAGTACATATAACTCGGAAAAGTTACATTGGTACTTGCCAGGTTTCGAACACCCTCATGCATGAGAAGCGGGCTCCTTAACCTCCGGGCTACCACGACAATTAAGATTTAAAACCTTGATATACTTTTAGAAAAGTAACTATCGTGAGACATACTAAATTTATTCAAAATAACGACTTACTAAAGAGAATACGGTAGTTTCCAACTAGTCAAATTCAATACTTTTATCCAAATGTCAAAAACGATACTTTTCTATGAAATTTGTATGAAAAACTGAGTTATAACGTCATACCATTTTGGCGTCAAATAGCTTACTTATTTCTTAAAAATTGGCTAAAAAAAATCAAAAACTTAGTGCATCGATCGATCGATGAATAAAAGTAAAGTTATTTTTCAATATTTCATTGTATTGAAACATCGTATTATTTAATTTTTGATCTAGGAAACTACTCAATTAACTAAGAAAATCTCTACCAGTTTTAAATCACAACGGGGTAGCGTGCGCGTCGCGGCGACGTCGCAACAGATTGTAGTCCCGTCCAAAAGTCTTGTACTGACTTGATCCTAATAGATTTTTTCTCAGTGAATTCACGTGAGAAAGTCTTTATTTTTCTTTCAATAAACCTTTTTATATACTTACTGCATATTAGTACCGAGTTTCAGTTTACATACTACTAGCTACTCTCGCGCGGTTTCACCCGCTGCTCAGCTCTATTTGATCGTAGCGTGATGTTTTATAGCCTATAGCACTCGATACCATTGTAACTACATATCTATCAGTGAAAGAATTTTGGTAATCCGACCAGCGGTTCCAAAGATTACCCCCTACATACAAACTTACAAGTTTTACCTCTTTATAATATTAGTATAGACTATAAATCAATATTGCTGAGAGTTTAATTAATAGTGTAATAAAAATTTTACAATAGAATATATATTTTCTTTAAGTTAATATTACAATTAAAAAAATTACATGATATTTGCCGAGACCCCTCCCTCCAATGTAAGATTACATTAGATTTGACTCGACCCTTAAACATCTCGCGTATTTTATTAACGCCCTTTACTTGATTGAAATAAATGATTTTGACTTTGACATTATAATTGAAATAATATTTCTATGATTTCAGGCAAACGGGTGTCTTTTTCCTTCGGACAAATGCGGGTCCACCATTCTCCCGCGATTAACACTACAAAAACCTTAAGCCCACAGACTATAAATAATATATCAATCTGTAATTTTAAAGTTTTTTAAGAAATACAATTTTGTGATAGCTTTCATAAAAAAATCACGAGGGCCAATCATACTTCACGGCACGGCTATACCGGAGTGATACCACGGTCTCACAGACAACCAGTGTGAAACAATCCAGACTGTTTTGTATCGCCGTGTGAGTGAGGTTATTGAAGATCCCCGTCGTCCCTCTATCCCCAAAATCCTCTAATCCTCAAAGGCCACAAACGCAATTATGAAAGTATGGAAGATGGAAGATCTCATCATGCTCTTCATTTCTCTTGGTTGGCGCGACCGGAGTGATATCACGACCTCGCTGAAAATCGGCGTCAAACAACCCATAGCGTTCTATTTTCTATTTCGCAGTGTGAGTGAGGCTAACCCCTTCCCTTCAACCAATCTCTGCACAATCTTTTAGTCTCCCTAATGACCAAAACGCTGGCAACGTAATCATTCAAGTATGGAAGAGTCATGCTTCAGTATGAATAGACACGGTTGGCGCGACTGGAGTGATACCACGGCCTTAAAAAACCGGCGTGAAACAATCACAGCGTTGTTTTTCACCTTCACCGTGTGAATGAGGTTACCGCAGGCCCAATCTTTCCCTTCAACCAATCCCTAAATCTCCCTGATTCTCAATAGGTCGGAAACGCACTCGTAACTCCTCCGTCGTTACGGGTGTCTATGGGTGGCTAATTGCTTACCATCAGGTAATCCGTCTGCTCGTTTGCCGACCTATTACATAGAAAAAATATTGCCAAAGATGATTAGCTCGAACGAAAATAATGATATAACAAGAAAATAGGTAATTCAAAACTGTATTTATTATTTTTAATTGTTATTTAATATTTTGTTAGTTGTTAAAAATTGATTGTGGAAATGATGAATGTGTGTTTTTTTTAATTAGGTATATCTGACAAATATTTTTGTATAATTTTAAGTTTTAGATAATCAATAAAAAAATTATTGTTTTATTTTATTTTTATTTCTTTGTGTTATCATCATCATCATCAGCCTATAAGTGATTTCTATTTATTTATTTATATTTATATATACTTTATTGCACACATACACCAAGTAGCAATACATTGGATACCATGACCGAATGTTGTGATTACAATGGGCGGTCTTATCACACAAGGCGATTTCTTCCAGACAACCTTTAGATGGAATGTATAAAAGAAATTTGGCCATGGGTAGTGTAGTGTACGGTTAAAATAAGTACTACATAAAGAAGATATATTATAAAAATAAAGAAATGTGTAAATATAGTTATATCATTATATATATATATATATATATATATATATATATATATACATATAATATATATAGTGTGTGTGTGTGTGTGTGTGTAATCAAAAAATAAATACTCCTTCACAAGTCTTTTAAACTGAGACAGTGACCGAGCACGACGCACTTCCACAGGTAAAGCGGGTTTTTTAGCGATTTCAAACTTATAATTAGAAATTATAAGTAGTCCAGGTTTCCTCACGATGTTTACCTTCACCGTATGTCAGTGGTGTCTAAATAATCATAGAAAGTACATATAACTAGGAAAAAGTCACATTGGTACTTGCCAGGTTTCGAACCCACACCCTCATGCATGAGAAGCGGGCTGCTTAACCTCCGGGCCACCACGACATTTTTTTTTTCAATTGGATCGTATGTGATACTTAGTTGTGTGGCTCACAAGTGAATGTTGAATGAGTGATGAGAAAATTAATCTGTAACAAAAGCAGTGCGACTAATTTATTATCAACTTTTTATCTTGAAACAATATTCAATCACCTCCAACCGGAATTTAGGAGATTATAACTGGATTAAAGGTTTATAGCTAACTAGCTAATCTCACGTGGCTTCACTCACTGTTCGGCTTTTTAGGGAAAATCATCGTGTGTTTTTTCTCGGCCAGGGTTCCTTTTCCTGCTCCAGGCCGAGGCTGCCGTGCCGTATTGCGCTTGATAAATATTCGCGCACTATTCTAGCAGTGATCAATTGCTTGAGTTAATTTTGTACCATCAAGGGGTTATATTATAACCAGCGGAGAAACTTAACACCGCGATGTAGAAAATCTAGGTCAACGCACAACTCCATCTATGGTGAAGGTCTGGAAACAATATGAGACGGTGCCGGTGCGTTTAATTTAACGCCATCTATATTCTTATGTCCGAACTGACGTTGCGTTCGTTCACGTTAAAGGAAATAACGAACACAAAAAGAATTGTTTTATTTATAAAAGAATTCTGAAGATTAGCGCTTTGAACCAAACAAACTTTTCAGTTCCATAATATAATATTAGTATAAATGATTATTGTTTTCTGAGCATTGGCTCGGAGTCTGGTTTTTCTAATCCTTCTTTCCCTCCCAATGTTTTTTGACTCGTTCTAAAGTATAGATTCCTATGGAGAAGAACAAGCAAGAAACTCCATGGTAATTTTTTTTCAATCAGTTTCATAATTCACTTCTTTGTTACATCATTAAGTTGGTTCCATTATGTGAGAACAGTGTAGCACTAATATACAGCCAATGAATCTGAAAAAGAAAATAACATCAAGGACACACACAGGAACTGATTATTAAGAAGGTATGTCATAAAACCGATTAATGAAAAAGTGAAATATTTTTTTTATTATTATGTGCATTTATATATATATAGGTAATTTACTTTGGAACAAGTAATATTACCTAATTAGCTTAATTTAATTTTATCAAAGATAAAAATTACTTAATATATAGGTATTTTTCAAAAAAAGATAAGAATTATAAATCTATTATGAATTAAACATTTTATATAGGTATGACTCTAATTTCTTATAAGTTTGGGAGAGAACGAATGGGCTTCGAATCGACCGGAGCGATACCCCGGCCTCACAGAACTGAGTGAGAGAGAGAACTGAGAGAGGCTACCCAAGGCCCAATACTTCCCCTCTCTAATCTTTGAGGATTCCAAATCCCTAATCCCAAAAGGTCGGCACGGTGTAACTCCTCCATTGTTGCAGTTGTCCATGAGCGGCGCTGATTGCTTACCATCAGGTAATCCGTCGGCTAGTTTGCCGACCTCTCATATGAAAAAAATATGTAGAATATGGCGGACCATCTCATAGCGAAAATTGACAATTTTTTTATCTCTCATTCCTAAAATATGTTCAGCTCGACAGGAGTAACACCACCTTAAGAAAACTCACAACGTTGTGTTTCGCCGTGGGACTGGGATTATCAGAGATCCTATCATACCTCTTCATCAATAAGCCTCAAATCCTTATCGTCCAAAATGCCGACAACGCACTTGGAGAGGTCCCAAGGTGGTGATCATTGCTAACCAATTTAAGTGTGGGAGAGCCATGCTTCGGCACGAATGGGTCGGCTCGACCGGAGTGATACCACGGCCTCACAGTAAACCGGGCCTGAAACAACCACAGCTTTGTGTTTCGCCGTGTGAGTGACGTTACCGGTGGTCCAATCCTTCCCCTCTCCCAATCCATTCTCAATCCCTAAATCTCCAAAGCACTAATCCCTAAAAGGTCGGCAATGTTCTCCTCTGTTACAGGTGTCCATGGGCGGCGCTGATTACTTCCCAATCCCTCCCCCTCCCCCATTCCTTCCCAATCTTTAAATATCCTAAACCTTTATCCCTAAAAGGTCAGCAACGCACTCGTAACTATTCTGTTGTAGTACATGGGCGGCGCTGATTGCTTACCATCAGGTAATTCATCTGCTCGTTTGCCGGCCCATTAAATACAAAACAAAAATAGATTCTCTCGACAAGGGTGAGGCGGGAGGGAGTGTCAGACTCTTACTGACTAAACCCCCCCGTTCCTTCTCCTGCTCCGATAAACGGGAAGAACAAACATAACGTCATATCACTTCGTAATATAAATCTAATCATTTCATAAAAACGTTTTAAAAAATGTTTTTAATCACTGTAATCTTTTGATAGCGCTGTATTATAAATTTAAATTTGATAGCCTTTGCTTATAATCTGCAGATTTTGTATTTAGGCTGGTCACATATGAATTTTCTGGTTTTCACGTGGCTAGACCATGGTTTTGATTCGACCCGAGTGGTACTTCGGCCTTACAGAAAACCAGTGTGAAACAACCACAGCGTTGTGTTTCGCCGTGTAAATGAGGTTATCGGAAGCCCAATCCCTTCTTCCCCTCTCCAATCCCAAGATCTCCAAATCCATTATCCCCTAAAGGCCGGTAACGCACTTGTAACTCCTCCGTTGTTGCTCCATGGGTGTCCATGGGTGGTGTTGATTGCTTTACATCACATCACATTATATAAGTCTCCACTGCTGAGCAAAGGATTCTTCTCACACGGAGAAGGTTTGAGCATTAATCACAGCGTTTGCTCAATGCGGGTTGGCGATTTTAAACTTATAATTAGAAATTATAAGTCCAGGTTTCCTCACGATGTTTACCTTCACCGTATGTCAGTGGTGTCTACATAATGATAGAAAGTACATATAGCTCGGAAAAGTCACATTGGAACTTGCCAGGTTTCAAACCCCCACGAGGTCAGAGGTCGAGGTCTAAGTGTGGGAGAGCCAAGCTTCGGCACGAATGGGTCGGCTCGACCGGAGAGATACCACGGCCTCACAGAATACCGACGTGAAACAACCACAGCGTTGTGTTTCGCCGTGTGAGTGAGGTTACCGGAGGCCCAATCCTTCCCCTCCCCCGGCCCCTCCCAATCCCTAAATCTCCAAAACCCTAATCCCTAAAAGGTCGGCAACGCACTCGTTACTCCTCCGTTGTGGGTGTCCATGGGCGGCGCTGATTGCTTACCATCAGGTAAGCCGTCTGCTCGTTTGCCGACCTATTACATAAAAAAAAAGTCAGACCTGACGTGGTTGCTTACCATCAAGTAAATTGTCAGATTGTCTGTTGTACTTGAAGGTAAGCAAACAGCACCACCCATGAACGCCCCCAACAACAGAAGAGTTACTAGTGCGTTGCTGAGTTTTTGGGGGTTAAGGGTTTGGGGGGGAGAGAATTGGGCCTCATGTTACCTTACCCACACGGCGAAACACAACGCTATGGTTATTACACGTCGGTTTTCGGTGAAACCGTGTTATCACTCCGGTCGAGCCGACCCATTCGTGCCGAAGCATGGCTGTAACAAACTTAACTATGGTTTTTTTATGTAATTGGTCGGTAAACGAGCAGACGGATTACGAGTGCGTTGCCGACCTTTTAGGGATTAGGGATTTGGAGATTTAGGGATTGAGGAGGGATTTGGGGTGGGGAAGGATTGGGCCTCCAATAACCTCACTCACACGGCGAAACACAACGCTGTGTTTGCTTCATGCCAGTTTTCTGTCAAGCCGTGCTATCACTCCGGTCGAGCCGACCCATTCGTGTCAAAGCAAGGCTCTAACAAACTTAAGTATTGTGCTATCCCACTCACTCACATTCTGTCTCTTATCCTCATTTTGTAAAAGAAATTCGTTTGTGAAAAGCCAAAGCATATAGCCTTTATCAGTTACGTATATAATGTAATACCCGGACAGGAAAACCTTCACTTAGTGACAGTTCCTTGTGCAACATGTTACGGTCAATCGCAGTTTTCGTCGCCATTCTTGCTATCACAAATGGTATGGTAATCTATTTTCTTATTTACACGGTACAAGTTAGAGTTTATTTTTATCTGATGGGAGTCATCGTAAACACGGGCCAGAAGACGGCGAGGGCGGCCTAGGCCCAGAGCAGGAGAAGGAACGGGTTTTTAGTCAGTAATTCTGATACTTTCTCCCGCCCGGGGCGAGCGTTAAGTCATTTAGTAATATTCCTCTCACAAAAAAAAGGTAGCTCGTTGCCCGACCAGAACCTCTTAAGTGTGGGAGAGCCATGCTTCGGCACGAATGGGTCGGCTCGACCGGAGTGATACCACGGCTTCACAGAAAACCGGCGTGAAACAACCTCAGCGTTGTGTTTCGCCGTGTGAGTGAGGTTACCGGAGGCTCAATCCTTCTCCACCCCCAATCCCTCCACCAGAACCAGACCCGAGCGAATGGCGCGTAGCATTTCGCCTGCGCCTCAAAAGCCAATAGACCACCACATCTGATCTGCTGTTGGCTGGGCAACTAGCTCCGCCAACGTGTTTCGGGTTCGATACCCGCACGGAACAACTCTTTGGATAATCCAGATAAAATTGTTGTTCCGGGTCTGGGTGAGATGTGTAGGTTTGTGAAATTGTATGTTTGTTAATGTCACAGAAGAAAATCCTAGTTTTGGGCAACGTTTTAACTGTATTTTGATTTTAAGACTTCATAACAAAGTAGGATCTCGGACTAGGACTAGGCAAATGAATACCTAAATTCCCTTCTGCCGAATGTGTTGTGAAAATAGCTTGACCGAACATTAAAAAATCAAACCTCTTTTTCTAGCTCTACCAGCAGACCAAGTCATATCAAAAATGGATCCTGGACCCCGGTACCAGTATATGACTGGCCCGGAAGGTCCAGAACTGGTAGACCTTTGGTTGAAGACCAGCGATGTGCTGGCTGCGGCGAGATACAACCCCAATGTCAACAATCACTACCATCTTTTTACCAGGTAGGTTAAATTTGTTTTTAAAAGGACTCTCAACCAATAATCATAAATTTAAAATTTAGAAAACCCCCGACAATATGTATAATATTCCTTTAAAAAGTAATAATTAAAAGAAAACGTGGCGTTGGGGACCGATCCATACATTTTATTATCAACTACATTATATACTTTTTATATCATTTCCTATCGATTAAGTCATCAACATTCCCTTTCAGTGCGCTTTCGTTTGACACCCCACTCGAGTATATTTGCAGAACTTCGGTTACCCTTCCCCACTTACCCCCCCCCCCCCCATAATTTCTAAACGCCTCAACCGATTTTCGTCAAACATGTCTAAGAACACTCGCATGTAACTCACCTTTAATACAAAAAATCTAAATTGAAATCGCTTCACCCGTTCAGGCTCTAGGATGCCACAGACAGACGGACGGACGGACAGACAGACAGACAGACAGACAAACAGACAGACAGACAGACTTTTTTGCGTCGGGGGTTAATGATATTATAAGTTAAATGGTGTAGATAGGTTACCTAAACAAAATTCGATTTTCAAAAACGACACACTGATACACACATGAACAATTCGTATGTTTAGACGTCAAAGTGAGATGGCATGATTTTATAATCGCGAGTGAAAAAGAGACAAAATATGAAAAAGTGTGGCGAGTTAGCCACATTTTAATGTATCACTTGCTAAGCGCTTGTAACCTATCTACACCTTTTTACTTATAATATCATAGCTCTCAACAGTATTTTTCCCGATGTCGTGGGCACTTATGAAGACAAAGCCAATATTTTTTGTAATTAGACCATGTTGTTCACTTTAGAACGTCAAACAATGATTTTAAAAAAATTGCAGTCTGTCGGTCTGTCCTCTAGTGAAGCTGTTTACTCGTTCCAAAGTGTAGATTCTTATGCAGAAGAACGGGCAAGAAACTCCATGGTTCATTTTTTTCAATCAGATTATTAGTTACTTTTGAGAATCGAACTCTCAACCCTAATGGGGCCAGCAGGGTCAATGTTTAGCCGGGGTACCGCTGCCTCGGCCTAGAGCAGGAGAAGGAACGGGGGGTTTTTAGTCAGTAAGAGTTTTACACTCCCTATCGCTTCACCAAAGGCGAGAGAAGATATTTAATGATTTTCCTCTCACAAAAAAGGCGTTGGATTTCGCCGTGTAAGTGCATTTATCGGTGGTCCAGTCCGTCTTCCGGAAGGTCCTGCTTCAGACCCGTGGATCAAATATAATAACATTTCAATATGTCATAGGCATACCTGTTAACTTAACCCCATAAGTCTACGGCGCGTAGCGTTCCGCGCACGCCTCAAAGAGCCAATAGACCACCACAGACAGGGCCCTATGGGGCTGATGTTCAGCCGGGGTTGCGGGGTAAGCGCAATGAGGCACCGCGACCTCAGCCCAGAGCAGGAGAAGGAACGGGGGGTTTTTATTCAGTAAGAGTCTGACACTCCCTCCCGCCCTGCCCTGGGCGGGAGAAGTCATTTGATGATTTTTCCCTCACAAAAAAAACCCTATAAGGCTGATCAGCAATTTACCTAAAACCATGTACTTATTACATATTTTCTTTGTCAACAGATCCAACCGCGTTGTAAGCCAACCCATCCCACTTGGCGCTGATGCCGCACTAAGGAACTCCCACTTCAACCGTAATAGGAAAACAGTTTTCCTCATCCATGGCTGGAGAAACACGCCTAGTTCGGATTTCAATACACATCTTATAAATGGTAAGGTTATAATCGTCACATTTTTTTTAATGGTATAGGTCGGCAAACGAGCAGACGGATTACCTGATGGTAAGCAATCGGCGCCGCCCATGGACACCCGCAACACCAAAGGAGTTACGAGTGCGTTGCCGGCCTTTTGGGGATGGGGGTTGCGGATATAAGGATTGGGAAGGGATAGGGGAAGGGGAGGGATTGGGCCTCCGGTAACCTCAATCACACGGCGAAACACAACACTGTGGTTGTTTGACCCCGGTTTTCTGTGAGGCTGTGGTATCATTCCACTCGAGCAGACCCATTCGTGACGAAGCATGGCTCTCTAATTTATGCACTTTAATTTTACATTCTTATAATTCCAGCTTACCTAACGGCTCAGGATGTGAACGTTATCATGGTGGACTGGAGTTTCGGAGCCGCTGGAGATTACCTACCTGCACAAGCCAACACCATAAGATCTGGTTCGTAAAATAATACTTATTTAGGGACATCTCGTAAATGAACCACGATTGGAGTCGAAGCAGAACAATTTCTAAGTTAATTTTCGTAAATCGTCGCTTAATATTAGCGTAGGGTGTACTACAAATCTATATAGGTATTTTATAGGACTTGAAAAGAGACTGACCAGACTTGAAAACAGACTGACCTCTGAGTTTGTTTTGGCATTTCTTCTCAGAGCAGTCAAATAGGAAATGCCGGCTTCATCTAGTTTTTCACATATAAATTGACGTGTAAAAGTGCCGTTTTATTGCCTTTTTGCAAAAAATCAATTCATTGTTTCATTGTTTCATATACTAATATTAAGCATATTGCAATATAGCATATTGGGCATTAAGTCCGCCTTTGTATGTATTTTTTTTATATGTACATAAAGTGTTAAATAATAAATAATAATATTATAAAGAGGTAAAATTTGTAAGTTTGTATGTAGGGTGTATGTAATCTTTGGAACACTGGTCGGATTGCCAAAATTCTTTCACTGATAGCTACAATGTTCCTGAGTGCTATAGGCCATAAAACATCACGCTACAATCAAATAGAGCCGAGCAGCGAGTGAAACCTAGCTAGTGGTATATAAATTCATGCAGCCAATCGTGAACGGAGCTGACGGAGGGCGCGACACGTGGATACATCGTGACGCAGCGCTCGCCAGTCAGTACGCGACGGGAAAGCGCTGAAAGAGAAATTCTTTACGAAGAAAAGAAACTTACTCAGTCCTTCGTAACGGGAGAATTTGATTCATAAATACTTTTCTTTTCTATTCAGGAGAGCACGTAGCTCGGTATATAAACTGGTTGAACTCTGCCAGTGGCGCCAACCTGAACAACTACCATATTATTGGACACAGTTTGGGAGCTCACCAGGCTGGTATCGTGGGCAGACATCTAAATGGAAGAGTGCCTTATATTACTGGTAGGTATGAGTTAACAAATAAATATTTTCTTTCTTATTTCTTTCTTTTCTTTCTAACATAACATGGAAAGACATGCCATACGCCACCTAAAGTCAAAAAAAATTGCGAGTGCGTTGCCGACCTTTTAGGGATTTGGAGATTTAGGGACTGGGGAGGGATTGGGGAAGGGGAAAGATTGGGCCTCCGGTAACCTCACTCACACGGCGAAACACAACGCTGTGATTGTTTCGCGTCGGTTTTCTGTGAGGCCGTGGTATCACTCCGGGCGAGCCGACCCATTCGTGCTGAAGCATGGCTCTCCCACACTTAAAACCAAACCAATAAACCAGTCGCAGAAAAATATACCAAAAGTATATATTTATATACATTTTAATAATAATAATAAGTAAATAATAATATGACACAGCTTGACAAAACATTATAGCATGACGTGCCATAATATGACATAACGTGTCAAAACATGGCAAAATTTGACAAAACATAATATGATATATGATGACATTACGTGGCAAAGCTCTACCTGACATGACCTAATGTAACATAACGTGTCATAAAATGGAATAGCTTGAGATTACATGGCTTAACACACAAAATAGCTTGAAATGACATGACAGATCATGACAAAACATAACATAGCATGACATGCCATAACATGGAGGAGCCATGCTTCGGCACGAATGGGTCGGCTCGACCGGAGTGATACCATAGCCTCACAGAAAACCGGTGTGAAACAACCACAGCGTTGTGTTTCGCCGTGTGAGTGAGGTTACTGAAGGTCTAATCTTTCCCTTCCTCCAATCCCTCCTCAATCCCTGAGTTTCCAAATCCCTTATCCCTAAAAGGTCGGCAACGCACTCATAACTCCTCCGTTGTGGGTGTCCATGAGCGGGGCTGATTGCTTACCATCAGGTAATCCGTCTGCTCGTTTACAGAACTATTACATAAAAAAGAGCTTGACATGGCATGAGCTTATGACATAGCGTGATGCAATATGGCATAGCTTGACGTAACATGTAATAGCTTGTGATAACATGACACAACATAACATAACGTAACATGGCATAGCTGGGCATAACATAATAACAACTTGAACTCACAATTTCAGCGCTAGACCCAGCACTGCCAGGTTGGATAACTCATGCTCAAGCCTTCAGGTCTACTGACGGCATTTACACTGAAGTTATGCATACTGATGCTGGTCTTTATGGCATTGTGAACCCTGCTGGTGATGTGGACTTCTATCCAAACGGTGGGAGCGGGATGCCGGGGTGTGGTGACAGGAATTGTAGTCATCACCGGTATGTCTTTGTCTTCGTAGACTTTTTTATGTGATAAGGATGTCTTAAGTTACGGACGATGGTTAAGGGGTGAAGGGGTCAAATCAAATCTTATTTAATCTCAACTTTTTTATGTAATACGTCGGCAAACGAGCAGACGGATTACCTGATGGTAAGCAATCAGCGCAGCCCATAGACACCCGCAATAGAGGAGTTACATGTGCGTTGCCGATATTTTGGGGATTAGGGGCTTGGAGATGGCGAAACACAATGCTATGGTTGTTTCATGCCGGTTTTCTGTGAGGATGTGGTATCACTCCGATCGAGCCGACCCATTCGTGAAGAAGCAAGGCACACTTAAACCTTGGGGGGCTTCTCCCCAAAATGACAAAATGTAAAGTGATGTTCAAAAGTGCAGTTGCACTTTATCAATGCTAAGTGTTTTAAATAAAATACCTATAGTTGAGGATCCGAAGTTTCTTGATTGATTAATTTGTATTATAGGTTCTTAAGTAGATAATTAAAAATTGTAACGCGGCATCCTAAACGGTTTGTGTCGGACGCATGCGCGTGGCGTTATACGCAACGCCACACCCTTTTTCCACTACCCCGCCACTGACCGCTCGACGCCTGCGTAGGCGCGAAACGAGAGTGAGTCCCCGAGCCGGTGACCGTTGCGCACGTGCCCCTGTATTTGCACCGCAAACTTTGCACCACTTTATATATTATCTTTAGTTTACCATTGTAAAGTGTGTCAATATACTACTTATCACTGTTGATCGTGTTTCGAACCCTTATTTCACACCCCCCCGACCTATACCTACACTATTATAAAATGTTATTAAATAAATGTAATTAATTATTAATATTACATTTTCATTTGTAATAGTTTTCACGATAGTTATTTACAATTCAAAAACTTTCACAGGTGCATATTTTACATGAGCGAATCCTTAACTCGAGGGGGCTTCACTGGGCGTCGCTGTGAGAACCTGAATGCAGCCCTAAACAGCAACTGCAATGCCTCCGGAACCCTCCGAATGGGAGGACCTAACGCCAAAACCGGGTGAGTACAAATTAAAAAGATGGCGCTTCGGCACAAATGGGTCGGCTCGACCGGAGTGATACCGCGGCGTCACAGAAATTCGGCGTGGTATTCCATAGCATTGCGTTTCGCCGTGTCAGTGAGGTTACCGGAGGCCTTCTGGAGGGAAACTCGACGCACTCGTAACTCCTGCGTTGTTGCAATAACTACGTCAGCGTCTCATCACACAAAAAAGAAAACTGCAAATATTACAAACGCGATTGTTAATATCCAGCCCGCGGCTCCGGCCACGTGGATGTCGATTTTAAACTTCTTCAAGCTTGTTTTTAAAAAATATTCTAAATAAACCTTCCACGTACAAATATTTTCTGGACTTCCACGAATAATACAAAAAGACGTTAACGTCACGTACAGCGAACGTTAATGCTTGTCACGCGACGACGCGGCGTCGACGCTGCGCAAACACAACGTTGACGTCAACACTATTAGCGGCCTTCATGTAGCAAAACGCCTAGGGGGATTACGGCCATCAATGTCAAGGTGCGATGTGTATGTAGGTTGGTATGTTCAGGAGACATTTCTAGAAAATCCATACTATTGAAAAAATAAAGGGTAGCTCGCCGCCCGACCAGAACCAGACCCGAGAGTACGGCGCGTAGCGTTCCGCGCGCGCTTCAAAGATCCAATAGACCACCACAGACGGGGCGCTATAGGGCTGATGTTCAGCCGGGGTTGCGGGGTAAGCGCAATGAGGCACCGCGACCTCGGCCCAGAGCAGGAGAAGGAACATGGGGGTTTCAGTCAGTAAGAGTCTGACACTCTCGCCTTACCCTGGGCGTGAGAAGTCATTTGATGATTTTCCCCAGACAAAAAAAGGGGGGTTTCCGGGGATGGTCCGCTAGTATGCATATGTAGATAGTTGCAGCAACATGACTTACCCAGCCTTACAAAAGCAACCAGGCAAATAAATGCTCAGACAACCAGTAGGTTGCAGGCTAATTAGTTGAGCGTCAGTCTTCATTCGATAGTATCTCCTAGTTCTTTCCAAATACGGTATTATACTTGTAAAGTCCAGGTTCAGTCGGCGTGTTTCGTCCATGTCTACAGTTTCTAGTATTGCCTAGAAATGAGAATACAGTGAAATACTTTAATTCATCAAACCTCAAACGAACGTCGGCGTTCGTTTGAATTAGAGTTAGAAGTCATTTGATGATTATCCCCTTACAAAAAAAAGACCTTATATTTTTTTTTTTTTTTTTGTTACAGATCTTCGGGAATATTCTTCGTGAGGACAAACGCGAACTCTCCGTTTTCACAAGGCTAAAAAATAAAGAACGATCAAAGATATTTTACGTACTTAATAAATTCATTATAATATAATATTATATCGTTGGAACTTAAATTTTATTTACTAAGATCCTGCCTCCATACCTATGTTGGTACGTTTCCATAAATATCAACACATCATCAGCCTATAAGTGCCCACTGCTGAGCAAAGGCCTCTTCCCACACGGAGAAGGTTTGAGCATTAACCACCTCGCTTGCTCAAGGCGGAATAAAAAGGTTACCAGAGACCCAATCTCGCACCCCACTTCCCCCACCATCATCATCAATAGCCTGGTTCCATACACTGCTGGACATAGGCCTCTTCAATTGCACGCCACTGCGCTCAATGTTCAGCTTTATCTATATACTATATATATAAAAGAAAGTCGTGTTAGTTACTCCACTTATAACTCAAGAACGGCTGAACCGATTTAGCTGAAAATTGGCAGGGAGGTAGTTTAGAGCCAGGAGAAGGACAGGAGTAGGGTAGGTGGAGTAGGGTAAGTAGAGTAGGGTAGGTAGAGTAGGGTAGGTAGAGTAGGGTAGGTAGAGTAGGGTAAGTAGAGTAGGGTAGGTAGAGTAGGGTAGGTAGAGTAGGATAGGTAGAGTAGGGTACGTAGAGTAGGGTAGGTAGAGTAGGATAGGTAGAGTAGGGTACGTAGAGTAGGGTAGGTAGAGTAGGGTAATAAAATACCTGCGTAAATAGTAGGTACCTACTTTCTGTCATAGTCAAATACATTTAAAAAAGTAGGTGTCCAAAAATAAATGACCTATAAATTATTTCGAAACAACAAGTGTGTTATCACCTGTACCAATTCAATACCGGTATTATACTGTAAATTTTGGGATGTTACCTAAATATATTGTACGGCCGCTTTTTTGTAGCCATCTGAACTTGGTCGGGTTATGTAGGTTTTCGATGCTTCGTCAGTATTATAATTGTTTTTCTTTAATTACTGAATTTAATGACATGAAATTTTGCATGTGAATAGTTGAATGAATACACTAATTATTGGCATACATTTTACCATGCAATTCATTTAGAAAGTCGTGATATTTGACTGCTTTGTAAACAGTGATCTATTCATGGTAAATTTGTCCTATAACTTTTTAATTACTAACGGAACATCATTGATACTTGGCAACATGTTGCAGACACTTACAAGGTTTGTATCAACGTGAAAATCTAGACCCCAAAGTGCATACTTTAAGAACTAAGACCTAATAAGCGTATTTTACGTTTATATTTTTATCTTTTAAACCCTGCGATTTTTTCTAAATCTGTTTTTTAAACAAATATAAACAAATTCAAAACAACGTATGTAAAAATCTACAGCTCTCTATGTAAGCGCTTTATATGAAAACTAGCTAATGGCCAAACGTTCGCGTAGCGGAAACTTGAATTTCTCCGAAGTTTATGCATGCACTAGTTTTATTCATACATACACAATTACACACAAATACACACTAATTTTTGGATACATCTCTTTTCTTCTAAAGTCTATGGATTAAAAAAAGTTCCGCCAGGACAACGTTCGCCCAGCGGAATCAGTTTTTGGTGAATTTCTCCACAATGGTTGCGTGCACAAATTTTTTTTTACCATACACAATTATACGACGTCATACACTAAATATCTGCATAATTAAAATCTTTAAATTCAACAACATTCCGCTGCACGAACGCTCGCTAGGGTAGGTAGGGTAGGTAGTCAAATGAAGGGAGCGACGCCGCGGGTAAGAGCTAGTTAGATATATATCTCAATTAATCACCACCCTTGTGTAAGAGAGCCATGCTTCGGCACGAATGGGTCGGCTCGACCGGAGTGATACCACGGCCTCACAGAAAACCGGCGTGAAACAACTACAGCGTTGTGTTTCGCCGTGTGAGTGAGGTTACCGGAGGACTCCCATCCCCTCCGTCCCTTCCCAATCCTTAAATATCCGAAACCTTTGCCCCTAAAAGGCCGGCAAAGAACTCGTAACTCCTCCGTTGCGGTTGTTCATGGGCGGCGCTGATTGCTTACCATCAGGTAATCCGTCTATGACATAAAAAGAGTCTGAAACTCTCACTCGCCTCACCCAAGGCGGGAGAAGTCATTTGATGACTTCGTCTTATGATGATTTTATGAAATAAAACGACTTTTTAATTTTTCTATTTCTTTATATTTTGAGTGCAATTATTTATTTGTGTTACAATTATTTATTTATTTATTAAAAAAAATCACAATCAATAAGATTAATTCAAGTCATTGAAAATTGTGAAAAATCGAACATAAACATAATTTTTTCAATAACACACCTTAACAGTATCAATTTAAAGACGAAATTTGCAATACAGTGTTGTAATATTATCACGATTCTTCAAACGTAACAAATTTTATTTCAAAATCAACTTTATTATAAAGGAGTTAAGGTATATTATAGTAAGTCAACAAAAAATAGTCTATGTATATCTACAACAGTATTTCAAAGCTACTATTATGTCAATGCAATTTGAACACTAAACCATTAGCTATAAGGTACAATGTTAGTTATAAAAAGAGTGTTAAGAAAATTACTATTTATAATAGTTACAAAAATTTCGCTATTAAATTGAATAAACACTTTTATTGTTCGTTCAAACAAAATTGAACTCTAATTACGAAGACATAAGAAGAATTACATGAAAAATGTACTTTTTTTAAGAGCGACTTTTCTCTTTACATATAATATGGAGACTGTCTGAAACCGGGCACAACCTAATACCGTCATAAGTCAACCTATACTAATATTATAAAGAGGTAAAATTTGTAAGTTTGTATGTAGGGGGTAATCTTTGGAACCGCTGGTCGGATTGCCAAAATTCTTTCACTGATAGATAGCTACAATGTTCCTGAGTGCTATAGGCTATAAATTATACTGGATTTGGGTATTTTAGTCAAGGTATCGCTGTTTTAAAACCCCGGTATACATTACTGTGATAAATAAACTATTAAAATCACAATTATAATTTTAATTACCCTAATAGTCGATTCTAATTATACAATAAAGAAACTTTAAATCAAGATTTGTATAAACTTAAGATAAAATATTAATTAATATCAATAAAAATAAATAATATTTCACTTAGGGCTGATTTTTCAATGGTTAGATAAAAGTTACCTGGGGAATAATTATGATGCTGTCGCGTCACAATGTTTGTATAAGACAGTGACAGCAACAATTTTTTTTCTCAGATAACATTTATCTGACTATTGAAAAATCAGCTCTTAAACAGAGAAAATAGTAAATAGCATTATCTATTTAAAGCGAAAGTAGGATTTTAATAATTTATACATATATGATTTTTTTAGACACCACTGACATACAGTGAAGGATAACATCGTGAGGAAACCTGGACTTATAATTTCTATTATAAGTTTGAAATCGACAACCCGCATTGAGCAAGCGTGGTGATTAATGCTCAAACCTTCTCCGTGTCAGAAGAGACCTTTGCTCAAGAATGGACAGTCCATAGCAACCCATACCCATAACCTTATAATTTTTTACCACATTTTGCGATAGTCCTGCATCAGCCGGGGATTATCCTTGGGTGCACTTTCATAGTGCATACAGGGATAATTGCCGGCTGATGTCCCATTTCACTTAAATTAAAGTTGTTCAAAGGGCCTCTGCGAGTTGGCTTCGGCCCCTTGTAAGCCTTCCAAAGGTCCGGGACCCTGTCGTCCCGTGGAAGGAATCGAACAACTATAGGTAATAATAATACTTGAAATTTTTAGATAAAAAATCTATTTTTTTTTTTGTTCTTTACTAAGATCGATTTAGATTTTTTTGGATAAAGATCAGTTATAATTCTCGGCCAATATTTATTCATAGAAGAAAAAAAGAAAGAGAACGCGAGATAGACTTTAGCCATTAAAACGCACAAGCGTGAGGGAGATAGCAAGATATCGCTAAAGCTCCCGCAGTGAAAATAGGAATTAGAGTTTTCAGGTATTAAAAATTTTCACTAGATACAATTATTTAGTTTGATTTTTCACCTACAATAAGAAAAGTTTGGAGCAAAAATATTCTGCTCAAATTCAGAAACGTTATTAGCGCAAAATCGAAAGATTGACATGAAATTGGCGCAAAGTCAAAATTTACGAATTAAATTGGCGCAAACATAAATATCACTTTTTAAATTTACGCATAACATAAATGAATTTGGTCAAACTCAAATATAACTTACCAAGTTTGCGCATAACAAAAATTGAATTTGCGCAAAATCGAAAGATGGACATGAAATTGGCGCAAAGACAAAATTTACCAATTAAATTAGCGCAAACACAAATATCACTTATTGTGTTTGCGCATAACAAAAATTGGATTTGCGCAAAATTATTATGCCCTATCTAAATGGTAAATGGTATAAATATAACATATCACCTTGACAACTAACATCTAAAAGGGGTAGGCAACAATGTACGAGAAACATCCACATTTTTGTCACCATCATGAGTTATTTTAACTATTTTACTATAGTAACTATCAAGAGACATAATCAATTTATTGAAAAATAACGTCGTAATCGCGTAAATTAACTGACGCCATGCTTCAGCACGAATGGGTCGACTCGACTGGAGTGATACCACGGCCTTACAGAAAACCGGCGTGAAACAATAAACAGCGTTGTGTTTCGCCGTGTGAGTTAGGTTACCGGAGGCCCAATCTTACTCCTTCCCCAATCCCTAATCCCCAAAAGGTCGACAACGTACTCGAAAACTACTCTGTTGTTGCGTGTGTAAAAAAATGTGTATGTATATATAAAAATGATTAAAAATTATTATTTAACTTCCTCCATTCGCTGTAACGACTAGAATTATGATTATTAACTTGAAAACTTAACATAAATCACCTGATCTGTCCAAATCTTACCGTGGATGATACATCAACATATTATTAAGCTGAAATTTGTAAGTTTGTATGTTTGTATTATTGAGCTGAAATCTATACTAATATTATAAAGAGGTAAAATTTGTAAGTTTGTATGTAGAAGGTTAATCTTTGTAACTGCTGGTCGGATTGCCAAAATTCTTTCACTGATTGATAGCTACAATGTTCCTGAGTGCTATAGGCTATAAAACATCACGCTACGATTAAATGGAGCCAAGCAGCGGGTGAAACCGCGCGAGAATAGCTAGTCTCTAATAAACCTAAACCTGCGATCTCGCAACGCGCCTATAGCGAAAAATGTGACATGAAATACTCAGCTACTTAAAAATATATTTCACAATACGGTAGTTTCCAACTAGTCAAATTGAATACTTTTATCCAAATGTCAAAAACGATACTTTTCTACGAGAAATTTGTATGAAACTTCCAAATTATGTCGTCATAGTATTTTAGCGTCAAATAGCTTACTTAGAACTTAAAAATAGCTAATAAAAATATCGAAAATTTAATGTATCGATCGATCGATGAATAAAAGTAGTTAAGTATAGGTTTTTTCAATATTTTTTTAATATTGTATTGAAACGTCGTCGAATTAATTTATTTTTGACTTAGGAAACTACACAATTTGTTACGTCATAATAATTTCTCTTCATATAGATTAAAAAGTTTTTAAAATGATGATTAACTGAAAGAAAACCATATTAGCAAGTCTTTCCATGTAAGGCGTGATATTCAATGGTTAGATAAAAGTTACCTGGGGAATAATTATGATGCTGTCGCGTCACAATGTTGTTATAAGACAGTGACAGCAACAATTTTATTCCTCAGATAACATTTATCTGACTATAGAAAAATGAACCCTCGGTCAAATAAAACATTACTGTCGACTTATTGGATAAGAAATCTAAATAATTCTTGTATAACTTGAGAAAACCACATCTTCCACCCTTTTCTATACCACGAGAACGTCACTACGTTAGAGCGAGAGAACAGATCTGTTAGATTATTATAAAGTCGTAATAGACGAAACTGCTTGACCGAATTTGATTGGATTGTGTTCAAGGTACGTATGGGAATACTTGAGTGATGCGACCGATGCCTCTGAAACAAAAGAAACAGAATATTTTATTTAATATTTGCGTTTGTTTTACGTTTATATTTATAACAAAAACTAGCTACTCCACAATGAAATTTAGCCATTCACTGAAACGACTAGTCATTCAGTCAGTCAGCCTGTTGGTTGGATGGCTAATTCAACTATTTGGCTGCGACATTATCTTATAATATAAAAATGAATCGCAAAATGTGTTGGTAAGCGCATAACTCAACAACGCCTGGACTAATTTTGCTAATTCATTTTTTAATGTATTTATTATCGTCAGGAGAAGGTTCTTATCAAAGAAAATATTAGAAAAGTAGAGGGGAAGATTAGGAAAAAGCGACCCTTTGATAGCGAGATAGTTGGACCCGTGCGAAACGAGAATGTTTAGAGGTATGAGGAACAGTGTGGAAAGTTCCTCATCCTCCATTGAAAAGGGAGGATCCTCCGACCAGGCGAGGTGTTCGTGCCTGGTGGGCTACTGCCCGACGGTTGTTATCGGGATTTTGTATAGTTTCTAATTGCGATGAGAACTCTTATACCGCGATGTAGAATCTGTTACGCCATCTTTTTTTTTATGTGGTAGGACGGCAAACGAGCAGACGGATTACCTGATGGTAAGCAATCAGCGTCGCCCATGGACACCCACAACAAAGGAGTGCGTTGCCGACCATTTAGGGATTAGGATTTTGGGGATTTAGGGATTGGGAAGGGATGGGGCCTCCGATTTGATTCCTTCAAATTAAAATTGAGGGATTGGGACTCCGATCTGTTGATTATTGTTTTTCTTCTCCATTAATGTGATACTGCGTGTGTGCGATAGATGTCGCTACAAGTGGGCCGCTAGTAATATACTAAATGGAACTCGTTCGACGCTTTTGATTATCAATTCGATCCCGTATCTCAACATAGATCCTAATAATCCTTCTAATATTATAAAAGTGAAAGTTTGTAAGAATGTATGTAATTATCTTTAACGCAAAAATGGCTAGACCGATTTGTTAAATGTTAGGGAAAATATTTAGTTTTAATTCCAGGGCATTTTGACTCGACGAGATATTATATATAGATATTATTCGAGATATTATTCGCAGCCGAGCGCTCGTCGAGTCAACATCTCCTGAGGATGCCCTGTGGAGGGGCGAAACACGTGTCGAGTATAGGTTTGATTGCGTGCCATGTTTTTCTGTTTTGTTTATGTGTGCATATGCATGTTACCCTTGCTGCATGTGCATATGCGTGATTGCATAGGAGTGGGATTGCATCCTGCAACAAGCCTGGATTTTTGTCGCGGAATTAAAACTAAATATTTTCCCTAACATTTAATGTCATGGATTTCCGCAAAGTAACGCCTGATTCTATAAATTATCTTAGACCGATTTGGTTGAAATTGGTGTGTAGATAGATGATACGCTGTATTAACACATAGGCTGTTATTTATCAACATACGACGCGGGCGAAACCGCGCACAGAAGTTTATTAAGTGTATATAGGTGTATACTTTACCTGGTCCCCAAGCCGGCAGTGAAGAGCAACCTCCTCCCTCTGACCAAGTACTCCGGACATCGGACGAAACGGAACAGCACTGACGCAGTCTCGTCAGCTCGGAGCACGTTGTGTAGAGACATTATACCCTGGGGAAGACGAGGGGAGGTATTTTGAAGAGAGTGATACATCGTCATCATCAAAATACGGTAGTTTCCAACTAGTCAAATTCAATACTTTTATCCAAATGTCAAAAACGTATAGTTTTTTTTCTATGAAATTTGTATAAAATACTGAGTTATGAAGTCATTTTATTTTAGCGTTAAATAGCTTACTTATTTTTATAATAACTATCGTGAGACATACTAAATTAACTAAAAATCGCGGGTTACTCACGTGTAAATGTTGAGAAAAGCTCTACTAGTTTCGAACCACAGAGGGGTTCTTCCTCATGAGCAGCGTGCGCGGACGCGGCGACGTCGCGCAGCCTACTGAACCAGCCAACTCAATGTACACACGTGAGTAACCCGCGATTTTTAGTAAGCTTACTTATTTCTTAAAAATTAATAAAAACATATCTAACATTAAGTGTATCAATCGATCGATGAATAAAAGTATAATTATTTTTCAATATTTTATTGTATTTAAACTTCGAATTAATTTATTTTTAATCTAGGAAACTACCCAATTCACTTGGTTATTTATACCTATATATATATATATATATATATTTATAAAAGAAAGTCGTGTTAGTTACACTATTTATAAGTAACTCAAGAACGGCTGAACCGATTTGGCTGAAAATTGGTAGGGAGGTAGCTAAGAACTGGTTGAAGAACATAGGGTACGCTATGTCCTTCCCTCTGGCTGTGGTATCAATCCGGTCGAGCCGACCCATGGACACACTCATAGATAACTAACTTTTGACTCTGAAGACTCTGTTTAAAAAATACATAATACTGGGATTATTCTTTAAAGTTTTAAGTGTGGGAGAGCCATGCTTCGGCACGAATGGGTCGGCTCGACCGGAGTGATACCACGGCCTCACAGAAAACCGACGTGAAATAACCACTGCGTTGTGTTTCGCCGTGTGAGTGAGGTTACCGGAGGCCCAATCCTTCCCCTTCCCCAATCCCTCCTCAATCCCTAAATCTCCAAATCCCTAATCCCTAAAAGGTCGGCAACGCACTCGTAACTCCTCCGTTGCGAGTGTCCATGGGCGGCGCTGATTGCTTACCATCAGGTAATCCGTCTGCTCGTTTGCCGAGCTATTACATAAAAAAAAAAGTTTCCTATTGAATATTAATATAAATAGTTTTATATTTGTTACTAGCTTTTGCCCCCGACTCCGTTCGCGTGGTATAGTGACTTCCTGCAGATTTATGGTATAAAAACTATTCTTTGTCCTTTCTCGAGTTCCAAACTATGTCTGTGATAAATTTCACACAAATCGGTTCAGTAGTTTAGGCGTAAAGAAAAGACAGACAGACAGACAGAGTTACTTTCGCATTTATAATATAAGTTTGGATGCCTTACCTCTATGATAGCAGTTTGCCTGACGTTCCCAACATGGACCGTACACTGGAAGCCAGGGTATATCACGGTGGAGTGTCTAAGGACGTGGACTGACGCCTGTAACATAACATTATAGGAAATAAGTTTATGAAAGACCTATATTAATTACATGGTAAGCAGACGGATTACCTGATGGTAAGGAACCAGCGCCGCCCATGGACCAACACGTAACAACGGAGGAGTTATAAGTGCGTTGCCAGGAATATGGGTTTGGAGATTTTGGGATTGGGGGAGGGGAGGTCCAATCCTTCTCCTTCCCCAATCCCTAAATCTCCTAATCCCTAAAACTCCATCAGTAACTCCTCCGTTGCGGCTGTCCATGGGCGGCGCTGATTGCTTACCATCAGGTAATCCTCACTCGTTTGCCGACCTTTAACATTAAAAAGGACTATGTAGTGATAAAAAACCTCGTGGATGCCCGGAGGTTAAGGTGCCTGCTTCTCATGCATGAGGGTACGAAACCTGGCAAGTACCAATGTGACTTTTTCCGAGTTATATGTACTTTCTATGATTATTTTGACACCACTGACATACGGTAAAGGTAAACAACGTGAGGTGAAATCAAATCAAAATCATTTATTCCAACTAAACCATAAATAGGTACTTTTGAAACGTCAAAATAGAAAAGTAGTCTGTCAGTCTGTTCGTCAGTGAAGCTAGGCGCTCGTTCCAAATTGTAGATTCGAATTGAGAAGAACGAGAAAGAAATTCCATCGTTACTCTTTTTAAAGAAATATTATTTGTTTTACAATTCACTAATAAAACATTTTTTATACATTATTTTACCCCTATGTGAGAACAATGCAGAGACAAGTTGTTAATAAAAAGGAACAAATGATGGTATCTATCATTAAAATTTTAATCTTTTGAGGAAACCTGGACTTATAATCTCAAAGTTTGAAATCGCCAACCCTGAGCAAGCTGAAACCTTCTCCGTGTGAGAAGAGGCCTTTGCTAAGCAGTGGGCACTTATAGGCTGTTGTTGATAACTCACCTGGAAGTAGATACATCCTCTAGGATCGTTGGGGTCTTCTAGGAGAACTTTGTCAGCGCACATACAGTCATCGAAAGCTCCCTCATTGTCTTCATCATCATAACTATTACTGTCCATACCTAGGTCTTTAGTCAGACTATCTTCTGAATCGATATCTCGCAACAAATTCTTATTTTTCCTTCGAACACTTTTACGATGTTTCGCCTTTTCACATAGATTCTGTTCTATTAGTTGCTTTAGCTGTAAAAAAGAACAAAAAAAGAATGTTATAATTTGAAATTGATTTTATCTTTTATCTTTTATCTTTTATCTTTTATCTTTTATCTTTTATCTTTTATCTTTTATCTTTTATCTTTTATCTTTTATCTTTTATCTTTTATCTTTTATCTTTTATCTTTTATCTTTTATCTTTTATCTTTTATCTTTTATCTTTTATCTTTTATCTTTTATCTTTTATCTTTTATCTTTTATCTTTTATCTTTTATCTTTTATCTTTTATCTTTTATCTTTTATCTTTTATCTTTTATCTTTTATCTTTTATCTTTTATCTTTTATCTTTTATCTTTTATCTTTTATCTTTTATCTTTTATCTTTTATCTTTTATCTTTTATCTTTTATCTTTACACTTAACGTAGTGTAAGCTACGTCTGTGCCAAGTTTGATTCAGACCCGTCCAGCCGTTTTGGCGTGATTGAGTAACAAACATCCAAACATTGTAACTTTTGCATTAGCCTAATTTGTGCTCGACGGAGTGTGTGTGTGTGTGTGTGTGTGTGTGTGTGTGTGTTTGACAGCGGATATGAGCTTGTCAACCTAAACAATCCTTAAATTTTTTTTTGTAAGACAACAAAGATTGAGTCGAAAATATTTTGTAGTTTGATTAATACCACTAGACATATTAGATTTTGAATTGTGACGTCACAACATCACACCATGTCGACAGTCACTTTACGAGTGGCTTACTTTATGGACGACCCCAGAGACATGGCAGACGTACACCGGGGGCGATGTAAAACTGACCTGGTTAGCTTGTTTACAATGTCCTGGGGCGCAGGCTCCAAACGCAGGTCTCCTGGGGGCGCGGCGTGGAGGAGCGAGGAGTACCATCCCTGGTCGGGGCGCCGCCCCCGCCGCCAGCCCTATACTGGCGCACTGACCCGCTCGCACCGAGCCACACGGGGCGCGGTTGCGATATATAGAGCGGACTACTGTGCTCGCGAACGAACCGTCTTCCAGAGGTCCTGGGGGAAGAAATATTATTTTCAACACTTCCTCATAAAGTGGCTCTAATCCCACGGCAATCAGGCACATAATGACACCTATAATGTATTTTAAAATAGAAAGAAAGAAAACACATTTATTCGACAAATAGGCACACAAATACATAGTACAAAAAAAATACATAATAAGAACATAGATATTTATATAATACAACAATAATATACTTAATAAACAAAACAAGAAAAATACAACAAAAACGAAAAAAAAGAAAAAAATTAAAACGTAAAAATAATAATATTCATGTGGCCATGCCAAAAGGTCCTCCACCTCAGCACCCCTGCAGTGACTCACGTCACGGACGCACAGTGTCCGGCGTAGAACAAGCCAGGTGGACAAAAATATTTTTTCATGGTTTTGCAACTAGACCTACTGATTAGTTAATTATGTATTACTATAACATATTTTTTAAAAACAAAATGCGTTGGATTTGTATTTAAATATTTTATTTCATATATACACAATGATAATACACGAAAACAGAAAAAAAAATATCTAAATCGCTATAAATATTAACACTAATTATATATACACAACCTTAGACTTAACATATTATGTACAAAAAATATAAATCTTAATTTAAAGTTTTCTATTTACATTAAAACTAAGTCTCAATACCAGAAACATCGGATTCTGAATCATATTATGTACAAAAATTATAAATCTAACTCTAAAGGTATCTATTTACATTAAAACTAAGTCTCAATATCAGAATCATCGGATTCACAATCCGATGATTCCGAGACAAGATAATCTTCCTCATTTTGTGGAGGCCTTGATGGAATTTGAGGACGAGGCTCTATGGTGGGAGCTATGATGAGCTTTAAGACCTCCGCGCACAATTTATTCGATTTTTTTTTTGGTACTTCCCGGAGGCTATTGATCAGAGGATCAGATGTTATAATCAACATGTTGAGCAAGTCTCTATTCGTGGCAAGTCGAGAGCACTTTCTGGTGTTATGCTCTCTAAACCTCCGACAATCTTTATTTCTTGCTTCTTGGGCTTCTTCTGAAAGCTGCCCTATTGGAACTATTGCCGTCTTAACTACTTCTGTGCTATGAATTAACAATTTATGCACAGTAGCAGGCATGTAGTACCACGAATAGAGACTTAGATAAAGTCTTCTTGTCTCGAGACAAAGCTTGTTGAATTCAACAAGATTTATCTCGAAACCAGAAGACAATGTTCTCAACAATACATCAAAGTTTTTAATGATTGTAACATCCAATCCTGTGATCCGAGCACTCAGTTCAGGGTTCCCAAAAAAACGTCGAGCTGTGTTTCCATCGTTTGTGGAACCAAATCCAGGCTTTGGCTTGTCCACAATTAATCCCATTTCATGCTTAAATCGTTGTTTGATTTCGTCTGATCGTTGTTTTACACTTGCTTTTTCCTGGGAAGACCTAGCTTGCCATTTTTTTATATCCAACTTATAACTAATGTGTAAAAAGCACTCAAACGAACGAATCCAAGCATGTAATGTTGACAAACCAAAGCCAAAATTGTCCTGATTACTGTCAAAATGCCTTCCTTCATCATTCATCATTGTGGGAGTAGCCCCGCAAATATAGCATTTTTGCGATGAATGAGTCTCTGTCAAAGCATTGCACACTTTTCCATCGGTCATTGTCAACAATAACTTGTGCTTAACAGAAATTTCAGAACCAGCAAGATCACAAGATGTAGGCTCTAAGTTGTTTATTTGTTCCAAAACCTTATTTGTCTCGATTTTTGTCATTTCCATAGTTTCTTTAACAAAAATGAATTTGATTGGACGACAAAAAATAGTGGATGATGGACGAGGATTTTGCCAGATAATGTTGTTACCTTCGTCAATTAACCTCAAAGGAACAAACGAATAAACAAAAAGAAACTCATCAGTGTCTTCGCTATTCTCAAATCTCTGTTTGTAAGCACTATGACCGGAACTTCCGTCACACCCCCATTTACTTATAAGAGTAAACGATGAATTGGGGCTTATATTTGGAACACGGAATAGAAAATACAGTGGAAGTGCCCCTCAGACATCGCGCGCTAACCAACATGATGACTAGATATACAACATTTTGGCACATTTGTTGTCAGAATCGTTCGATCCGTTGTCATGATTGGTTGTCATGGTTGTCTCTAAGAAACACGAAATATATTAGAAATTATGCCTTGTTGTGCGGTTTTTAACTGCAAAAAAGTAAGCAGAAAAAAAGATGAGTCTTGTGGTGGTGTATCGAATCATCTTTGAGTATTAACCTTTGTTAATTTTAAATATATTAGATTTTAATGTAAATATCACATTTCATTACTTCAATGCAAACTATAAAGGGCCTTATTTTCATTACAATTAAGTTTAAATCTACTTGTTCGTTATGTGACGTTATATACAATACATTCTAGTAGTTTCGACGCTACTCATTTAGGGATGCGACATATTCGTAAAATAGGTTCATATCGATAATTTTTCATCATCATCGTTCAGAAAATTGATTTTTGACAATTTTTGTGTATAATTCATAAATGTTTAACTAAGATTGCATAGACACATCAACGTTTTAACCACACACAGCGTGCATCCGTCTGTGGCAGGTGCGAGTGGTTAATCACCATTTTTATTTTATAACTAGTTTTCGCCAGCGGCTTCGCCCGCGTGCTGTGTTGATAAAAAGCAGCAAATAGCAAGAGAACAAAATCTAAGTATACATAAAATTTGGTATTTATCGTCTCATTTTTATACATCTCCAATGGGTAAATACCCTATTACTTACTAAGTCTCCGCAGTCCGTCCGTCAATAGATAGAAAGGTACGGATCTAACTAATAGGTAAGAGTTACAAATATTTGATAAAACCTATATTATATTATATTTTATACCGCATCGTGTCGAGCACGGCAACCGCTACACAAAAATAATTCTTATACCATGATTCAGTGTTCACTTGCGACGGCGCTATGTCTTATTATCCGAATTGCTAAGCTATCAGGAGTTACACGTGCTATTGTGAGTTAATCATAAAAGATAGATATATGCTGTATAACATTTTTTTTGACAATTTTATTTAAAATATTTCCGTCATACATAATTTCTATGTAAGCGACTGAAACTTACAAAAGGGAGTAACTTCTCCCGTTTTCCCAACATTTTCCTTCACTGCTCTGCTCCTATTATTTGTAGCGTGATGAAAAGTATCCTATAACCTGCCCAGGAGTATAAAGAATAATTGTACCAAGTTTTGTTAAAATCCGTCGAGTAATTTTTGTTTCTATAAAGAACATTCAGACAGACAGACAGACAGACAGACAAAATTTTTACTGATTGCATTTTTGGCATCAGTATCGATCACTAATCACCCCCTGGTAGTTATTTTGAAAATATATTTAATGTACAGAATTGACCCCTCTACAGATTTATTATAAGTATAAATGTTGTACATGATTTTTATCAGAGTTCCAAAAAGGAGAGTGACTCTCAATTCGACTGTAACATTTTTTTTGTTTTTTTCGTCTCCGTTATTTATGAACCGATTTTAATGATTCTATTTTAGGAAAGGAGATAAAACTGGTAGGAGCGCGTAGTGCTTTTATATGTTAAAATCGAAATCTTTAATAATAACTTGACCATCTCCAAAAAACATTAAATCTTCAAAAAATATGTTAATATTTTTCTTTTTTTTATTAGAACCTTTTTCATTACTGATCATTTGTAGGTATATCGTGTCGATAAATTATATTGCTCACACGAATACAAAAACATCGATATATTGGGATACCCTGCCCTATCTGAGTAGCAAAATAGTAAATGTCTATTGGTACAAGTGCATACAAATATGACATCTATTTCAAAGAAGTTAGCGTTTTGAATAGAATGAATTTGTTACAGCGCCATCTAGCGTTGAGTGGCTGAACCCGTTTGTAAATTGTTTTATTTAAGTTTTTTACACGATAGACGCCTTTATTGATTGTGACATGTGAAATGATAACAACTTTCGCTCATTGTTATAAGACTCAATTTTTAACAACATTTAGAAGATGATTTGCTAAAGTTGCGTTTCATGTTTTTACCCAATTATATAGCTGTTTTTTATGTGTGTAATGGACAATTTGACTTGCGAATGTGTGATTTTGGCGACACTGGTTTTCCTTTTGAAAGAGTGTAGGGGCACTTCTACTTAATTTTCTGTTCTGTGATTTGGAAGCACACTTGTGACGACTTCTCTCTGAGCTTCGATTAAGCGTTCTGCTGTTTTATTCAAAATAGCTTGAAGCTCAATTTCTGCTCGAAATTGTGTCACAACAATGTGCTCCTCAGAAGGATAACACCCTTTTTTTGCCTTGACAATGCATTCATATGATGGAAACACATGATGCTCGACTTTCATAGTCCACTTCCTAGTCTGTTTGTATGAGTGAGTTGTTGATTTGGAATCAATATAATACGCTAATGCCTCGTCATTACTTAGCGGTCTATCTCTTTGCACAGCACTTGTTTGTTGAATGTTCAAGCACGCACTTGCGGAAGCTGGATTTTCACCAATGTCTTTAATAACTCTGGCAACGTTTTTTTGTCCAGTTGACCGTGCAGCTACCTCTGCGGCAGTCATTAGTTCCCCAACACTACGCGATTGTACTAAATCTTCAACTCTACGTTTTTTGGTCTTAAAAGACGCATCTTCAAAGTCTTTTCTAGGCCTTCCGGGCCGAGAAAGTTCAGCGGTTGAGGTAGAAGGTTGCGGTAGAGTCGATCGTACACAAAATTCTATCTCCTGGCCTTCCAGCCACAACTTATTCTTATTAAGGAAACGCTCTTTTGATTTTCCTGAAGACACCCATCTAGTTGCAATTTTTGAAGAAATGCTGGCTAATTTCATCTTAATTTCCCTTTCGCATTCTTCAGTGATATCAGAAAAATTAAACTTAGTTGAAATAAACTCAAATAGACGATCACATCTTTTGTCTTTTTCGTGTTTAAGCCACTCTTCGAAAAACTCTATTTTATTAATAGAGTAAAGCTTTTCTGAAAAAAATGAAAATAAAATAGTTGTACTCAAGTGTGCTACATAAATTATATGTCATAATCATCTACAGACATGCAGCTAAAACATATAAAAAATTCAGCCCGGATACAAGAGGATACATGGCTTTTCCAAGGCAGATAAATTGAAAAACAATGAAAATACATGCTTTTTTTGTGTATTCACAGATAGTCTATTTTATGAATGTCTATGGCACATAAAAAGAATCCAATAAGAATTAAATGTTATACATACCTTCAGAAGTAAAATCCATCACTAAAACTTCCACAAAATTAAGAACTGTCACCATGAGATGTTATTGCAAGTGTCGCGAAAATGCAACTGACCTAATTCTTTGATTGCATTTACCTCATTAGCTCACTTTGATAAACGATGACTCATCAGTATGGAATGTTGGACGTAAACAATTCCTGGAATCGGGGGTTTAGGGGTGTTGTTTACATGTAGAAAGTACCTGCTTCCGGGAATTAGATAATGACTTTTGTCCACCTGGCTTGCTCTAGAGCGGACACTGTGGGACGGCGGTACCGCCACTCAATTGGGTAGTTTCCTAGGTCAAAAATAAATTAATTTGATGTTTCAATACTATAAAATATTGAAAAATAACTTTACTTTTATTCATCGATCGATCGATACACCAAGTTTTAGATTTTTTTTAGCTAATTATTGTGAAATAAGTAAGCTATTTGACGCAAAAATGTTATGACGTCATATCAGTTTTGCATACAAATTTCATAGAAAAGTATCGTTTTTGACGTTTGGATAAAGTATTGAAATTGACTAGTTGGAAACTACCATATTCTTTTCCTCCTTTCTTTCCTATGCTCTCCGAGATCTCTGTCTCGGTCACAAAATAAGAAAAAATGTATTATATATATATATATATATTATTGTGTACCTTATTGAATAAATAAAAAAATAAACAATTACACTTACCTATAATAACGCTATCTCCTTCCCTCAGCTGACCCCTCGCCAGAAGGCCTCCCACCACAGGACCCGAATTGTCTCCCACGTGGAATATCTCATCGATTTGAAACTCACACGTTTCCTGAAAATTTGCAGTAATACTGTATCTATGTATACTAATATTATAAACCTAAACGGCCTTATTACAAAACAAGGTTTAACTTTAGTCTAGGACTAAACCATTGAGCCAGTTTTCGTATTTCGAATTGAAGGTAGATGACAATAAGATTCAAAATTCAAAACCCGACTCAATGGTTTAAACCTGGACTAAAGATAAACCTTGTTTTGAAATAAGGAGGAAAGAGTTTGTTTGAACGCGCTAAACTCCAGAACAACTGGTTCGAATTTAATAAAACTTTTCTTGCTACTTTTTTTTACAACTTGTCTCTGCATTGTTCTCACATAAGGGTACAATAATGTATACTAAATGTTATATTATTGAAATTGTAAAAGAAATATTAAAAAAAAGAGTAACGATGGAGTGTCTTGCTCGTTCTTCTCCATTCGAATCTACAATTTGGAACGAGCACCTAGCTTCACTGACGAACAGACTGACAGACTACTATTCTATTTTGACGTTTCAAAAGTACCTATTTATGGTTTAGTTGGAATAAATGATTTTGACTCGTTTAATAGACTATTTATTGAGGAAGGCTATAAAACATCACGCTACGATCAGTAGGGGCCGAGCAACGAGTGAAACCGGGCGAGAGTAGCTAGTTAGAGTCAATTATAATCATCGGCATTTATTCTTAGAGTAGTCAGATAAGAAATGCCGGCTTCATCTAGTTTTTCACGTATTAATTGACGTGTTAAAGTGCCATTTTATGGCCTATTTGCAAAAATATATTCATTGTTTCATCAGGTGCATGCGAGCAAGCGTGGTGTATGCTCAAACCTTCTCCGTGTGAGAAGAGGCCTTTGTTCAGCAGTGGGCACTTATAGGCTGATCATGAACTCAACTCTTGCGTCACTGAAGGGCGGAAGAAGAAATAATGATTTTCTCACTTCAAAAAAACCCCTAATCCCCAAAAGTTCAGTAACGCATTCGTAACTCCTCTGTTGTTAGTCCATGGGCGGCGCCGATTGCTTACCATCAGGTAATCCGTCTGCTCGTTTGACGACCTATTACATAAAAAAATCGCTTTGAGTCAGCGTTGTGATTAATGTTCAAACCTTCTCCGTGTGAGTAGAGACCTTTGCTCAGCTCACTTATAGGCTGATGCTGATGATGATGATGACGATGATGATGATGATGATGATGATGATGAAACTTATTCTTCCCTCTATATCTCCTTAAAAAAAATGTCGTACCTCATCATGGGTGTGTGAGGACGCGGGCTGTGGGGGGCGAAGCGCCAGTAGGTAGGCATGCAACGCGCGGAGCCCCACGCCTCGGACACTGCTCACTGGGAAAACTGGTATCACCGAGGATTCCGTACTGGAATACAATAAACGCATATAATTATAACAAAACTGAATCGCCAAATGTCAACAAATCCGAGAGATGATCCCCGGCCGTAAGCGCGGGTCTTGCCGCCCGACCGGAACCAGACCCAAGCGTTTTTTTTTTTTATCAGGGGAAAATCATCAAATGCCTTCTCATGCCCAGGGTTAGGCGAGAGAGAGTGTCAGACTCTTACTGACTAAAAACTCTCCTGTTCCTTCTCCTGCTCTGTGCCGAGGTCGCGGTGCCTCATTGCGCTTACCCCGCAACCCCGACTGAAGACCCGAGCGTACGGCGCGTAGCGTTCCGCGCGCCTCAAAGAGCCAATAGACAACCACAGACGGGGCCCTTTTTTAAAAAAGAAACGTTGCCCCACTCTAGAATCTTCTCCTGTGTTGTGGGTGCGGTTACGAACATACAATTTCACATACACATCACACTTAGACCTGGAACAACAATTTGTGGATCACACAAAGAGTTGCTCCCATACATTTGACTGCACGGCTGACGCGGTGGTTGGACGACTGACTGCCTTGCAACGCGTAGCGGTTTATATTGTTCCGGGTCTAAGTGTGATGTGTATGTGAAATTGTATGTTTGTAAACACACCCACGACACAGGAGAACATCTTAGTGTGGGGCAACGATTCTTTTTTTTTTAAATAGAACAATAATATGCTAGGAATATAATATAACTTACATAGATTCAGACTTGGTATGGTCCAAAGAGTCTATTATCAACTTCTGTGGAGCCACACAGTTTCTGGCTAGATTCTCGTCAGTGATCAGAAGAGGTTTCTGAAACAAAACCGTTAATTTGCCATAATAAGTCTTGGAGAGTTATGGGTCGGCCCGATCGGAGTGATACCACGGCCTCACAGAAAACGGCGTGAAATAACTACAGCGTTGTGTTTCGCCGTGTGAGTGAGGTACCGGAGGATCCTCCTTTTGAATGGAGGATGAGGAACTTTTAATGTCAATGTCACGTTTTTTATGTTTTTTTTTTGCGATAGGCTGACAAACTGGCACCTCGCGTGTCGTGTCGTGTCGTGTCGTGTCCTGTAATGTCGGGTCGTGTAGTGTCGTTTAGTGTCGTGTCGTGTCATGCCGTGTCGTGGCTTGGCGTGGAGTGGACATTTCGTGTCGTGTCGTGTCGTGTCGTGTCGTGTCATGACGTGTCGTGTCATGACATGTCGTGTCATGACGTGTCGTGTCGTGTCGAAGCGTTTCATATCTTGTCGTATCAAGTTTTGCTCTTCGTGTCGTCACGTCATAACGTCGTAACGTCACTTGACGTCATATTCGCATTTATGTAACTCACCTTATTACTAGCAGCTAGCAACTCAGCTAGTCTAGCAGTCAGGGTCTTCACAGCGGTGGCGGCGAGCTCGCATTTACTGATCACCGCAAAGAATGGAAGGTCCAACGCTGACAGGAGACCAATATGCTCCTCCGTGATTGGCGTTATACCAGCCGTCGCCGAGATCTGTGGAGAGGAAATGTATATTAGTATGTTTATTAATGTAATGAGTCGACAAAAGAGCAGACGGATTACCTGATGGTAAGCAATCGGCACTGGTACACTGGTAAAACGATTTAAGCGTAGGAGAGCCACGCTACGATACCACGGCCTTACGGAAAACTGCCGTGAAACAACACTTACGTTTTGTTTCGCCGTGTGAATGAGGATTGGGATTGGGATTGGAAATTGGGGATTTGTGATTGTGTATTGGAGATTTGTGATTGTACATTGGAGATTAGAGATTGGTGTTTGGAGATTTGGGATTGAGAAGGGAATGGTAGTCCCCCCTTTTTCATATTTCGAAAAAGCCAGGATATACACTTTTAACTTTAGAATTACTAGTACGAGTAAACTTACCACAAGCATAGCATAATGGGGGGAGTACCCCGTCAGGCCGTGCAGAGTAGTTCGCTGGTACTTGCTGTGCCCAGCCAGGTCCAAGAACGACACCAACTTGGCACTCCTCTCGCCAATCCTCTCAGCCGTCATAAGCTCTGAACATCCGTAGTTGACGACATTACCCTGTGGAGAAACACGAAAGTCATATTAAAGTCATCGTCATGATCATCAACAGCGAAACTACAGAAAGATCCGTGTGAAGCACGAATAGGTCGTCACAGAATACCGGCGTGTAGCAAATATGGACAATAGGTTCATTCCAATCCAATTAATTCCATTCCAATGCAAACTATGGTTGAATGGACTGTAATGAAATGAAATATTTTATTACAGTCTATTTAACCATTAGTCACTATAATTGTAATTTCAATAATTATTATCAACCTCATTGAGGTCTATTTCTAGCCAATCCATTTCATTCCATTCCAATCCAAACCAAACCATTCCATTCCTTTGCAGTCATGAAACCATCAATAACTTTAATTGTAATTTAAATAATGATCATTTAAATCATTGGGGTCCAATTTAAATCCAACCCATTCCATTTCATTCCATTCAACCATTAATGACTAAAAATGTATTTTTATTAACAATAATCAACCTCATTTAGTCAATTCCAATATCAATCCATTCCAATTCTAACCATTCCATTCCATTCTCCAGTAAACCATTGAAATTTACACCATTGCACAAATGTATTTTAAGTTATTACAATACGGTAGTTTCCAGCTAGTCAAATTGAATACTTTTCATCAAAATGTCAAAAACTATACTTTTCTATGAAATTTGTATGAAACACTGAGTTATGACGCCAGAGTATTTTTGGGTCAAATAGCTTACTTATTTCTTAAAAATTAGCTAAAAAATATCTAAAATTAAATGTATCGATCGATCGATGAATAAAAGTATATTATTATTTTTCAACACTTTATTGTATTTAAACGTAGAAATAATTTATTTTTGACCTAGGATACTACCTAATTAACCTCTCATTTGGGTGTATTACCATCTTATCCATTTCCATGCATTCCAATTCTAACCATTCCATTCCATTCCATTCCCGTCCATTCCAATTGTAATTTAAGTAACAATAACTCACCTGAGCATCGAAGCCGAGTATCTCATGACTGAGGGACGATGTCCTCCCACTCTTGACCTCGTGCAGATGACGGAACATGTTCAGACGTGCACTGCCTCTACCATTGTCTAGTTCTCCTGCAAGTTAAGTCATTTTGTTTTTATCTAGACTAGATTGATACCACGGCCTCACAGAAAACCAGCATTAAATAAACCATAGCGTTGTGTTTCGCCGGTGTGGTGTGAGCGTGGAGTGAGGTTACCTGAGACCTCATTTTTCTACCTGTTAGCCGGCGGGGTAAGCGCAATGAGGCACCGCGACCTCGGCCCAGAACAGAAGGAACGGGGGGGTTTTTAGTCAGTAAGAGTCTGACACTTGCATCCGCCCGGCCCTGGGCGGGAGAAGTAATTTGATGATTTTCCCCTCTCAAAAAAAACCTGTTACTCAATCGCTACATCACGGAAACACTAATCCCTAATAGGCCCATAACGCCCTTTGATATTGCGGGTGGCAAAAAAATCAGGCATTCAGTCTGCTCGTTTAACGAATAAAAGGACTCATATGGAGAACGAATATGAAGTTACGTCTCAAATATGTATAGTACATTATTTCCTATTATTATTAAAATAATGCAACAATTAAGCTAATGGAAAAATGGAATCAATAGAAAGGGAACGAGAGGGAGAGAGAGAGGAGGGCAGAGAGAGGAAGAGAGAAAGATATATGTAAAAATTTCACATGGATTTTGACTGCACGGTTGGCGCGGTGGCTGGGCAACTGGATGCCGCGCAACGTGTCGCGGGTTCGATTTCCGCACGGAAAAACTCTTCGTGTGACCACAGATTGTTGTGCCGGGTCTGGGTTTGATGTGTATGTGAAATTGTATGTTAAAATCCTAATGAAAGTTTTGCAAAAATAAAAAATATAAAAAAAAACCGGCCAAGTGCGAGTCGGACTCGCGCATCGAGGGTTCCGTACAAACCTGCAGAAATGGGTAGTACGCTTAAAATTATTAAAAAAAAAATATTATGTGATGTAACTAAACATTTATGGTTTTCATAATTTTTCCTTTATCTATGCTATAAGACGTTGCTTCGTACCAAATTTCAAGATTCTGAGTTCACGGGAAGCACCCTGTAGGTTTTGATTCCCTTGCAAGTGTCGAAAATTTGCGGCATAAACGGCTGTATCTTTTGATTGCGTTGGCTTAAAAGTTTGATTTTTTCACAGCTTCAAGGGACGGTAGACTTGAGTAATTGATATAATTTCAGCTTCATACCTCCACGGGTTCCTGAGAAAAAGGGTCTTGACAGACGGACGGACGGACGGACAGACGGACAACAAAGTGATCCTATAAGGGTTCCGTTTTTTCCTTTTGAGGTACGGAACCCTAAAAATCAGATACATTATTATTAGTACTCCTGTATGTTCTTACCTTGCGTCAGTACTCCTATGAGAGTGGACTTGCCAGCTTCGTTGGCTCCCATCACGGCTACTCTCAGTTCCACGCTCTGTTTCGGATCAGGTAACTATAACAAATTAATACAATAACATTTTAGTGCTTGAAATTAACGTATCGTTGTTCCGGGTTTAGGTGTGATGTATATGTGAAATTGTATATTTGTAAACGCACCTGGGTGATTCTTGATATCACTAACTTATTTTACATTGTCTGGACTTGGAAAGAGACTGACCTCTGAGTTTGTTTCGGCATTTCTTCTCAGAGTAGTCACATAGGAAATGCCGGCTTCATCTAGTTTTTCACATATAATTTTACGTGTAAAAGTGCCGTTTTATGGCCTATTTGCAAAAATAAATTCATTGTTTCAATTTAACAAAATAATAATAATAGTGTCATTATCCTCAACCTAAAAATTAAGTGTGGGAGAGCCATGCTTCGGCACGAATGAGTCGGCTCGACCGGAGTTGTACCACGGCCTCACTGAAAACCGGCGTGAAGCAACTACAGCGTTGTGTTTCGCCGTGTGACTGAGGTTACCGGAGGCCCAACCCTCCCTCTCCCCCAATCCCTGCTCATTCCCAAAATCTCCAAATCCCTAATCCCTAAAAGGGTCGGCAACGCACTCGTAGCTCTTTCGTCATTGCGGGTATCCATGGGCAACGCTGATTGCTTACCATCAGATAACCCGTTTGCACGTTTGCCGACCTATAACTTAAAAAAAAACGATTTTGAAGATAAAAACACAAATAATGATCTTATTACATTATATTAAATAGCTCCACTGCATAGAAACAATTGAAAAATAAAAATATTGAATAATAAGATAGGTACTAAGATGCTTAACAACCCGGGAGGAAAATGATTTATTAAATGAAAGTTAAATTTTTTTGGACTACCAAACCCACCCACGACGCAGGAGACAACACTATTGTGAGGCTTAGTTAAAAAAATGTGCACACCAAGATTCTCCATCCATTATTCTTACCTTTCTAACATAAACTTCAGCGACAGCTCGATGAGGTGCTACTCGTCGAGCGGTCACGTGTGTCAGTGTAGCGCCAAGGGCCCCGGCCATTCTTCGTAATGTGACGAGAGAGCCACGCAGAGCCCTCGCTCGGAGCCCGACTAGAGCTCCGCAGTCTCGTACTCCGAGCACATAGACTGCACTGCCACCACCCGATCGTAGACGCCATTTTAGCTGGATAAAGGTATTTATTGTTTAAAATAACAACATTATTGGAAACAATAAGGTCGTATTTTCAAATCTTTATTTGTTTATAATAAAGCGTAGTAAATATAACGTAGCTTATGTTGATAAAAATCAGCCTATAGGTGAATCCAGGATATAACCTATCTGGATAAACAATCTGAATTTGTATAATTGGGTAGTTTCCTAGGTCAAAAATAAATGAATTTGACGTTTCAATATAATAAAATATTGAAAAATAACTATACTTTTATTCATCGATCGATCGATACACAAAGTTTTAGATTTTTTTTTTTGCTAATTATTAAGAAATAAGTAAGCTATTTAACGCAAAAATGTTATGACGTCATAACTCAGTTTTTTATACAAATTTCATAGAAAAGTATCGTTTTTGACGTTTGGATAAAAGTATTGAATTTGACTAGTTGGAAACTACCGTATTGTAAACGCACCCACGATACAGGAGAAAATCCTAGAGTGGGGCAAGGTTTATAAAAAAAATAAAAATGAATAAATAACACATTTATGCTATACTTTTAACTCTTTTATTATAAGGGCAAAATCATCAAACGACTCCTCCCACCCTGAGTGAGGCGAAAGGAAGACTGTCAGACTCTTACTGGCTAAAAACCCCCGTTCATTCTCCTTCTCCAGGCCGCGGTGCCTCGTTGCGCTTACCCCGCAACTCCGGCTGACACTTAACCACAGAACTGCGGGCGAAACCGCTGGCAAAAGCTATATTGAACAGACCATACCTGTGTAACTAGATGTTGAAACCTCCTTTCGCACAGTGAGACCAGTTGCAATTTGTACTCGACGTTACCGAAGCGAGGCTCTGGAGGAAGACTGCCGTAGACTTCATCGCCCGAATCATCAGGTTCAGAAGTACTGAAAAAAAAATGTAATGCTTTAAAAAACTATCTCGAAAAATGAAAAATTAGGCTAAAGGCTAAAAATATTTTTTTCAAAACATAATATTTTTATTAAAACTCACGAAACTTAATACCCATACGCTTTGTGGCTAGGAGACATGTTATAGGACAAAAACCTTTTTTTTTAGGTCGGCAAACGAGCATAACCGCACGCAGCAACAGAGGAGTTACGAATGCGTTGCCGACCTTTTGAGGATAAGGGATTTGGAGATTTAAGGATTGAGGGAGGGGAAGGAATGGACCTCCGGTAACCTTACTCACGCGGCGAAACACAAAGCCTGTGTGTCATGTGTTTTTTAGGAAAAAGACGCTATAAAAGTAGTTAGATGATTATTCCCCACTCAAAAAAAAAACATATTTTCTAAAATATTGACAGAATCTGAGAGCTAATACTTTTATAGGAAAAACAATCAACTTACGAATCATCAATAAAATCCTCCAAATCATCAGAACTGTAGAAGAAATCATTCTCCAAATCATTAGTATCGAAATCGCCGGCCAAGTACATGTCATCCTTTAAAATAACCTTCTCCAATTTATCGATGACATTATACACTTCCCTATCGCGAAACTTTTCTATAGTCGACACTTCATTCCTTTTATTTTTAATCTTCATTTCATTTTTTAAATCGTTGACATTCTTTCCGACGTTTTCGTCGCATATTTTTTGAACTAAGAGTTGGTTGTTCCAATTTTTCGTTTCGACATTATTTTCTGTATTGCTTTCACCCCAAGCTTGATTGGGTAGGTCTTTCAGAGGGGATATTTTGTTCTTTTTCCGTCTGCATTTACGACCTGAATTTCTTCGTCTCGGTTTCTTATCGGGGTCTGTTTTATCTGGAAATTCAAAATACTAATTAATATTATAAAGAGGTAAAATTTGTAAGTTTGCATGTAGAGGGTAATCTTTGGAACTGCTGGTCGGATTGACAAAATTCTTTCACTGATAGATAGCCACAATGTTCCCGAGTGCTATAGGCTATAAAACATCACGCTACAATCAAATGGAGCCGAGCAGCGAGTGAAACTGCGCGGTCATTTATATAACTCAGACCCAAAATAGACCATTTTTAAACGTCAAACAAAGATTTAAAGTGACAAATGTCAGTCTTTCGGTCACTTCTTTAGTGAAGCTATTCGCAAATTAAATAATTACTAGCATCCGCCCGCGGCTTCGCCTGCGTAGTATGTTGATAAAAAGTAGCCTATGTCCTACTCCGGATTGTATCCTATGCCTGTGCCAAGTTTCATCCAGATCCGTCCACCCGTTTTGGCGAGATTGAGTAACAAACATCCAAACATTGTAACTTTCGCATTTATAATATTACTAAGAAAGTAAGATGTAAGATTGCATTCCAGAGGTAGCCAGTCATAGTCGAGGCCATGGTGCAACGGAATAGAGAGGAAATGGCTTCCCATTTGCTCTTTCTGCGATGCAGTGATGTTCGCTAAGGAGGAGGCGGAGCGCGTGAAGGACCTATCCTCTTCATGTTGCAGCCGGAGTAGGTCACACTGCGGGAGTCGGGGATCTCCGACCACCGTAAGCATGGGTCTAAGTTCGGTAGCTTGCTACCCGACCAGAACCAGACCCGAGCGAGCGACAAGTAGCGTTCCGCAATCGGCGACGCCTATGGACACCCGTCCATGGTTGCTTACCATTCAATGGTACGTCTTCTCGTTTGGCTGTCTATCCAATAAGAAAGTACAGTAACTAAAAAAAACTTACCATCATCCTTCTTATTAATCTCAATAAAGTTTTCTATATAGCTAACATCTTTAACTAGGAGATCGGTACTGAGATCCGGCTCGCAGAGGAACGATGATTCTTCTGGTAGCGTTTCGTTCTTTACCGCTGACTTGCGGCCTCTTCTGCGTCCTATAATAAAAGAAAAATTTAAATTACTTTTTTGTATTTATATTCATTATATTTATATTTATATTTTCACGCTCTATTCCGGTCCTATGTAATGCATTCCATTCCATTCCCATTCTTAGCGATTACGATCCCATTCGTACCTATATACGATTCCATCTCGAGTATTGTATCATTCGTAATTTAATTATACCTAACCTACCTGGAGATGCCAGCAATATATGTCCAACAATGAACGGAATCAGGGTGGTGATGATGATGATGAATTTATAATTAAGTAATTGCATAAAGTATTGTTATAATATCAAACTGAAGAAATTCAAGTAACAATGCAGAGCTTGTCTGTTGTCTGGGATTACCTATTAGATTCTTGTTTTATAAACTCTAAATAACATATTCAGTTTCTAATACTTATTTATCAACAATGCTATTCATTCATTCCATTTCCATCCACAAATCATTCTCATCCATTCCATTCCTATTCCTAACCATTCCATTCTCTTACCTTTAGGAGCGTCTGGTTTCTTCTTAACCGTATCCTGTTCGGGTTTGTGCCTCTTTTTATTTTTTGGCTTATTTTGACTACCCTCTGAGGGATCAAATAGACTAAAAAATGAATCCATGACTCTGTAACAAAGAGAGGTTAAAGTTTTATTAAAAAAAATACAGACTTTACAGATTACATTGGAAATACGAAGGTTCTTGTACTTTGTCGCTTCATAGTATAAAACAAAGTCGCTTTTTCTGTCCCTATATCCCTATGTATGTATACTTAAATCTTAAAAACTACGCAACTGATATTGATAAGGTTTTATAGATATGGTGATTGAAGAGGACGGCTTATAGGTTTAATAACATCCATTAAATAGTGGAGAAATTTAGTATCAGCATTGCACCCGAAGACGGGGCTAGTCGCTAGTGTAATTTAATATAAGTAAGACTTTACAATTTGGAACGAGTGACAAGATTTTCTTTACATTCAAGCAATACAGGGTGTAAAAAGATACTTAACGAAGCCGTTAACTACGCATACTGCGTTCTAACTAAGTAGCTTTACGCTAAAATTATCACTGGGAAACGCTATCACTTTTATTCTTAAAGAAAATTATTGCGCGCAATGTAAAGCAAACGGGCTTCGTGTCATTGTGTGCGTAAGTTCACAGCTTAGCATTAAAACGCTGTGATAAGTACGTAGGTCAACGTTTTACTTCGCAACAACAAAACAATTCTGTAAAATAAAAATCCTACTGAGATGCAAGATGTTTTTTGTGCGGGTCTGCATTTATTTATTACGTACATTACTGTTCGTAACTTCAAATGCGTAATTTATTTAGAAAAATCACAAATTCAGGTAACGTTTGTTTGGAAAAAAGTTTTGTAATAATACTTAGAATTCGATTGCGCAAAAAAAAAATTAAAAATGCATCTTTGACCTTCAATATCTCGAGAACCCGTGGAGTCCCAGCTATGGTCTTAAAGAAAAAAATGATCCAAATAATGGGTAGAATACGTGGCTTTCGGCTTCGTTAAGTGTCTTTTTACACCCTGTATAAACAAGTTGTTTTAATAGAATAGGGCAACATTTTTGTTAAAAAAATCAAACTAACAAAATAATTACTACCAAACAGTTTACAACGGTCAAAACATCAGTTTCCCTCATTTTTATAGGTTAGGTCGCCACTCTGAATCGGTAAGCAAATTTATTTATTTACTAGCTACTTTCGCGCGGTTTTACCCGCTGCTCGGCTCGATTTCATCGTAGCGTGATGTTTTATAGCCTATGACACTCAGAATTATTGTAGCTATCTATCGGTGAAAGAATTTTGGCAATCTGACCAGAGATTCCAAAGATTACCCCTACATACAAACTTACAAACTTAAAAATTTTACCTCTTTATAATAATATTAGTATAGATTTAGACTTTAATGGTAAGTGAGGTTACCAGATGCTCAATCCTTCCCCTACCCAAAAACCTCCCCGATCCCAAAATATCCAAATCCCGAAACCACAAAGGTCGGCATCGCACTCGTAACTCCTTCGTTGTGACGGGTGTCTATGGTCGGCGCTGATTGCTGAGGTACCATCAGGTAAACCGTCTGCGCGCTTCCTATACCAATCTTAAAAAAAGGTGTAAAAGGAATGCAGAGATGAAATTTGTTCTTGTTCTGACAGATAATCAAGTCACATACACTTATTTGAAGATCTTAGAATAATATTGTTTGATATTGAAATAACCTAGTTAGGTATTATTTAATGGGGTCGGTACACATCGAGACGCGACGCAGCGAGTGTAAATTAAAGGTGCTACTCAAAAAAAAAAGTTCTAGACGTGAAGTTTTTATTTATGGTATCGGTTGGTCCAGGTTGGTCGGTCAATGCGGTAAGTGGGCAATTGGCGCCGGCCATGGACACTCCTATGGACCAAAGGGGTTACTACAAGTGCTTTGCCGAACTTTTGGGGTATTAGGGAAAGGGGATATCGGTACTTTACTGTTTTACGTACCGCGTCGTGGTGGCCCGGAGGTTAAGGAACCCGCTTCTCATACATGAGGGTGTGGGTTCGAAACCTGGCAAGTACCAATATGACTTTTTCAAGTTATATGTACTTTCTATGATTATTTAGACACCACTGACATACGGTGAAGGTAAACATCGTGAGGAAACCTGGACTTAAACTTACTAATTTCTAAGTTTGAAATCGTCAAACCGCATTGAGCAAGCGTGGTGTAATGCTCTAACCTTCTCCGTATGAGAAGAGGCCTTTTCTCAGCAGTGGGCACTTCAAGGCTGATGATGATGATGATGATGATGATGATGATGATGACTGTTTTACGGGATTTAAGGCGCACGTACTTTTTTTTTTTGCTTTACCTTTCTGAATGGTTATGCCTGCCATGCAGACTGTCAGTATGCTTGTGACCATGGATAAAAAAAACGTACGATCGCCTTAAATCCCGTTACTAATATTATTATGCAATAGTATGCAACGCCAAATTTTAAAGTATAAAAAGGGGATTTGGGGTTGAGGACGCGGAAGGAGGCTTCGGATGAGTTCTGTACTATTTCCGTTCACTCAAGTGAAATTAAATATATATCAATTTATGACTAACATCCATGGATTGGGCCTCCGGTAACCTCACTGACACGGCGAAACACAACGCTTTTTTTGTCAGGGGAAAATCATTTTAAATTACCTTTCCCACCTAGCGTGAGGCGAGAGAGTCAGACTCTTACTGACTAAAAAAAACCCGGCCTTTCTCCTACTCTGGGCCACAGTGACTCTTGCGCTTAACCGCGAAACACAGCACTGAGGTTTTTTCACGCCGGTTTTCTGTGAGGCCGTTGTATCACTCCGGTCGTGCCGAGCCACTCGTGCCGAAGCTTGTCTCTCACGCACTTTATTAATATCATATAATCTGTCACAGATGTAAATATATCCACGCGCGAGCATATCGTGCCAAACACCACAATGTTTTAGACGTATCTTTAGCTACAAAAATGTGTGGCAAAAATCGTAGAAGGTTAAGTCTGAACATAAATTGGAAACATTTATGGAACGTATTGACAAATGGGTAAACACATCACCTGATGATTTAGACAATTGGGTAGTTCCCTAGGTCAAAAATAAATTAATTCGACGTTTCAATACAATAAAATATTGAAAAATAACTATACTTTTATTCATCGATCTGTCGATAAACTAAATTTTTTGATATTTTTTGACTAATTTTAATAAAATAGGTAAGCTATTTGACACCAAAATACTATGACGTCATAGTTTTTCATACAAATTTCATATAAAAGTATCGTTTTTGGATTCGGATTTGGATAAAAGTAATGAATTTGACTAGTTGGAAACCACCGTATTGGCACAGGTATAGACATCTCTCTCGCACCTGATGAAGTAAAGGTATAAGTGCATTATCAGTTTTTTAGGTTATTAGGGACTAGCTTATGCCTGCGACTTTGTCTGCGTATTATCGCAATTTTAGGTATAAAAAATATTCTATGTCCTTTCTCGAGCTCCAAACTATGTCTGTACCAAATCGGTTCTGTAGTTTAGGCGTGAAAAAAAGACAGACAGATAGAGTTAAGTAGTTTCGAATTTATATATTTTTTTTTAAATTCTTTCGCGTGGAGTAACGCATGTAAAAACTCGAATGAACCTTCTGCATTCACCTACATAGTGGCACGGCCTTCGATTTTCGCACTTTTCACATCAGGTCATTCACATCTAATTTATCTTTTTTATCATTCAACTTCGATAAAGAAAACAAGTAAATAAACATTAGAGTTTACATTCACGTGACATTAAATTCTGATTGGTTCGTTTGTAGTGTGGATGCAGGCGTCGATCTAGGGTTCCTTAACTTTATCGCACAGTGGGTTTCGCAGCGGCGTGCGCTCTGGCGGGTACCCCTCCTTGGGAGCTCGAGGCATGGGTGCTCGCCAGAGTGTACGACTGGACGGCGGAGCAGAGGGCACTCGACCGACGCCCGGTTCCAAGGGAACGGGAAAACGTGCGAGATGAAGCGAGGGAGGCCATCATCCGGCACTGGGCTGAAGATCTGGCCTCAGCAGCGTTCGGCCGACGGACTCTGGACGCCATCGGGCCCTTCCTAAACAGCTGGCTCGATCGGCGGCACGGCTGCCTGTCGTTTCGTTTGGTGCAGGTGCTGTCCGGGCATGGTTGCTTCGGGTCGTACCTGCACCGAATTGGGAGGGAGGAATCCCCACAGTGCCACCACTGTGGCGCCGCGGTGGATACTGCAGAGCACACCTTAGAGGTGTGCCCATCGTGGGATGAACCCCGCCGCGCCTTGGTGGCAGTGGTCGGGGACGACCTCTCACTTCCCAGCATAATAACATCCATGCTGGGGAGTGAGGAGGCATGGACAGCGGTGGCCTCCTTCTGTGAGGACGTCATGTCACAGAAGGAGGCGGCGGAGCGCATGCGGGAAGAAGACCCTCTCGCAGCGCCGCTCCGCCAACGACGAAGGGGCGCACGAAGACGGCGTTTACTACGTCCGTCCTCATCTGCTCCAGGGGGTGATCAGCGGGCGACAAGCGCGGGGGCGCAAGCGCCAGCATCGCACGTATCACCCGTGCTCCGGCCATCATAAAGGCTCCTCCCTAGTAGGGGGGAATTGAGGGGCCTGCCATGAGGCGGGCAGTCGCCGGTGGGGGCGTGGACGACATGGATTCCCAGACCCCCTCCACTCAGGCGAGGGCGCTGAGAGGGAAGGGGGGCGTGATATGTGCTCTACGCTCTGTGCATATGCAATTTTTTTTAGATAGTACTTCTGAGGGTTTGTGGTCGAGGAGTGACTCTTACGATATCAATACGATGAGCAAAAAACTAACACTTGATATTGCTTCCCTCAAGAGGGCGCCACAATATTTTCGCCCAAGGTGTCAGTAGCCCTTACGCCTGCACTGCTGATCTGATGAGATAATAAACGTTCGCATTTATAATACCTATTAGTTGGGATGTTTGGAAATGTTTTTTTTTTGTGAAGGGAATATCATACAATTACTTCCCCCGCCCTAGTTTGAGTAAAAAGGGGTGTCAGACTCTTACTGATAAAAAACCATCCCTTATCTTCTCTTGCTCCGGGCCGACGCCGCCGTACATTATTTGCCGATACAGATTTTTAATCGATACATATATTGTTGAGGCGTACGTTAATAACGTTAATGTCTATCTATCTACTGAAACTGTCTAAAATTACTTTTTTAATAAAGATACAATACACGTATTTTGCTTTTAATGTGCTAAAATAAATATTTCTCTAGCTACTACCATGAATTAAGTTATTAATAGCCTCACAAGGTTACACAAACAGCTGATTCCTATTTTTATTTTCAGATTCATATACCCATACCCAGATAGAAACGAAGATAAAAATAAAAAACACAAAATCTCTGGTTTTTTTTTCTCAAAGTTGGCATTAGTTTGACGTAAATTTTGGCGGGAATTTGGCAATCTACGTTGTTGACTGTGCTATGTTAAAATTTTGTTTATTCAAATTTGAAGTAGAGTGCCAAATTGATTTGAAATTTATTTTCGTAATAGATAGAACGGCGTAGTAGATTTATATCATTATTTATATGGAGGAATCGGCGCGAAAATAGCTTGCGATGATGGCAACAATACATACGTAATGGTAAATTTTAAAACTAATCAGTTAATGTCTTTAAAATTACGCAACGGATTTTGATGTAGCTTTCTTAATATGATCTTGATTAGGAAGAGGGAGTTTTATATGTAGGTAGGTATATAGTCATCCATTAAATAGTAGAGAAATTTAGTATGAGCATTGCAACTGTGCTAAGACAAGGTATTAAAAAAAAAACATTTTTTTTTTGTGATGATCATGTTCATTATTTAACACCTTTTTTTCCTTATACCATAATAAATATTTTTACTGTATTGTGAAACACTTTATTTATTTCCTAGTAGGTACATTAGTCAGATCTTATCAGTATTGATGTAATAAATCCTGTCTTATCAGATATTAAAAACATGTAGATTGTAAACAAATATATGCTTACAGAGTTGTTTGTGTCACAAATCATAAAAAGACATTTTGTTAATATTAGCCTGTTTAAGCGTTATAATTATAATACATAACGCATCTAAAATTCAATTGTGTCAAGATTTACCACAATATGGTTGTTTCCAACTAGTAACATTCAATACTTTTATGCAAACGTCAAAAACGATACTTTTCTATGAAATTTGTATGAAAAACCGAGCTGTGACGTCATAACATTTTTGCGTCAAATAGCTTACTTATTTCATAATAATTAGCTAAAAAAAAACAAAAACTTAGTGTATTGATCGATTGATGAATAAAAGTATAGTTATATTTCAATATTTTATAGTATTGAAACATCGAATTAATTTATTTTTGACCTAGGAAACTACACAATTGTAATGTTATAAAGTAGCTCCTTTGGCAATAAAAAGGGATCTATCATGGAATCTAATTAAATATCTTAAAAAAAACATTTAAATTTAGAATAAACAGAGACTATTTTCTAATGCATTATCACAATAATGGCTCAACATCAATTTCATTTAGTAACGGTCTGACTATAAAGTTGTTATAAGCCACACACACAAGTCATTATTTTATGTCTAAGAAACCTTTATTTATCATTGTGTGTACCTAAACTGAATTATAAGTAAGTACTTATATTTTTTTTTCACATTGTAGACATTATACCAACACATAATACTCTTTTCGTAAATGAAGAAGTGTTGGTTCCAAAATATGAATTTAAATCTCAATACATGGGTTATTATCAAACCACAAGTATCACCTTTGAATAAGTCTCATCATTGTACAATACAATGACATAAATAAACAATAACAGCAGTTGAAAATTTTTATAAAACAATAATTTTCATAGTATACATCATAGGTACATAACTATCAACATGTCCAGGCTTCGGGTGACAGCATATGACAACACTGATACAAACTTTCTCCACTATTTGATGGATGTTAATTTACATATAAACCATACTCTTCATTTTTGCACTAAATCTATTTAAAAAAAACACATCATAATCAGTGGTGTAGATTTTACCCGACTACTGATAAAGGGACAGAAAATCATGTTTATTTGATAAATACACCTCAAAAATATGTTTAGTCTGAACACTTATATGTATGCAAATAAATAAAAATGAACTCTGCATAGAGACCCTTGTTTGAGTACAAAGTAGTGTAACAATGGTTAGTTACTGTCCATAGACATAATTTAGTAACATTTTACTTTGTAGAAAGATCAATTTCAGTGTATTATTTCCTTACATACTAAATAACTGTAGACTGTACAATGTAAATTACCACAAAGATAATGCAATACTTAAAAGATGAGTCATTTTATAATAATTGTGCAATAACTACCTACCTCCAAAAAAGATACCAACATAGAATCAAATAGGTCTGATAACCTGTCTCTAGGATAAGTGGTAGATAAAATAAAAAAAAATAAGGACCTATTCTAACTTAAGGATATTTAATATAAACAATGTTGAAGTTAAACTCAGAAACTAAGTTCATAATTTTATTGTGAAATATGCTGAAAGGAGTTCAAATAAAAAAATAGTAATCTATATAACTTTCTATGATCATATCACCTAGATAGATATGGTTTTTGCACCTCTGTTTAGAAAAAAAGTGTGATATTTACTATTGAGTATAAGATATTTAAATAATATTACGTATTAAAATAATATAAATCAAAAATAATTTACTATTGATACCCACATTATAAAACTGTAAAATCATATTTAAAATCTAAATGTAGGTAGCTTAAGAAAATAATAAAAATTTTAAAAAGAAAATGTACGCTTAGAGTACCTAGGTATATATACAAATTGTGTTAACTTTCATTGTAACACACTTTCCACTGCCTTTTTATTATGAGTAAAAATGAAATTATCAACAACTAATTAGCATTAAAATTCGTTAAAACTAGAGCAATTGCCTTTCTTTTGGACTATAATTACAATCTCTTTCACTTATCCTTCATTAAAATATTTTCAAGGACTATAAAAAACAATACGAAAATAGCGCGCGAAAATAAGATCATAGAATAAAAAATTGAAAATTCGCGGACATTTTCTTTTTCGGGTATTATTTTTAATATACCTTTTTAAATATAATTTAGTTATGCAAAGGTACTCACGCAAACAGCTGTTATTGTTACACCCAAGGTCACTTTTATACTAGCTTGTTGCCAACGCCACTTCTAAAGCTATTGTGAGTCAACAAACACCACAAACAGAGGAACACTGCCAAATTATTTACAGTGACGTAAAAATTACGATTTGGATACAACTGAATAAATATTATTGTACAACTCTTCGCTTCGGAATATCGACGGGTACGCGTACGAAACGAAACGTCACTAGCACGATAACATAATATTAGTATATTATGTTAATAAAGAGAATTGTTTTATAATGCTATTGTTTTAGTACCGATAAGATTATTTCGTTATGGTTGCGAAAATTTCGTCATGAATTGCATTGCACTGGACATTTTGACATTTTACTTCAACCTTAATAGAAATGTAGGTACAACTCTTATTTGTTTTTGTAATGGCAAGACTAAGAGGCGTTCTGAAACATTAATTGAAAATAATGACAAAAAATATTCGCTAATTTACCTGAATTTTTTATTTAGTTTAACATAATATTTTAAACAAATAATAGTGTCATTTTATATCAGTAATATATATCATTATGCATAGCACGTTAGCTCAAACAAATGCGATTTATATCATCATGTTTCAGAACGCGTAGTATTGGCAAAAATTGCCATATCACAAACAGCTTCCACAATATTGTCATTAGGATAGACGTTGTTTACAATCCTAACACATAATTTACCTATCCATACATTCCCTAATTTTTTACTGAACTTAACAAAATACAGAACAATTTTAAAAGTGTCTATTTACCACCGAAATATCAATACTTTTCTGTATTGTATTATTACCTATGTCAATGATTATTACTGATTACTGTCAATGTCACTGTCAAAATATACTAAAAAAAAAGGCGCGCTAATGGAAATGAGCTGCCGCAGGTTATGTTAGATCTCTTTTATTAACAAAACAAAGGTAAATAAAAGTGAATAATGTCTATACAAGTGGAAAATAATTTGAATACTGAAGAACACAAGGATAAATTTGAACAGACAACTCATTATATACCTTGTAAAATAGACTCTGACGGTCCTGCTAATGTAGAAAAATATTTTGTTCCGTACATTGTTGATAAGGATGGAGGTACGTAAACATGCATATTTTCATTAATAAGAATGTTGTAGCACACCGTGAGAGTAGTTTACAGCATAGTAATTGATCTTTTTAGGTCAATATATTGATAACAATGGAGGCAAACAGAGCCAAAAGTTTCAGTGGTATAGGGCAAACGAACGCCCTCCATGGAGGTCCCTACAGATACTCTATGCTCGATATTGGACACCCGCAACACCAGAGTGGTCTCAAAACCATTACCGGTCTTGAGATAATGGTTCAATTCAATTGCATTGACCGTGATTCAACTATTTCATACTACTTACAGAACTGACAGCATCATTCCGAGGGCATTCTTTAGATGGTAAAAAGATGACTCTACCAGAAGGTTACAGAGCTGTTACAGTTACAGAAACCAAAAGGCCATTGGCCGAAGATGCAGAGAGAAAGTTCCTAGTGAGTTTTTTTTTTATTTGTGGTGGTTCCACTGTCATAAGTATTCAAAATTCAGATAAAACATTGTTGGCCCAAAGGCTTTAAGACTCCTTGAAGTTAAAAAGCTTCTCAAGCGTTTAGAAGCCAAGCAAGTATCAATGTCACTTTTTCCGAATGTTATGTACTTTCTAAGATTATTTAAATAGTTTTGAGAAAGTAATATATGGTAAAGGGAAAATATTCTGAGAAAAAACCTGAATCTCACTTTGCTGTTGCATGGTTGCGGATTCAATTCCCATTGAAGTGTGTGCGGAATGGAACAACAGTCTGTGTGATCCACAAATTGTTGTTCATGGGTGAGATGTGCAGGTGAACTTTATTTTTTTACACTGCATTTTTGGTCTGCTGGAGGGCACCATATTGTATTTTGTGAAACCCCATAACAATTGGGTAGTTTGCTAGCTTGTTAGTAAAAATAAACTAATTCGATGTTTTAATACGATAAAATATTGAAAAATAACTATGCTTTTATTCATCAATCGATCGATACACTAAGTTTTAGATATTTTTTAGCTATTTTTTTAAAAATAAGTAAGCTATTTGAAGCAAAAATCCTATGACGTCATAATTCAACGTTTCATACAAATTTTCATAGAAAAGTATTGTTTTTGTCATTTGGATAAAAGTATTGAATTTGACTAGTTGGAAACAACCTTATTAAACAGCTTCTAATGATATGTCATTTGTCAAGTTATGGTGGAACAGATATATAATTTTTATTATATTTACATAAGTACAATTTTTGTTTTCTCATTGGAAAATAATCAAATGACTTCTCCTGCCTAGGGTTAAGCGAGAGACAGTGTCAGACTCTTACTGACTAAAAAAAACCCACCTCCTGCTTTAGACCGAGGTCCTGGTGCCACACTGCCAAATTGTGCTTACCCCACAAACCCGGCTGAACATCAGCCCTATAGGGCCCCGTCTGTGGTGGGCTATTGGCTCTTTGAGGCGCGCGCGGAACGCTACGCGCCGGACTCTAGGGTGGGCGACGCTGCCCTTACTCGCCGTAGTCGCCGTCGTAGACCCGCGCTTACAGAGGCCGGAGATCGTCTCTCGATACATACATACATAGATAGCCTGTCGAAATCATAACCCTCCTTTTGCTTTGCCGTAGTCGGGTAAAAATATAATGTATTCAATTCCAGGTGACGGGTGGCTTCAAGGAATTCACATATTGGAACTGGGACCAGAAACCTACAAAGAACGACAGAATGGAGAGAGCATTTGACTGGATTGATATCAGTGATGCTGTAAGTATTATCTTGTACTAACTTCCGCCCGAGGATAAGTCGGCAATCGGTCAGACCGATTACCTGATGGTAAGCAATCGGCGCCGCCCATGGAACACCAAATGAGTTACGAGTGCGTTGCCGGCAGGGAAAGTGTTGCGGATATTTAATGATTGAGATGGTATAGGGGAGGGGGAGGGATGGGATTAGGCCTCCGGTAACCTCACTCAAACAGCGTTGGGTTGTTTCACGCCGGTTTCCTGTGAGGCGAGACGACCCACTTGTACCGAAGCTTGGCTCTCCCACACCTTATACATACAAAATTTCTTCGAAATCGTTGGAGCAGTTACCGAGAAATGGTGTATAAATAAATAAACAAGAATTGCTGGGTATAAGGTAAGTTTTGCATGTTAACCAATATTGTTTTCTTTTTTCAGATACATGGAGACTGATACCAAGTGACTTCAACGCTGCGTTAATTCTTTAGCATAAGGCATAAGTGTATTTCAAATTCAAATTAAACATATTTCACACCATGTAGTCTCAATACTTTACTGGATCCCCCCCACTCCTCCAATCTTCAAATCTCCAGCAACGTGCTAAATAGCAACCGCCCGCGTGGTATGTTGATAAAAATCTATATGCCTATGTCCTATTCCGGAGTCCATCCTAGGCCTGTGCCAAATTTCATCCAAATTCATCCAGCAGTTTTGGTGTGATTGAGTAAGAAACATCCAAACATCGTAACTTCGCATTTATAATACATATTAGTAAGACGATCTTGAAATATGTAGGAATGCTATTTGACGCAAGACACACTAATATAAATTATGGTAATAGGCAGGTATTTGGCCGCTATCGCGCCTGGTGGTAAGCGGTGATGCGACCTACCGTGGAGCACGCCTACCCATAAGCAACCTATTCACTAAGGCCTTGAAGACACTGTTCGGGAAACACGGACTCTGACAAAGAAGCATTTATTCACACTAGCTACCTACTGCCCGCGGCTTCGCCCGCATTGTGGATAAAAAGCCTTTGTGTTAATCTAGGATGTCACTTATCTACTTACATACATACCAATTCGGTCCATCCGCTTTTGCGTGAAAAAATAACAAACATATATACATTCATTTCACAAACTTGCACACTATTATCTGCAAGTAGGATAGTACGTCCGACAATCATAAGCCGTTACATTATTTATTACATAAAAGTAATTTGAAAATTTGTATCCCTATATAAAAAAATCGCCCACATGCTACATATGTATATGCGTATCTGTCGTGTCGGTCGTATCTGTCGTGTCGGTCGCATCTGTCGTGTCGATCGTATCTGTCGTGTCGGTCGCATCTGTCGTGTCGGTAGCATCTGTAGTGTCGGTAGCATCTGTCGTGTCGGTAACATTTGTCGTGTTAGTCGCGTCGCGTCGGTCGTATCTGTCGTGTTGGTTGCATCTGTCGTGCTAGTCGTATCTGTCGTGTCAGACGCATTTGTCGTGTCAGTCGTATCTGTCGTTTACGTCCTCCTTTTGCTTTGCCGTAGTCGGGTAAAAATTAAATATTTTCTGTTTGTGACATCCACAAACCAATCAAAGATTTTGAAAATTCAGGTCTCGGCAAAATTTCTGGTTAACACACTTTTTCTATACTTTTACAATACTTCGTTTTTATGGAATAGGAGACAAATGAGCAGACTAATCACATGATTGGTAAGTGATCAGCGCCGCCCATGGACACCCACAGCACCAGAGGAAAACAGGTGCTTTGCTGGCCTTTTAAGAAGAAGTACGCACGTTTGAAGGTCGTATCGGTTCGGAAATACCGGCGTCGAAAGATCATTCGTTCAATCTTTATAAACGACAACAGCCTCCTTCTTAACCATCCAATTCCGCCTATTTTCACCAACTTAGTTGATTTTTATGCATTCGATATTTCTCATCAGTTTTGATTGAATCATTTATTTATTTGCAAATATGGGTGAGTTTCTTTCTCTTTTATAAATATAAGATACGGTCAGTCTTCTCGGTCGGTTGTGTCGGTGGTATCTGTCGTGTCTTGTTGCGTCGGTCGTATCTGTCGAGTCTTGTCGCGTCGTGTCGTGTCTTGTCGCGTCGTGTCGTGTCTTGTCGCGTCGTGTCGTGTCTTGTCGCCTCGTCACGTGTCTTGTCGCGTCGTGTCGTGTCTTGTCGCGTCGTGTCGTGTCGTGTCTTCTCGCGTAGAGTCGTGTGTTGTCGAATCATATGTCGCGTCGGTCGAATCTGTCGTGTTGCGTCTAGTCGCGTCGTGTTGTGCTTTGTCGTGTCGGTCACATGTGTCATGTCAATCGTATCAGTCGTGTCGCGTCGGTCGTATCTGTCGTGTTAGTCGTATATGTCATGTCGGCCGTATCGGTCGTGTCGTGTCTTGTCGAATCGTGTCGCATCTTGTTGTGTATTGTCGCACCGTGTCTTCTTGCGTTAGTCGTGTCAGTCGCATCTGTAGTACCTGTCGTGTCGGACGAATCTGTCGTATCGGTCGCGTAGTGTCGTGTCGGTCAATAAGCGTTTGCAGGATGTTTGACATTTCCCTTATTTATTCTATGTTAGTCTAACTATTGTGAGGCCTCAGTTGGCACTGAGGTATGAGGTTAATACGAGACCTAACTTTTTCTTCTATAATCTATCTGTGCCTTCTCATTTCTGCGCCGATTGCTTACCATTAGGTAAAATGTCAGCTCTTTGGTTGTACTATAACTTAAATACATAAATAAAACAACATCATAAAAACAAAACTTGTTTATTTAATTAAAAAGAAACACAATTCTTCTAACTACTTATTATTTTTCAGTATCACTTAAGTTTATATGAACATTCGAGCATGAAAACTTTCTTTATAGAGCGGAACGGGGGTAAATATTGCACTCCCCATAATAGCCACATGGATCAGTCATTCGCCATCACTCGCTGGAGGCGGACGTATTGACGATGCAAAGGTTCTAACTAGCGCCTCTAGTGTGAAAATTGTGAAGCTGTCTAAGAACGGCACTTTGACAGATTTTTTAACAATCACTTTTCTGTTCTTAACAACCTTCTCTTGCTCTGGGCCGAGGTCGCGGTGCCTCATTGCGCTTACCCCGCAACCCCGGCTGAACATCAGCCCTATAGAGCCCCGGCTGTGGTGGTCTATTGGCTCTTTAAGGCGCGCGCGGAACGCTACGCGCCATACGCTAGGGTCTGGTTCTGGTCGGGCGGTGAGCTGCCCTTACTCGCCGACCGCAGGCCCGTGCTTACGGTGGCCGGAGATCGTCCCTTGATCCCCGACGCCCGTAGTGTCGTCTGTTGCGGCTGGGGCGTGAGGAGGAGGATTGCTCCCTCACGCGGGTCAATAATCTAACATTACTTCAACAAATAAATAAACAGTCATTCTTAGACAATTTCTAAATTTCGTCGCTAGAGGCGTGCGGATAATCTTTGCATCGCCAAAACATAATTATTGAACTAAAAATAAATTCTATTTATTACTACACTAAAAAAAAAACATAATTTACACTAACATATAAATTAAAGGTTATTAATCACCGAAGGGTTATGCAGAGGTCTGTCATCACAATTTAATATTAATTTTCAACACACTTCCTCATAAAGTGGCTCTAATCCCACGGCAATTAGGCACGAAATGACACCTATAATCAAACTGTGACTTTTTTATTACTGTTATTCACTAGTGAGAAATAGAGTTTTTATTTTTTATATTATTGATTGAGTTACGCTCAAACTTGCGCTAATATATTATCCGCGGAAAGCCCAAAAAAAGTAACCTCATTTTTTTGTCTATAGCCAATGCGTGAGCATAGAGAATCTGATTAATATTTTTTCCCGCCAAAACTCGTTGTCTCGTTTTCTCTTGAAATTTTTCATTTAAGTATTATTTTAGTCGGAAGTGTGTTGAAAAACGTCGTTTTATACACGTGTGTATTGATGATTACCGTCCTCGGCTCCTTAAGACCAGTGGCATACTATTCATTGTCAATTTGACGAATTAATTGGATTTTTAGAAAGACTTTAAAATTACACATTATTTTCTGATATATTGTACAAAAAAAAAACAACAATTTTAATAGCGTTTAATTAGCAAATACTTATTTAGAAAATTATTTAGAAGCCTGTAATCGTTCCCTCATTTTCTTTTTAATTTCCATCCTCTTCATGTATTCCTTCTTGCTAATCATAATTGCTCTAGTAAAAGTCTTTTTAACATTATTTTTCTTTGATTTTCTTTCAATATTTTCATTATGTCTATAGCGTATAGAGTCAATATTAATTTTTGGTTCTACTTCATTATTTTTAGGATTATTTTCTTTAGACGTAATATTGCTTTTATCATTTATAATCATATTATGCATGCCAAAATCGAATCTGTTCTCCAAGTCCTTGAAATCCTTAACATTCTCTCTGTCCATTTTGTTAAATATTTTCAAAAATTGCCAAAATTCTATATCGCCACCTTTTATGTTGTTTTCGTAAAATTCTATTAGTGCCTTATCGCACCTATGTTTACTCGTGACGGGATTCGGCTCAGCGAAACGATTCGTCGAACTTATCGTTGCGTCATTCGAACTTTTACCCGTGTCATTATGACTTTTACCCGTGTCATTAAGACTTTTACCCGAGGCATTCGTACTTTTACCCGTGTCATTCGTAATTTTACCCGATTCATTCGAAATTTTACCGCGTCCACGTTTTTTGTTCGCTTTCACGATACGATTCTTCCATATCTTCGGTTTGAATTTTTTAGGATTCTTTTCATGTTTTCTCGAATGTAATTTCAAAGCGGCCATTGTGAGACAGATTTTTTCACAACCGTCACACGGGTAAAGCATTCTCAACTTTCTTTGTTTAGCTATAAGACTTAAACTCCTTAATCTTTCAATGTAAGTGTTGCCAATAGATTTTAAACTCCGATATTCCTCTTTGAAGAAGTTTGGTAGTAAATAATCATTATTAACAACAACAGCCTCCTTTTTAACCATCCAATTACCGCCTTTTTTGACCAACTTTGTTGTAGCTAGCAGTTGATTTTTATGTATTCGATTTTTCTCGTCAATTTTAATTGAAGCCAACTTATTTAAATTACTGACGCTAGGTATTATTTCTAGATCACAATCCTTATCGATTTGAAGGACGTATTTCGATCCGTTTTCAGTTTCTTTCTCTTTTATACAAGATGGGAAGTAAGGTATTCGAATTTTTATATCATGGACTAATCTTATATGCCTTGATAGCTTGAAATTTGTGACGAAACCACAGAAAGGACATTTTTTTAACGTTTTCTCGTTACATATATCGAAATGTTCCGTGCAATGATGCTGTAGGTCTGTTTTCGTTTTGAAGAGCTGGAAATAAAAAATATTATAATTTATTAAGCTTCGGACCGAGTGATACCACGGCCTCACAGAAAACCGGCGTGAAACAACC